GTTCATTATCACCTTTTGATATTTGATCAATTAATGGGTTTCTATTTTTCTATTATAAACTCATTTGATTGAACTGAATCCACCTTATTCTTTATAATTCAATAAGTAATTTTATTTTTACAGGCAGAACTTTCTAGAGCTGCGTGTTTATTTCCAGGATTTGAATTACCAGGTTATTGAGGAAACACCGGCCTATGAATTGGAAAGTTTGTTAGGTAAGTTCATCTCTTCATATGTAAACATCGACTTTCTTCTTAATCTTTGAGGATAAGTGTCTATTTTGTATTTAAACTTGTGCTTCTACTGCACTCCGTTACTCATAAAGACGCCATTTGCTGAAATTTTACGCTAAAGCCCCGGTACATCATCTCGAGCCTTTGCTGTCACGCAGATTTCTTTCACGTGAATGAATTGTCTCTTTTTCTTATTCTCAGGCGAAATCGGCGGTCAAGTTGGTCTTTGTGTCGGTGCCAGTCTCCTGACCGTGCTTGAGTTCTGTGACGTCATACTTGGTATCGTAAGAATACAAATGGGGTTGAGATGAACACTTTTTCACTTCAGAACATGTTTCGTTTTTTAAGACTAAAACATTTTCCATAAATCTGTGTTTTATATGGGTTAGGAATTGAATGAGATGCTAATGATGCAAAGCAAAATCAAATTGTGTAAGTGGAAAGAGAAGAGAGCAAAGGAGAGACTGTCAACAGCATCAAAATTCTTCAGTACTAAGTACTGTGCCATGTCTCCCCCAAATAAAAAGTATTCTAAAGAGCGCCTTCAAGGCCTACTCTGAGACCTTAAGTCGCCTTAAGTCGCCTTAAGTCGCCTTAAGTCACCTTAAGTCGCCTTAAGTCGTCTAAAGTCACCTTAAGCCACCTTAAGTTTCCTTAGGTTTCTATTGGTTACACAATGTCATAAGGGTTCAACCCTTCCTAATTGACCTTATCCACTCCACTTCAATCATAGTTTTCTGCAGCTAGAAAAGTAGTTGGAGAGACTGGATAGGAAGTAGTTTTATGAAGTCACTTCTGTATTCAAATACAAGACTAGTTGTTTAAAGAGAGGTTCTATTAATGTTTGCACTAACTTAGTAACATGCTCTCTGCGGAGTTGCTAATAAGCTTGTTCGAATTTAGGATATCGTTCATATCAATTTCATATTCATACACGAGGTGCTAAGGTTGATTGCGAAGAACTGAATAACCACTGGCTGTGCATATGAGATAAAAGGAGAAAGATTAGTCCCTACAATTGATCCATTACAGAATGCCAATATTAAGTTCACATTATGGATGGTAGGCATTTTCCTCCTGGTAAAACATCGCTGAAAATGTCATTAAGTCGCCTTAAATCGCCTGAGGTCGCAATATTTTTTGTGCCAATTTTGCTAAAGTCGCCTTAAGTCGCCCAAAGTCGCCTAAAGTTACGGCGACTTAAGGTCCCAAAGTAGGCTTCCTTCCAATCTTTCAAGTGCCTTCAAAACAGAAAGGATACAAATGTAACCTCTAAATCTTAAGGGTGGAGAATTGTCTAAGATTTAAAAGCCAAAGTTACCAGTTGGGAACCAGTTTAATTTGCACTTCTGTTGCAATTTCGGGAATCTTGAAAGTAAAGGGAAAAGAAGCCAATAAGAAAATTTGTTCCAGTAGAGAAGAAAACATTGAATACCCTTGGTAAAACTCCCATATGCCTCTTTTTTTCAGGCTCATATGCATTATTCCACTACGGTGAACGACTTTAATTTCAAAAAGTAAGCATCAACGCAAATGTTAGCTCGTGTGAACGGCTAGCTTTTTTGAACAAACAGAGCAAATGTGAATAGTTTTTCAGAACCTTTGCTGTTCTGGAGCATTTCAATTGAAAGTGTTTTGAAAATGTTAATTTGAATTGCAATTGAAATTGATTCAATTGATTCAATTGATTTTCTCAACATTTCGTTTTATATTTATTTCCACTGTCAGGATTTTAATAAAACTTTTAACTACAGGTTTGGCACTATTACCTTTCTTTGAGGTCTTTTTCGAGATTTCCACTTTCCACTTTAGGAGGAGAATTGGTGTCGAACGAAGTTAAATAGCAACGTCCAATTGAGAATTTTTTCATTCAGAAAGTCACACTCAAGACACGTGTGCAGTAAGCTACAAAATAATGAACAAATTGCCGAGCCAATTTGTTTACTTGCCTCAAAGAAGTGTTATGATTATCAGAGGAGTATAGGTGCTTCCTTTCTATGATTACAATACTGAGTGCTTGTGCTCTAAAAACAACGCCAAATTAAAAACACCGTTGCTAGGTAAGGTTAACATTTCCACATTATGTAACATTAATTTTAATTGAAAGATTATAAGTCTGAACGGCCTGAGAGCTCAACCAAGTAGCAATATGGTTTCAAGAAAAGTCACAAATCGAATTACAGTACCAGGATCCAAAACGAAGTACAGCATGTAGGCACAGCAAAATTGACCAAGAATTTTACGCGGAGAGTCACGAAAACGTGTCCGTGGCAGGTGCAATACGAGAATGATTCAGTCGCTTTGTATACAGTTTTACTCTCCATGGTCTTCAACACGTTTTTACCGAAACACTATGGATTCACCGCGTCCTCTGGACTGTGCTTCTTTTACAGGCAATGTCATGCTTTTCATTTCAGACATTTATGTTGCTAAAGAAGTATTTCAACTACCCGGTCACGACTAAAGTCAGTTCGAAACACGAGGCCATCACGGATTTTCCAGCCGTGACTATCTGCAACTTTAACATGGTCAGAAAGTCTATGGCTAAAGCAAATGGGAGCGATCAGCTTTTTTTACCAGTATTTTAAGTCAATAATACAAGGTACCGTTTCAACTGAGAGCATTTTTAACCCTTTACCCTCTTAGATCATTATGCATCTTCTCCACATTGTTCTCCATACATTTCCAAAGAGGCTGATAAGGAGAATTTGTTTAACAATCAAGAGCTACTTTAGTAGGTGATCATCTCCTCTATTCTCATAACTTCATGTCTGATTCAGTGCTGATATAGTAAGGAGAAATTAGATGCTACTCACTCTTAAAGGCTAAAGGGTTATGCAATTATACAATCTCGAACCCTACACAATTTCTTCACCTTGCGGGTCATCAAATCGACGACACTTAATTAATGCACAGCTGTCTTTGGAACGAAAAACCAACATGCGATCACAGGACAGTTGTTGTGATTGGCAGTAGAGTTGGTCTTGGTGCCAGTCTTTTGACCGCACTGAAGTTTGTTAACGTTATAGTTGGTGCTATTGAAATTCCACTGGGCATGAGATTGTGGTGACCTCAAACATTCCTTAGTTGTTGCGTGACAATTAAGTTCTAGAATATTCTTGAGCTATTGCACTACACTTAGGTCTTAAAGGGGCATTTTGCAATTCCTTTTGATGGTAAACACAAGCCTTTGAGCAAAGAGTTATTAATCAAGTGTTGTTGTTGTTGTTGTTTGCAAATAAAAAAGATTAACTCTTATTGGTGTTCATCTATTATGAACGCTAAAAGATGAAGAAATAAGTCCTTTTGGTATTTTGAATGGAAGTGAATATTCAATAACATGGTGCATTGGATTAAATGTTTAGTGAATTTCAGAAACATCTGTAAAAAAAAGGAGCCAGTTAGATCTACTTAACCCTTTAACTCCCATGAGTGACCAAGATAGAATTTCTCCTTACAATATTAATACAATATCAAGCAGACAAGTGATGAGAATAAAGAAAAATTTAAATTAGGGACTGTAAGTTGATTCAATACTAAATTCTCCAAACTAACAAAACAAGATCTGTATAGCAGACAGTTAGGAGAATTACTAATGAGATCTTGGGAGTTAAGGGGTTATTAAAGCAAGTTACTCAAAAGGGCATATTTTTCCCACACAAAACCAAAGAAGAACTTTGAGCAAACAACAAGAAAGTTAGAAAATCACAAGCACAAGGCGAGTCTTTACAAAATCAGTAAACTAATGGCAAGCTTGCTATAAAAAAAAGACCAGATCAATGTCAGTATCTCAGCATATCTGTGTGTATCTTAGCAGTACCTCAGCATATCTGAGCTTATCTGAGCAGTATCTGAGCCACCTCTTCCCTGACCTAATATTGACCCTGACTAACTTCAAGTCAACTGTTGTTGGGCTAGAGGACAAGCAGGTGTGCAGTTACTCAGAAACTGACACATTGATCCATAAAACCTTAATCTGTTGCAACACTTTTTATCCCTGATAATAATCAACCATTGATTGAACACATAAGATTAGGAAGCAGTGGATGCTATCCTCTCTAAGGATTTCAGAGAGGATTGATCAAAAAGGCCTGTAATTTCTTCCCTCTCCCTCGTCGTTTTAATGCTCTTAATTCTTGTGCATGTTAATCAACTAGTTTTTTTTTCTTTTTCTCTTTCGTCAATGATTATATATGTTGTTATTTCCTAGCATGGGGGCTTATAAGTCGGTTGGGTTTCAATTTTGTCTGTTTGTAGGGGTTAGAGAAAGGTAAGTTACCAGGTAGGGGACAAACTTGTCCTATTGTAAGTTTACCTACCTTTGGCAAATTGTTAAATTAAAAAAGAAATTTAAAAAAATAGGATTCGTGACGCCAACAAAAGGTTTTAAAACTTGACCTTCTCGATTTAATTCCATTTTGTCAAATGAGGATCATCAAAAGTGATTTTCTGCTACCTCGCTTTCCATTTTTTCCTTTTTTCGCATTTTTATTATTGTGTATCCAGCTGTTGTTTTAACGAAGAACCGAGTGTTTTGTCATTAGTCGCCAGGCACTCACGACTGTTATTCAGTCGCGATAATTTCAAAGTCCACAGTAAAAATATTCATATTTAGTCACGTAATAAAAAATGCCGCTGTGTGATTGGTCTGGCCCTCCTAAAAGCAGATAAACTACTCCTATTGGTATTAAAATCACCGCAGGCATACAAGCAGGCAAAGCTACGATTCAAAATTGGTTAACTCTGATTTAAAAAAAAAAAACAAAAATGAATGCTTCGAAAATTCAACCTGACGGTTCTGTTGTTTTAGAGATGTCAGGAACTGCTGGATTACTACGAAATCATTCAAAAATAAATGGCACAGCGAGGAACAAAATCAACCCCGAGTGTAACGACGTGTCTGGGGAAGACGCGTCCAAGATGTCTGCAATCAGGCAACTATGGAATGGTTTCGTGGAAAATGCAACTCTTCATGGTTTATCTTATGTGGTTACCGGTAAATCGAGGATTCGTCGCATTCTCTGGGCTGTGTTTCTTTTGACGGCAATTGCGTTTTTTTCATATCAGTCCATCAGCATGTTAAAGAAGTATTTCAGCTTCCCAAACACCACAAAAGTCAGTTTGAAATACGATTCGATGCCGGATTTCCCAGCCGTGACTATTTGCAACTTCAACAAGTACAGAAGTTCTGTTGTTAAAAATTTGCCTTCGTTAGGACTGGGTGGAGCTACATATGAAAATGTAGACTTCAGCACACTAACCAACTTAACACAATTTTTATTCGATGCGGGACATCAAATCAATGATACTATGCATTCTTGTCTGTGGAACGGTAAACAGACCTGCGATTACAGGAATTTCACTCCAGTTTTGACCTCTATGGGGCTTTGCTACACATTTAATTCAGGTATGTTTTGGGATTTCTTGATCTTAGCAAGCCTTCTTTTTTTCTTTGAGAATCTGCCAAGGTCTTCATTATTTATGCAGATGCTTTATTTTCGAAGCATCAGGGCTGTAATTTGTGTTATTTTGTTGTTGTTTTCAAGTCGATCTATAATTACAACCGAGTGATCTGGAACGTTTGCCAAGACGCAAAGATTTAATCCATGTAGATCACTGTTACGATTACTGTTTGACGGAAAAATTCATGTTCGGTGAAATTGTTTACTTTAAATGATTATAAATTATTAATATGGATAAGTTGAGGGACTTACGTACGTACGGAGGGACGGACCGACCAATGGGTGGACGGATTGAGTGATTGATTCTCAGATTTTTCAGGGAAGGATGGTCAAGGTGTTTTGAAGGTCAATGAGGCAGGAGCAGACTCTGGACTTTCTTTGATACTAAACGTACAACAATATGAATATTTTGGAATTCAAGCAATCAGCGCCGGCCTCAAGATACGTGTTCATCGTCAGAATACTCTGCCTATAGTTGGTCGGCTTGGATTTTCTGTTGGTCCTGGCACAAGTGTATTTGCAGGGATACGAAAAAAGAGGGTAAGTTATATAAGGAAGGAGAGCGGTCTGTGTAAATATCATAGCCGTAGCAACCGAATGGGCCTTTCCCGATTGTGCTCGGCAACTTTTGGGCAAGCTTTGACGTTTGGAGTATCCTTAGATTTCGTCCCTATTTGCGAGCAACTCCTTAAAGCTAGGTTCCAGCTGTTTTTTCTTGACCGATGTTAGCATTTATTGTGAAGAGCGAAAAATAAAGCACTTAATTAATGTTCATATTAGAATATCAAGAAATTCAGCTGGCAACTTTTTGGATTTGGCATCTCTTTAGCATCGTTTAAGCATTCCAGTCAGCAACTTTCCAGCATTTTACGAGCACAATCGGGACAGTCCTACGACCGATTGCAATCCAGATCATTAATTTGGTTTATTTATAACTTGATCAGCAAGCCCCTGAGACCACGTTATCTTCTTTTTTTTGACACAATCTCATCGTTCTTTTTTAATCACTTTGTTAAAAGTACATCTCGAAATCAGCAGTGATTTGTTACTTACGACTATGAATACGTGGACTAAATAGAGGTAATCCAAAATGGCTTTCAGAAATTTCTTGTTCACAGCTTATGAAACAATTTTCACATTAGTATTTAAACGTGACAAAAAAAAGGCAACAATTCTTCTTTTCCTACAGCCCTTTTCCAATCTGAAACACCTCGAGGTTTTCGTTCTTTCTCTCTTTCTTTCTTTCTTTTTGTTTTTTTTTTGTTTCAATTTTAAATGTCTTTTGGAAGCTTTGGGTCTGCCTCAAAGAGGGCCCTTGGATCACTTAAGGCTCGAGTTTGTTGTATCAATTCATAAGTCAAACAAAAAATCAATTCGTTCTTCAAAATAATCCTTGAGCTTTTCCATCCCTCCGTCTACTTGTTGAAGGTTATAAATCTCCCAAAACCGTACGAAAGCAACTGCTACGATGGAAAGATGGATGCCATAACTGATCACACGACGTACACAATTTCATCATGTTTGTCGCTCTGTGAGACCAGGTCTTTCATAAGAGAATGCGGTTGTAGAAACGTGGAAATGTCTGGTGAGTTTTCAAATGATACTCTTCTTAATTATTGAGCTTGCCTTGGTAATTTCTCGTTTGGAACGATAATACACTTACAAATTGACATTCAAGGGGAGGGGAAGGGGGGGAGGAGGGATTTCACTCAGAAATCTTCTGGAAGTTTGCTAATGTTTCATGAAAGAAAGTAATCCCCCAACTGATACTTTCCTGTCTGCAATGAAGAGGTGACGTTAAATAAATTTGCTCAAGAGGGTGATAAGACTGCTTGGAATTCTCTCTGCAAGGTTGAAAAGTTGAATAGACCTTAAACCAAAGTAGTGGCATTTGAAAAATGTGTGAAATTTATACTTAAATCATACCCTTAATAGACTTCTGAAAACTTTTTAAGCTCGAGACGAATTTTTGGTTGATACGAAATAGTGAGGCAGACAACATAAAGAGAGGGAAGAATGACGTATTCTCCACCGTTGTGAAACTGGGAACTTTGAAAAGTAAAGAATTAATCATTAGGGCAACTCATAACTATTCAATTAACTTATCCGCTTCACATTCGTTGTGCGAGCGTGCCTTTAGTAATTCAACACATTGCTGTTCATGCACCAGCTAGTGCCATAAGTTCGCACTGTAAATACTTTAATTACATCCTGTTTCAACAGGACTGAACGGCACCAAACCCTGCAAAACCAAAAAAGAGTTGACTTGCCTTCTTAAAGCTCAAGGTTCGTGTATATCATATATGTTTCCAATTTACTTCTGGCCTCGGTTGTTCACTATCCACTGGATAAATCTTCATTTGCTGGATAGCGCAGCACGCCTTTTTTCTTTGGTTTTTTTTTTTGGTTTGTTTGTTTGTTTGTTTTTTTTTTGAGACACTTTTTTGCTGGATAGCGTTATCCGCCCAGGGCTTTATGCTGTATTTCTAATATCTGAGCAACCTGATTCCATTGCCTCCTCATTATTTCATATTCCAGCTAACTTTCAAACCTTAAAGAAAAATCAGTGTGATTGTCCAGTGCCCTGTGGTGCGATTTCCTATGAACCCTACTTGTCATACGCTGCGTTCCCTAGCGAAGGATATTTGTCGCGGTTTTTCAAAGCAGGGGAGAATAACACTTACTGGACAGCAGAAAAAATCAAACAAACACAACAATGGTTAAGGTAATCGTATGTAAATTAAGTTTGTTGGACAAAGCCTAACGTTTATGGAAACCATATATATACGTTAAAGATAAACTCTGATTGTAACTACTCACTTTTCCTGTAAACTCGATCTTGAGGAAAAAAAAGATAAAAAATTTTGTGTCGCGATCACAGCTAATGTAAGTATTAACAATGATAATAATGATAATGTTAATTGACCTCTTCCCCTAATGGGGCTTTTAAACATACCAGTTGACTATATATATACCCAAGCGTTAAACTTAAGGCAAAGAGAACAAGTCAAGGAGTTAAACTTAAGGACAAAAAACTAAAACTTTAAACATCAACTTTCTTTTAAAGTTAATCTTTGAGGATAAGTGTCTATTTTTTCTATTTTTCTATTTAAACTTGTGCTTTCTTTACAATGCAATTTTATTTTTACAGGCCGTTACTCATAAAAGACGCCATTTGCTGAAAAACTTTCACGCTAAAGCCCATTTGGTACATCATCTCGAGCCTTTGCTGTCACGCAGATTTCTTTCACGTGAATGAATTGTCTCTTTTTCTTATTCTCAGGCGAAATCGGCGGTCAAGTTGGTCTTTGTGTCGGTGCCAGTCTCCTGACCGTGCTTGAGTTCTGTGACGTCATACTTGGTATCGTAAGAATACAAATGGGGTTGAGATGAACACTTTTTCACTTCAGAACATGTTTCGTTTTTTAAGACTAAAACATTTTCCATAGATCTGTGTTGTATATGGGTTAGGAATTGAATGAGATGCTAATGATGCAAAGCAAAATCAAATTGTGTAAGTGGAAAGAGAAGAGAGCAAAGGAGAGACTGTCAACAGCATCAAAATTCTTCAATATTAAGTACTGTGCCATGTCTCCCCCAAATAAAAAGTATTCTAAAGAGCGCCTTCAAGGCCTACTCTGAGACCTTAAGTCGCCTTAAGTCGCCTTAAGTCACCTTAAGTCGCCTTAAGTCGCCTTAAGTCGCCTAAAGTCACCTTAAGCCACCTTAAGTTTCCTTAGGTTGCTATTGGTTACGCAATGTCATAAGGGTTCAACCCTTCCCAATTGACCTTATCCACTCCACCTCAATCATAGTTTTCTGCAGCTAGAAAAGTAGTTGGAGAGACTGGATAGGAAGTAGTTTTATGAAGTCACTTCTGTATTCAAATACAAGACTAGTTGTTTAAAGAGAGGTTCTATTAATATTTGCACTAACTTAGTAACATGTTCTCTGCGGAGTTGCTAATAAGTTTGTTTGAGTTTAGGATATCGTTCATATCAATTTGTTATTCATACGCGAGGTGCTAAGGTTGATTGCGAAGAACTGAATAACCACTGGCTGTGCATATGAGATTAAAGGAGAAAGATTAGTCCCTACAATTGAACCATTACAGAATGCCAATATAAAGTTCACATTATGGATGGTAGGCATTTTCCTCTCGGTAAAACATCGCTGAAATTGTCATTGCGATTAGAGAATGTAAAGGCCTACTCTGAGATCTTAAGTCGCCTTAAATCGCCTAAAGTCGCAATATTTTTTGTGCCAATTTTGCTAAAGTCGCCTTAAGTCGCCCAAAGTCGCCTAAAGTTACGGCGACTTAAGGTCCCAAAGTAGGCCTCCTTCAAATCTTTCAAGTGCCTTCAAAACAGAAAAGATACAAATGCAACCTCTTAATCTTAAGGGTGGAGAATTGTCTAAGATTTAAAATCCAAAGTTACCAGTTAGGAACCAGTTTAATTTGCATTTCTGTTGCAATTTCGGGAATCTTGAAAGTAAAGGGAAAAGAAGCCAATAAGAAAATTTGTTCCAGTAGAGAAGAAAACATTGAATAGACTTGGTAAAACTCCCATATGCCTCTTTTTTCAGGCTCATTATCATTATTCCACAACGGTGAACGACTTTAATTTCAAAAAGTAAGCATCCACGCAAATGTTAGCCCCTGTGAACGGCTAGTTTTTTTGAACAAACAGAGGAAATGTGAATAGTTTTTCAGAGCCTTTGCTGTTCTGGAGCATTTCAGTTGAAAGTGTTTTGAAAATGTTAATTTGAATTTAATTGAAATTGATTCAATTGATTCAATTGATTTTGTCAACATTTCTTTTTATCTCTATTTCCACTGTCATGATTTTAATAAAACTTTTAACTACAGGTTTGGCACAATTACCTTTCTTTGAGGTCTTTTTTCGGGATTTCTACTTTCCACTCCAGGAGGAGAATTGGTGTCGAACGAAGTTAAATAGCAACGGGCAATTGCGAATTTTTTCATTCAGAAAGTCATACTCAAGACACGTGTGCAGTAAGCTACAAAATAATGAACAAATTGCCGAACCGATTTGTTTACTTGCCAATAATTGAAAGATTATAAGTCTGAACGGCCTGAGAGCTCAACCAAGTAGCAATATGGTTTCAAGAAAAGTCAGAAATCGAATTACAGTACCAGGATCCAAAACGAAGTACAGCATGTAGGCACAGCAAAATTGACCAAGAATTTTACGCGGAGAGTCACGAAAACGTGTCCGTGGCAGGTGCAATAAGAGAATGATTCAGTCACTTTCTATACAGTTTTACTTTCCATGGTCTACAACACGCTTTTACCGAAACACTATGGATTCACCGCGTCCTCTGGACTGTGCTTCTTTTGCAAGCAATGTCGTGCTTTTCATTTCAGACATTTATGTTGCTAAAGAAGTATTTCAACTACCCGGTCACGACTGAAGTCAGTTCGAAACACGACGCCATCACGGATTTTCCATCCGTGACCATCTGCAACTTTAACATAATCAGAAAGTCTGTGGCTAAAGTAAATGGGAGCGGTCAGCTTTTTTTACCAGTGTTTTAAGTCAATAATACAAGGTACTGTTTCAACTGAGAGCATTTTTAACCCTTTACCCTCTTAGATCATTATGCATCTTCTCCATACTGTTCTCCATACATTTCCAAAGAGGCTGACAAGGAGAATTTGTGTCACAGTCAAGAGTTGCTTTAGTTGGTGATCATCTCCTCTATTCTCATAACTTTCATGTCTGATTCAGTGCTGATATAGTAAGGAGAAATTAGATGCTAGTCACTCTTAAAGGCTAAAGGGTTATGCAATTATATAATCTCGAACCCTACACAATTTCTTCACCTTGCGGGTCATCAAATCGACGACAATTAATTAATGCACAGCTGTCTTTGGAACGAAAAACCAACATGCGATCACAGGACAGTTGTTTTTAGTTTTGAAACGCAAATTTTTTGGTCTCTTTTTGCGGGCTTAAAACCTGTTACTGTCGCTATTTGCTGCTGATGTTGTTATTTTCGCATCCAGTAACTCCCTTTGTTGTTTCCTTTCTTTGTTTTGCCAAGCTACTATCTCCATACTGTTTCTGAGCAGCTGCGCACCTACCCCTCCCCAATGTTGCGGTTTCCTGCGATTTCCTGCTTTCCGGTCGGCAGATTTCTTCTCTAAATAGAATTGCTATTAATAATTGTATTGCATATTTTTCAATTTCAAAGAAATATTTGGATCATATATGACACCTTTCTTAGCTTTTGCACAGCAGAAAACAAGAGAAGTCCCGTTCTCACAATTTATCAAAATGACTTGTATATCATCATAGATTGAAAGATGTCAGTTAACATACTGAGTCCTCAACCAACTCTCAACTGTACAAATGCACTTGAGAAAGCTTAAATGGAAATTTTATTGGTAAGAAAGTCAAAGTCATAAATGTTCATTTCATATCAGTGCTCTTTGACTTTCTTCCATCTCTTCCCTACTTAGGTGAGATTGGCAGTAGAGTTGGTCTTGGTGCCAGTCTTTTGACCGCACTGAAGTTTGTTAACGTTATAGTTGGTGCTATTGAAATTCGACTGGGCATGAGATTGTGGTGACCTCAAACATTCCTTAGTTGTTGCGTGACAATTAAGTTCTAGAATATTCTTGAGCTATTGCACTACATTTAGGTCTTAAAGGGGGATTTTGCAATTCCTTTTGATGGTAAACACAAGCCTTTGAGCAAAGAGTTATTAATCAAGTGTTGTTGTTGTTGTTGTTGTTGTTTGCAAATAAAAAAGATTAACTCTTATTGGTGTTCATCTATTATGAATGCTAAAAGATGAAGAAATAAGTCCTTTTGGTATTTTGAATGGAAGTGAATATTCAATAACATGGTGCATGTGTTTAAATGTCTAGTGAATTTCAGAAACATCTGTTAAAAAAGGAGCCAGTTAGATCTACTTAACCCTTTAACTCCCATGAGTGACCAAGATAGAATTTCTCCTTACAATATTAATACAATATCAAGCAGACAAGTGATAAGAATAAAGAAAAATTTCAATTAGGGACTGTAAGTTGATTCAATATTAAATTCTCCAAACTAACAAAACAAGAACTGTATAGCAGACAGTTAGGAGAATTACTAATGAGATCTTGGGAGTTAAAGGGTTATTAAAGCAAGTTACTCAAAAAGGCACATTTTCCCACACAAAACCAAAGAAGAACTTTGAGCAAACAAAAGGGAAAGTTAGAAAATCACAAGCACAAGGTAAGTCTTTACAAAATCAGTAAACTAATAGCAAGCTTGCTATAAAAAAAACCAGATCAATGTCAGTATCTCAGCATATCTGTGTGTATCTTAGCAGTATCTCAGCATATCTGAGCTTATCTGAGCCACCTCTTCCCTAACCTAATATTAACCCTGACTAACTTCAAGTCAACTGTTGTTGGGCTAGAGGACAAGCAGGTGTGCAGTTACTCAGAAACTGACACATTGATCCATAAAACCTTAATCTGTTGCAACACTTTTTATCCCTGATAACCATTAACCATTGATTGAACACATAAGATTAGGAAGCAGTGGATGCTATCCTCTCTAAGGATTTCAGAGAGGATTGATCAGAAAGGCCTGTAATTTCTTCCTTCTCCCCCACACACACACACACAAAAAAAACCAATGAGATTAAAACTTTTTAGGAAAATAACAAAGTGTAAAAAATAGTGATTAATAAATTTTCATTACACAATAAAACATATCACATCCCTTCAAACACTAAAAAAAGTTCATCTGCGGTATAGTTAAGTTATTCTCGTCAAGAAATGCAAGCAATTTTGGCATCATTTTATAAGAACAAGACATTTCTACGCAGGACACTCATTGGCAGTTTTCATGGGAGAAAAAGACATTTCTTTGATGGATTGACTGATTGATTCACTCATTCACTCACTAACAATTAGAGACTTTACAACAGAAAAATTTAAAAGGCTAGCATTTTAAGTGGTAAACATATAAAGCATGTTGAAATATTTTAAAAAGTCAGCCAGACAGACAGTCTGACTAACAGACAGACTGACTGGCTGGCTTGCTGATGGTCTCACAGAATTATGGAAGGGTGGCAATCTTTCAAAGACAGATAATTCTTTATGTATGCTATGTTTTGACTGCCTAGTAAGCTTTAAAAAGGTACTGGTGAAGAACCTTTTCTTTCCAAGATCTACGAGGGCGAAACAGAATATCAAATAAAGAATTACACACATCTGGGTCTAATACATGCTCAATCATTTTGACCACAACTGCTAGATGAAACTCACTTTTCTTTAACAGATGGTAAGTTTCTTGCAAATACTCCCTCACAACTGTCTCGGCATAGTCTCTTCTTTTCACCATTGTAACTTCAAACTTTTGGAACAATTCAGGATGGAGCTTTCCAACTCTACCAAATGCCAACACAAGGATAACCAAATCATTTGTTGCAAAGGATTTGAGATCATCACGCTGTAACAGCTCTTCTTCAACCACTTCAAACACTTCAGCTACAAAAGCATCTGCTCTAGAGTAAGAAAGTGACAGAGATGCCAGAGTCCATGGCTTAAATTGGCTGAGATCTCGAGTTAAAATCTCACTACCAATCGCCTTGTAAAATTGCCTATCTTTGGGAAAGCCAAACTCAGAAAATGACCAAGCTATAGTGCACAGTTCTTCAGATGAAAATTTTGATATGTCTCTTGAGAAAATCTCCTTATCTAAGGCATGGAATATTTCAACAACATTTGTATGCAAACAGTATTTTGCGAATGCCCAGCCTAGCTGAGACAGCTGTTTGTTAGAGTATCCTCTGAGTTTGTGGTACAAAATTCCCCTTTCGAGATCCGCGTAGATAGAAGGATCTTTAACACACAATTTAGCCATGTAAATTACAACGTTGTATATCTGATTCGCATCAAAGTCATTAAGGTGTACCCTGACGTCTTGCGCCAGCATCTCAAACAAACTCTGTTGGAGAGGCTGAGTCAAAAACACATCTCTCATCTGAACGCTTTTCGAGAAATACACCACGATACATTCAAGAATTGTGAATTTATGGAGAGGAGTCAGTTCTCGCTTTTTATTCACTCTGAACCAGTAAAACTGCAAAAGCCCCTTGATGGACTGTATCTTCCTAATTCGCTTGGTGAGTTTCTCTTCAGGTGTGAACACAGGCTCAGGGTTTACTAGTCCCTCAAGGCGTGTCTTTCGTAATTTCTCCAGAAGCTTGCCCGAAGTTTCTCTAGATTTCTCCATTCTCTCGGCTTTCTTATTACTTGGACGAGCTTCATATAATCCAGATGTGTGGAAGAGATGGCTTTTGGGGAAATAACCCAGAAAAGCCACAGACAAGAATTTATCATGGAGACTACGAGAGGTGTGAGCGCGCAACTGATTTCCGAGCATGTGCGCACGACTAACTTTGGGTAAAAGCGAATTCATTTTCCATAAAAGAACACGATTTCTTTCTCCGCGAAATTATCCTGGGTACTCTTTGATGTGATGAAGATTAGGAAGTATTCTGAGTCGTCTTACAGTACAACAGAAGGTAAAACTTCTGCTAGTCCAAATGCATTGCAACGGCCGCCATTTTGTTTTCAGTTAGGTACCAGACTCGGCTGTGACTAAAAGTAAGACGGGGACGTGGGACGCGGGGACTCGGGGACGCGCGGGGACTCGGAGACGCGCGGGGACTTCGGGGACTTGGCTCCCCAAAAGCCATCTCTTTTTTAGGTATTTTAGTGGAGGAATCCATCGAACTTTTCGCATATTGAGGAAACAAAATCGGGAAGGTAATTTACATCTATTTACTTCAGAATTCCCCATAAACGTAGGGTGTATACAATTCCTGAAATTCCCGTTCATTATTTCACGAATCATTTGACGTTTCAGTGTTGACAAATTTTTCTTTTACGTAAGTAAAAAACATTGAACTTCTCTCAACGGACTCAACGCTGCAAGGAGAATCTTTCTCATAATTTACTTTTTAAGAGACGAAGTTACCGTCTAAAATTCAAACGTTACTGTTAGGCTTATTGGCGCATTGATAACCTAGTAAATAGCTCAAACATACTGAAAAAATTTTTATCTGTTTTTGTATATCTTTATCTGTGAGCCACATGTGACTAAACAAAAACAGAGAAGTGTAGTTTGATGGCTTGTTTTCATAAATCTAGGATTTCGGGAATCGCTATAAACTACACGATCACGCATTAAGTAATATTTCTTCTTCTAATGATTGATACCGGAAGAAAATAGTGACGGTGTCATGCTATTTTATGTGTCCGTTATAAAAATATTTGTATTCGCATTTAGCTCACGGTTAAAAATCCCGTGAAAATTGTTCAAAAGAAATATATCACAGTAGTTATTTTATGACAACCGCAAAATACTCAAAACAAAATCAAGAAACTGCTGCAGGACCTCAAGGCTCCTTTGTTCAGGACGATCTTGTACATCTCAGGTTTGAACTTTTCTTGGGAACAAGTGCTGAAGCCTACATAACCTATTTCAAATTTAATCGCTGAACTATAAACTTGTGTGTTCGACCCTCGACGAACGCCTCCGATATAGCGTCACCCGAGGTTGTCAGTAGTAGCCGATGATTTCCAGCGTCCATGGTTCGGCCGGATATGTTTTCTTGCCTGTTTGACCGTGAGAACTCTGAGTACAGAATAGTTTCAACGCAGGGGGGTTTTAAACATCGTGAGCAGCCATGGAGGACTTTCCTGGTAAGTAACCGTGTTTTTTCCTTATTCTTTTTTAGCAAGGATAAGGCACGGATGTTTCAAGACTCCCTGCGTTGAAACTATTCTGTACCCAGAGTTCTCACGGTCAAATAAGCAAGCAAAAATGTCCGGCCGAACCATGGACGCTGAAAACCATCGGCTACTACTAACAAGCTCTCCAGCATAAAATAGCTTTCATGAGACCACCGAAAATTATACTCTACAAATTCAGCGAAAATGTTAGGTGTTTTTTGTTTATCACGTCCCCGAGTCCCCGCGTGTCCCCGAGTCCCACGTCCCCGAGTCCCACGTCCCCGAGTCCCGAGTCCCGAGTCCCGAGTCCCGAGTCCCGAGTCCCACGTCCCCGTCTCACTTTTAGTCACAGCCACCAGACTCCTCAGGGAAAAGTTGTGCGATATCAGACTGCGTAAATAAGCGGCCCTCAGGTCATCATTGGCGCGTGACATGAAGCAAGCTAGTCATCCCCCCATCTTGTTTACACTGCATCGCTTGCTGACATCCTCACGTAATCTCAACAACTCAACGATTTGCAGGTATTACGCTACTTACCGGCTGGCTTGACCTTGGTAAGCGTATTATTGGAACTGAATGATTTCTCCATATTTACCTGTAACATTTGTGCTACTTAAGCGAGATCAATATTCTGCGTATTCTAGAAGGTGCTGCCGAGTTACAATCCTTTTGTAGCACAACTTAAGATCGGGTAAAGTTTCCGCACAGCCCCGTTCTATTGTAAAACAAATCTGTTTTCCCAATGGTAATGTATTGTTTTTGTCATTGTTTTCTCTGTTCAAGAACTGAATGCATAATGTACGATGGGGCTATGCGGAAATTTTACCCGAATTCATGTCGGTCGAAGTCAGATCTATAAAAACTTTGTGGCTCGATTGCGTGCGAAATTAGCCGGCGAAGATTGTCAACTACACAGAAGACTGTCAGTCCTCAGGTGCTTAAACTTAATACATCTCTGACATTCTACATGTCCATTGCTGTACATGTGCCAGTTACATGTACATAAGTACATGTCATTAATGCAATTAGGTAAAACTACAGATTTTAATTACACATCCTTTTAAGTTATGCCTCGTTCTTCAAAGCATGCTGACAATTATTAGCTGGACCTCATTGGCCCTGTTTTGTTTAGTTGCTCACAGAACTAAATTGCCTAGTCCCTAGAATGACTAAGAGTGCAGAAATGATAATTTTAAGTCTTTCTCCATGGGCTGTTGGGTTAAACAGGAGTAAACATCAATTTCTATTTTAATGAAAACTATAACAAAATTGTCAAACACAATCCGTTATCACCAGCCCGATTTGAGCACTTATAGGACAGTGTACACATCATGCTTGTAATTGGACAGTGTAATAGGACAGTCAAAGGGACAGTTCACACATCATGTCTGTGTAAGTGGACTCTGAACTGTCACGTGCACGTGCTGTTGTCTCACATTTTGCTTAGATAGCTATTGTATTTTTTTATGAAAATGTATAACCGATTCTAGTTTCTTTCTCAAATTTTGTCAGTTTTGATTAATTGGTAACAGGAAATCGTATCGTCCAATCATACTCATGATTAACAAATCAGACTCCTGCTTCACAGTCGTATGATTTTGTCATTCGGTCATATGATTACTGACTGAATTGGACTTGGTTCTATTACCATTATATATCATAGGCTGAATACACACATTTTGATTGATTAGTATGATCTTTTGAAAGAAGGATGCACAGATGACATCACCATAAACAACATTGTATTTTATTGTATTAAACAAATAGATTCTATGTTGTTGTGGTCTGTACAGTAATAGATAACAAAAGACATCAAAATGTAGTTAGAACACCAATGACACACTCAGCAGTGCCTTGCATGCCATTTTTTCCCAAATCTTGCCACATTTTGTCATCAGCTGTGATTTATTACCAAACAGACACATGACAGCATGAAATCTATTTGTTAACCCTTTAACTCCTAAGATCTCACAAGTAATTCTCCTTACTGTCTGCCAAATGATTCTCATTGCATTAATTTGGAGAATTTGGTATCAGATCAATTAGTAATCCCATGATTGATATTTTCCTTTATTCTCATCACTTGCTTGCATGATATTGTATAGATGTTGTAAGGAGAAATTCTGTCTTGATCAGTCACAGGAGTTAAAAGGTTGGGCAGTATACTTTGACCTTAGCTTTGTTCTTTTTCATTGCAGATTTTATCTTAGTTTTAGTAAAAATGGAAGTATGTGTTGAAGATGGTTCAATCAATTCTGAAGCTGTGACTTCCCAAACTCAATCAGAGAATTTTGTTGACAATGGATGGGCTTCTTTTCCTGAGGTTGCCAAGAGGGAAGAAGTAAAAAGGGTAGGTTACATTTTGCAACTGATCAATGAAATCTTTTACACCTGTTTCTCTAAAATATCACATCTGTAATCTGTTTTTTTGGTGAAGGTACTGATTGACTGTGGTTTTGTTTCATTTCATACAGAAACAAAATCCTGAAGATAGAGCCAACTTTCTCTCAAGGCTCACATTTTGGTGGTTTAACTGGTGAGAATTTTTGTATGAAGTGTTATTGTTCATGTGATCAAATTATCTAGAATGTGCTATTATACAATCTTGAAAGGACTACTGTAGTCCTCCATGATTGAGGTTTTTACAAGAAATTATCAAAGACTTGATTCATATTGGACGTTATCTATAAATTAGAGAATTCTTCGTCTGCAGATGTGAATCCTCTTCCCTTGGTCTGAACTTTGTGCACCAATGTCAATGAAAATAGTCAATAACTTTAATTTTTCCAGGATTATATCTACTGGTTACAAAAGACCGCTCAAGGACAAGGATTTATGGGCCTTGAGGAGAGAAAATCAAGCAACATATATTGTCCCAAAACTGAAAACGAAATGGACAGAACAACAAGTGAAATGCAGAAAAATGTAAGAAACCAGATAAAGTGTACTGTAAAATAATGTGAAAACTCAAGTCCTGGCTTCTTGTATGTTTACTGATCATCATCCTTGAGGCAAATAATTGGGTGAGAAGGAAATAACATGGTGGTTTTGACTGGATGTGAAAGTTCACTTGATGTGCCAGAGAGTCATAACAACTTTTGTGCACAGTTGTAATCACCTTTTTATCTTCCTTTTGTCTTAGTTTTTCCCTTTCAGTTGGTATTATGAGGATGACTGATCTTTAGTTCTGTTTGTGTCACCTTGGAGACACACTGCCAAAAGGAAGAATGGTTCTTCTTTCTTAACAGCAAATGAAGCTGATTGGATGTAAACAGGAATGGAACCCTTATACTGCAAAAAAAAAAGGAATTACCAAGATTGTGTCCTTGCATTTATGCCTATTCTGTTTCCTTCAGAATTCTGAGTCTTATTGCCCTTTGTTCCTTTTCATTCCCCCTCATTTCCCACCTCTCAGCCATCAACTCTCAACTCCTATTCCTCAGCTGTTGTATCCATCTCTACATCCCTTTCACCAGGGCCCAACCTGTTGCTCTCAAAACTTCCCTTTACCTTCTGCCCTCTTCCTCTCCTCACCTCCTAGTTATGACTGTTACCTCACCAATAAGCACTGACTCATCACTCCTCACCCTTCAACTCTGACTCTTGACCTTTTCCCCTTTATTCTTGACTCCTAACCCTTTACTCATCACACCTGAGTGCCCAACTCTAAGTTCTATCCACTTTTCTCTACTTCTAAGGAGTTAATGCAGCTAATTATAAGAACCCCTTCAAATTGTTTAAGGTTGAGCATCAAAGAATGGTCTCATGGGACATTGCTTGATTTTTCTGTCAATTATTTTTATTTGATTTTGATTAGAAACTCAGGCAGAAGAAGTCATAAAGATGAAGATGAATACAATGAAAGTGATAGACTATTGGATGATGAGAGTAGCCCTGATGAGAACGTTGAAAATACCCCAACAAGAAAAGAGGAGAAAAAGCCTTCTCTCAGAAAAACACTGGGAAGCCTGTTTGGGTTCAAGTTTGCCCTTGCTGTCTTTTGCAAGCTGTTGCATGATTTGCTCATTTTCGTCCAGCCTCAGCTTCTAAAGTATAGTGTTCCCTTTCATTTGATTTGTCAGACAAATGTAATAAACCTAGACTCAGAATCTAAACTGGTGAAGGTAGATGGATGATTTTTACACAATCTTTTATTTTCATTCAATAAGTGTGCTGCTTTGTTTTTTAGATTTGCATAACATTTTCCATCATATTTAGTCATGCTAGAGAAAGCACTGTCCGTCACCTCCCTCACACAAAAGAATTAAATGAGAGGCTCAAGATTGCAAGACTTTACTGAATGCATAGAATATGCCAATAATGATAACATGAGAAATAGTAAGAAGAGTATGGTGATGTAGTTCGAAGGCAGATATTCCCAATCCTTTGTCTCTAATTGACAGTAATTTATGTTATTGTAGCTATTTAAAATTTTTAAAGAACTGTTTAATAATTTTTTTAGATTATTAGTTGGTTATACTGAAGACAAGGATGATATGTTTGGTCCATGGAAGGAGTGGAAGGGTTATGCATATGCAGGAGCCATGTTTGGAGTAGCTGCTATTCAGTCATTGGCACTTCACCAGTATTTCCATATTATGCTACAGATTGGCATGAGATTGCGCACAGGCATCATTGGTTTGGTTTATGAAAAGGTAACTGAGATACTTGTGAGTTGGAAAATTTAAATGCTGAGATAAGTTTGTTTGTTTTCATGGTTTCTGCTAATCATTCTTGTAGATGCAGGAGTGAAGTATGTTGGTAAATATTTGAGAGTGCGATTAAAAAAAGATTGCATCTTTCATTATTTCCTTTTATTACATCATATCGCTTAAGTTTTAAGTAGAAAACTAAACTTACAACCCAGCTCCCAGCTGGCTTGTTAGCTCAGTTGGTAGAGTGCTGCACCAGTATTGTAGAGGTCATGGGTTCAAATCTCTTACAGGCCTGAAGGGGGTAGGGGGCAAGGCAAGAAGACTCCACCCTCTTTCAACCCTTTTTTGACCAACACTCACCCCCTTGCTATAAATTTCTTTCTCTCCCCAGTTTTCCACTGTCTAAAATACGAAATATGGCAACTATAATGTTTACCAACAAAATATTAAGCGCTTGCTCACCGAAATTATGTGCAGGCTTGAAACACATAGAGACAAGTAGAGCTCACATTATATTCTTTTGTGTGTATTTCACAGGCTCTAGTATTGAACAGCAAGGCTAAAGGGAAGACAACAGCAGGTGAGCTTGTGAACCTGATGTCAGTGGATGCACAGCGCCTGATGGAGCTCACGACTTACATAAACTCATTGTGGTCAAGTCCACTTCAGATCGCTGGTTCTCTGTACTTCCTCTATAATACTCTTGGACTCTCCATTCTGGCTGGACTAGGGGTCATGCTGCTAGTTATTCCAATAAATATGTTTTTTGGAAGTAGAATGAGTACTCTTCAGGTCAGTTAACAAACCAGTTTATGTCAGAAATTGCACACCTTTAATTTTGTTGTTTTCAACAAGCACCTCAAGTGTTGTGGTAGATTTTTAATAATATTGCTACTGTCATAGTTTCCTTGAACATCTTTGCACTGTCATTTTGCTGTAGAGCACACACTTTAGTTGCTAAAAAGAGTATGGATGCCTCATGTTCCAATCCGATTTCACGGCAGATAGAAATACAGGTTTAGTGGTGCAGGTTTATATAAAGGCTCGATTACCAGCTACTGTTTGGGAATATGAGCCTGCGCTCCTGACCCCCTCGAACCCAGGAGCAAAGACCAGCCACGAGTCTAGTTTATATACTGCAGTGTTTGATCTAGGACTTCTATAGCTGATGTTAAATAAAAAACACCAATCCTCATAACCCCCTTAGCAAACAGCTGTGATGTTACAGTTTGAACAGCCTTATGGTAACATGGCTTTAGGCATCTGCCATCAAAAGTGGCTACATTTTCTATTGAGTAGCTTAGACATACAGCCTAAATTGTCTTGGGTAACCTGAAATTTTAAATACTTAGCTGCGCTTTTCGTTTTGACAACTGAATTAAAGAGGTTGACTGAAACAATTTATGCAATTGGTATTCCTCGTTATTTGAAGGAGGTTGCAAAATGAACGATTTTTGAAATTATTCTATTTTAAACGAACCTTTAGGTAAAACAAATGAGTGAGAAAGATGAAAGGATTAAACTGATGAATGAAATTCTCAGCGGAATAAAGGTAAGTTTCTGCAACTTAGGGTCACGAGAACAAAGGAAATTTCACCCACTAAGGGTAAGATTGTGAAACAAATTCTCCTTGTCAGCACCTTACGAATTGTATGGAGAACAGTAAGGAGAATATAAATACTGATGTAAGGGTGTTAACAGTAAATAAATCTAATGGGACGGTCATTGTCTAATTTGTGAATGAATTGAAAGAGAAAGTTAGTTTCGATCCATCAGTCTATAAAAACAACTGCGATTTCTCGTCTTGATTGATATTATTGTTTGTTTCCAGGTCCTCAAGTTCTATGCTTGGGAGGAGTCCTTCATGAAAGAGGTGGAAACGAAACGTAAAAAAGAGCTAAAGTACTCGAGGAATTCTGATTTCTGGGCGGCAGGGTTTATGTTTACGTTTGGCTGTGCACCGACATTAGTAAGTTGCAAATCAAGATTTTTCAGGTTTTCTTTTTTCAAAACCCAAACGAGTAAAGGGAAGCAACGCTAGCGAGCGTTGTAAATCATTTTTAATTGAGTGTAGGAATGTAATAAAATATGTGTCTATTGTTCATCGTGGTGTAACAGTGAGTGAGTGAGTGTAGGAAGTAATCCGAGATTACATTTCGTTGCTCTGTGATTGGTTGAGAAAATTCGCGCCACTCTCAGCCAATCAGATTCAAAACTAACACCAATTACGACTTGGTCGCCCGCGTTTTCCCGCGCTTTAGATGGTTTGCTTATTTTTATTTTGAGTTCTCATTGGCTCTTCTGGCGATAATTCTCTCTCTTCTGATTGGCCGTTGTAGTTGCTTTGGATTTGATTTTATGACACTCAATCAAAATAAATAAACAAGAATCAAACAAACTAAGATAAAGTGTAGAGTCAGCCAGTAACACGTTACAGTGGAACATACCTAAGTGAACTTTTTTATGCTCTACTTTCCAGTACAATTTTAACTCACTTTTATTTCTTACCACATAAACAACTTAACTCAACCGAATGATCAGACTACGCAATCAAATGTACTCTTAAACCATTTTTTTATGTAATGTATGTCAAACAACAAAAAGTCTTCAATTCATAATTACAGCCGGACAGTTGCTTTTTAGCGATTGGTCAAACCGAGTAAATGTTCTTCTAAACCGTTGTGTGCATCTTTTTTTTTTCTACTTTCTTCAGGTGGCAGTCACCACATTTGCCATTTATGTAATTACTGGCAATTTGCTAACAGCTAGTAAAGCCTTCGTTGCCTTGGCGCTTTTTAATGTGATGCGATTCCCACTTGTCATGCTTCCTAATGTCATCGTTTCTTGTGTTCAGGTATTTCAAGTACTTAACCCTCTTTTGTTGTTGTTCTCTTTCTAATTAGTAACTCACATCAACAAAATGACCCTCAACAAAATGACCCTTTGAATGTACGGGATCCCGTACAGGCCTGAATTTTTTTCAGGCCTTCTTTTCACCACTACTTAAGTAGTGTTCATTACTGCGAAGTTCGCTTTCACATTCACGTCTTTAACCGCAGTTCAAATATATGACTTCCATATATTCACAACCGTTTAAAATGACCCTTTCTTTCACCGAAGTTTTTAAAAGTGACTTTAACTCAGAGTTTTGAAACATTATCCGCATAGGAATTTACCGGAGGTTTTCTTGTTTTTGTTTGTTCATTTGTTTGTTTAACAGGCAAGGGTATCTCTGAAAAGGCTGCAAGATTTTCTTAACCTAGAGGAACTGGACCTCAACAGTGTCCAAAGAACAACATGTAAGATTTCCTGTTCAGCTTGTTGTCATTTTAAGATAACCATTCAATGAACCGTTCGTCAACTTTTTCAATGGTTACCTGCTAGCAGGGACTAATGATCTGAAGAAACAGAATAACTGAACGATCTGCTCAGTGAAAAGGAGAGAGGGCGAAAATTGGTTTTATTATCTTATGAGTGACAGAAAGGACGGAAATAAAGTAACACTGAATATTTTATTTCACAGTGTCGTCCTCTGCCGTGTCTATCGAGAATGGTACATTTACGTGGAGCAGCAGAAATGCACCTGTGTTGAAAGAGTGAGTTTTGAAAATTAACGGCGAGTTGCCGACATTTGAAGATGATACGTACCCTGAAAGAGCATTACATGTAAATAGCTAATGTTTTCTAGACCGGAAGTATCTCCAAACGGAAGTAAAACCGTCTCCTACAAATGCGCGCAATTGATGTGAAAGTAAATGTGAATTATAAAAGGCAATGAATTAGTATATGTTTATTTGGTAATATGTAACTGGTTACTGCAATGTAGACGATTTGCGGTTCCTTTTGAGACGTTTGTTGGTTGAAACTTAGCTAGTGAGGGTTTTATTTTTCCAGGGTGTCATTGCAAATTCCTAGTGGCTCACTTGTCGCCATAGTCGGGCAGGTTGGATGTGGGAAATCTTCCTTACTTTCTGCCTTCCTTGGAGATACCGAGAAAGTGGAGGGAATTGTCTCTGTGGAGGTGAGAACTCTGTAGGACGTTGTTCAATTATTTTTCAAAGGTGATCATGGATTGAGTTAGTTTTACATTGCTTTACTCTCGCGTGAAGCTGAACCCGGGGCAAATTGCCAATAGCAATTGCCGATGTGGTCACTTTCGCTTTTTTCTGCGCTTGAAGCGGTTTACATCCCGTCTTCTTGTATTTCGTATACTTTCAGGGATCCGTGGCGTATGTTGCTCAGCAAGCCTGGATACAGAACGCAACTTTACGAGACAATATTCTGTTCAGCAAAGCCATGGATTCTGCACGCTACGAAAACGTACTTGACTCGTGTGCTTTGAGACCTGACCTGGAAATTCTTCCTGCTGGTGACTCCACAGAAATTGGAGAGCGAGTATGTTCTTTTGTTTCTTTTCAAAGGCGCTAGGATTCTCAACAGACCTCCCTCAGTCCAAAAGGGCGTCTGAACATTAAAACCAATATAATTCAAAGTGCACACATTTATAACAACACCAAGGTAGGCACACTTTGTAAGCTATCCAATTCCTTAGACTATGGCTCGACACATGTTTTGGGAAAAAGAACCAAAATGATTTTTAAAAAATGATGAGACTTCCACGTTTTCTATGAGGTATTTACCTTTTATTCCCGTTGATGTCAACTCTATTGTTCGTGACTCCTGATGCTTTCCTACGTATTTGAAAATTTCATTTTGTTTTAACCATTTCCTTTTCTCCTCCTTTTAGGGTATCAATCTAAGTGGTGGACAAAAACAACGTGTAAGCTTAGCTCGTGCTGTGTACTTCAATGCTGATATCTACTTGTTGGACGATCCGCTCAGTGCTGTGGACTCACATGTTGGAAAACACATATTTGAGAACGTTGTAGGGCCTCGAGGAATGTTAAAAAACAAGGTTTGCTAGAGTTCGTGTTTTAGAGCTTGCAGGCTCATTCCCTGGGCAGCGTTATATGTTTTGCGATCAGTACTTCATTTTAAGTGTTAGAAGGCAGGCGGGCTCAATCCCACGGCTAGTCTGTGTATTAACTGCCCTCACAATTTGATTCAAGGAATTTTGAGATTATTAGTTCGCCCTTTATAGTGAATTCACTGTATATTGAGACTTGTTAGTTCCCAAGTGTTTGATTATTGTGAAGTTCGCCTTTTTTTTTTTGTTTTGTTTCTTTACAGACTCGTTTGCTTGTTACTCACGGAGTTCATTTTCTTCCACAAATGGATCAAATTATCGTGCTCAAGGATGGAAGAATTACCGAGGTTTGTTTAATGTTCATCTTTAATGGCATTGCACATGGAGATAAATGAAAGCTCGTGTGCCACAAAACATCATAAATAGCACTCGTCGAACGGGAACGGTCTCTCGTGCACTTGGGTAAAAGTAATGAAAAAAAATCTCACGGTGGCAAAATCAATTAATTTTTGGCAATGTTTCAAAGGTTGGTTACAAAAAACGGACCCTCTAAAACGCATAACTGAAAGGAAGGACTACGTAGCCATTGCTGCCTAGCAAAGCACATAAAAATAATCCATTTTTTTGCCATTAAATTGAAAGGCGTCCAACAGGAAGCTCAATGGCACCGGAGGCTCTCGCCAATTAAGCCTTACACAAGAACTAAGCTATTCTCCCCATAATTGTTGATAATTTTTTGTTTCTTTCCAGTGCGGTACTTACTCAGATTTGATGGCCAACTCAGGAGCCTTCGCGGAACTCCTAGAAACCTACTCATCAGAAAACCATTCTTCAGACAACTCAACAGGTAAAAAAAGATGGCTTTTTCGTCAAGGGAGGAGGGGAGGGGCACGAGGTTTTCATTTCTCCCAATATTTATTAACCTGGTTGTTATGATTTCTCTTTTATCACCTTTAATCCAAAGTGCTTTTGCTGCATTTTTTATTTACTTCCACGATTATGGTTTATCAGGTCTAAGGGAGAAACATGTGGTTTTATAACCAAGGCGTGAAACTCGAATTTTAGAATTATTCGCCTTGACTTGCTCAAATTCCTTTCTTACATTTTTTTGTTTATGTGTGTGCTATTGTTTTTTGTTCTAGAAAATGAGGAACAGGGATCAGTTGCGAAGGCTAGCTCCAAAGCAAGCAGTTCTAATGTTAAGGAAGTTGGTCAGAAGGATAAAAACGACGATGAGGACGAACTGGGAAAAATGATTGAGGAGGAACGCTCAGAGACTGGAACAGTGAGTAATTAGATGGAGAGCTTTATGCACAGGTTGCCGACCAGGCGTTCACCTACGGGTGAAGAATTTTTGAGAGACCTGCCATCGTTTCAATATTTTATTCGCTAGTGAATTATTTTTGTGATTCTTTATTTCATCGGTGTAATTATTCGTATATGTTATCACATGAGGCCAAGTACTATTAAGGATTAATTGCACGAGAGTTTTCAAAATTTTCCAAAATTTTGAAAACGCAAGTGCAATTAATCCTTAATAGTACGAGGTCTCATGAGATTACTTGTTTATCAATAAAGGGCAAAATTTATACGAAGGAAAATCACGCGCGCAGTCTATTTTTATCTGGGAAGCCTGTTTAGCGCTACGGCAAATCATCAATCAAATTGAACTGACCAATCGATTCAATGAAATTTTATTCTCCAAAACTGTGTCGTGATACACTGCCAAAAGTCTAGAAAACAAAGCTCATTTCAACAGAGCGTTTCTGCCAACAGAAAAACAACAAAGTGCTTTTAACTGAACAAGGTAATCATGCCCTCTCTTGATTACTAAAAATGCCCTCGATTGAGAAAAAATGCCCTCTCTCTCAACCAATCAGCGCTCAGTAATTTTGCCCTTTATTGATAATTACCGTTATCACTGTCACTGTCATTATCGATGTCACGATTATTATCAGCGTCGTTGTCATTTTCATCATCGTTATTGTTTTCAATTTAAGTTATGAGTTTCATCATCACCATCGTCATTATTATTGTCATCGTTATCGTCATTATCGTTTCCATTGTTAATCGTTATCAATATTGCTAATATTATCCTTGTTACAGTCCCTGCCTTTGTCTTTACCCTCTAACTCCAACGAGTGACCAAGAAAGAATTTCTCCTTACAATATCAATACTATATCAAGCAGTCAAGTGATGAGAATAAAGAAAATATCATTTAGGGGATTATAAGTGGCTCCAATACCAAATTCTCCAAACTAACCACTTGAGAATTGTATGGCATATAGTAAGGAGAATTGCTAATGAGATCTTGGAGTGGAAGGGTTATAAGTATCAGTAATGTGACTTCTCGCATCGTTTTAGGTCAAGTTCGCAGTATTCTTCTCCTATCTCAAGTCCGTGGGCTGTTGCGCTTCTTTTCTAACCATAGTATCCTTTCTCCTGATGGAAGCCTGCACAGTAGGGACAGGAATATGGCTGGCTTACTGGAGCTCGGCAAATGTCACTACAGACGAACAAAGAAACTTGTACTTGGGAATTTACGGTGGCCTCGGTTTGGGTCAAGGATTCTTCTCTTTCCTTGTTTCCATTTTTTTCACAGTTGGAGCCATGGGAGCATCTCGAAGGTTGCACCGCAACCTTCTAGTCAACGTCATGCATTCACCAATGAGCTTCTTTGACACCACCCCTCTGGGGAGAATTGTCAACAGGTTCTCGAAAGATTTGTACACTATTGATGATACCATACCGCGGTGTGTGACGAACTTTATGTGGTGCTCACTCGAAATTATTGGAATGATCGTAGCGATTAGTTACGCCACTCCGCTGTTTTTAGCTACGTTGCCTGTTGTTGCAATTTTTTATTTTTATATACAGGTGAGTGAATCAAGGCGAAAAGAAAGCCTTGGGCCCACATTTGCTGTGGCGAGTTTCCCTTGTTTTTATATGTGGAAGAATGTGACCTGTTATTTCTCCTGGTAGACTCTAAATCTAGTGGACAACAAAAGTTGTCATGAACAAAATTTGTTAGCACCAATTGCTTTAATTACGTAACGAGAACATTTTAGCAGTCTCAAATTGAATTCTACTCCAGCAAGTTTTTATTATAACATATACTATTAAATGCGTTTATTTAAATTCAAGTGCGGTTGCGTTGATGGCTCGGTCGAAGAACAAGGCCAAGAATGGAGAAGATTGTAACAGATTTCCAACATATAACGCTAACATTTAGCCTAAATTTATCCAGCGTGTGTTAATTGTAGTGTACAGTATTTCTTTTCACCGAGAATTAACTAATTTTTCCCCTTGGTCATTATGTTGAGAGCATTGAACTGTTTTAATATATTTCTACAGAGAGTTTATGTAGCAACTTCGCGGCAGTTGAAGAGGATTGAGTCCGTCAGTCGGTCACCAATCTATAGTCACTTCCTGGAAACAGTGAACGGCGCCAGCACCATTCGAGCATATTCTCAACAACGCCGTTTTATCCTCGATAATTACTATAGAACGGATGAGAATCAAGTGGCTTACTATTCTACTGTATCCTCAAACAGGTGAGGAAGAACAAGTAAAGGCAGAACTCGGAGGATTCATTGGAGTTTCAAAGCTGACGTTTCGAGCGTTAGCTCTTCGTCAGAGCGTGGATAAAAGCACCTGTTCTGAGCGTCGTTTTCTTTTCTTTTTTTTTTTTCCATGTAAGCTCTGTTGTGGCCGGGATTGCTAAACTGACTCTAATGTTAATGTGATTGGAGATAGTGGAGTAGTTGTGGTTGGTCTATCTTAGTTAAACGTCTTAACATATCTGCTCATCCATGTTTTGGACACTTAAAAGTCTTATTTTAGTCTCTACGTCCAAGTGATAGAGGTGTCAGTTGACATTTTGTTTCACAATAAATGTAGGAAGACAAAGCTAGGGACAGAAATTGGGTCCACTTGATCCAAGGTGTTCGTTTTAAATGTGGATAATTGATACATTGTTTTCATTGTCTCCACAGGTGGCTCGCAGTTCGTCTTGAATTTCTCGGTAACTGCTTGATATTATTCGCTGGGTTATTTGCTGTCTTAAGCAGAGACAAAATCATGAGTGGATTGGTGGGAATGTCGTTAACGTATTCGTTAGAGGTGAGTACATTGGCTAAGCTTGGATGCGGTAAAAAAAAAAAGGGATCAAAAATTTGCCTCGCTCCCAACGTGAGGCTTCCTAGCTCCGTCGATAGTAGCGCGCGACTAGTCCGCTTTGGGAGGCATGGGTTCGAATGTGAGGATCATTTCTTTGCTTGTAAGTGAACATACCGATACTAAACCATAGCACAAGCTGAACGCGTTGTTTCGCGCACTTGGAAGCTTGAACGGCACATTTGTCTAAAGAAGTTATGAATTTGTCTAGATTTATTTTCTTCTCTTGTGTTGTCTTTAGATTACGGAAACTCTCAATTGGGCAGTGCGCATGACAAGTGAACTAGAAACTCAACTTGTTTCCGTTGAAAGAGTAAAAGAATATTCAGAAACAGATACAGAGGTAACTAATGATAATAATAGCAATAAGAATTTAAAACTATTAAATTGTGAGCTTAAGGGTTTTATTGCGTGATGATTAAAGGTTTCTCAAGAATTTAACTCAAAATGGTTTAAAACTAGTTTGATTTGTAGTTTTCTTTGTTCCCGGTAAACTATTATAATTCTCTTAGAAAAGGAAAATACAAATAAACATGGCTAGAGGTCAATGATTTCTATTTTAAACTGAAACATAGCCATTTGGTGAATAGGCTGTAAGAGATCATTCAGTCATTTTCTTTATCCATTCATTTTCAATCATTACATCAATTATTTTGTATGTAGGCTAGATGGATCATTCCAGAAAATCGACCGCCAGACGACTGGCCATTCACTGGACGGATTATAATGGAACAGTTTGACTTGAAATACAGAGAAGGATTACCTCTTGTACTGAAACAGATCAGCTGCGATATTAAACCAGGAGAAAAGGTACAGAAACAAGCCAGGGTAGATCTAAACGGTTAATCGTCCCACTATGTTTTTTTATTTTGGTTTCCTATCACTAATTAACAAGTAACTTTTCTTCTTTACCATCTATATATCACCCAGCAAGCAGGTAATGAGAATAATCAAACTTATCAGGTAGTTTTTGTTATCTTGATTTAATACCAAATTCTCGATACCAATTTACAAGGGAATGTGTAGCAGCTAGAGGGGAGAATCAACTATCAGATCTTGGGAGATAAAGGGTTAATGAATACAGAAATGTCAAATAGTGAGGAATGGTTCCTAGATGAGGCTTTGTGGATTAACTGGGTACTTTTTCTCTGTCTTTGGTGGAGAGACTAAAATTACGAAGTTCGACTTTTGAAATCGTTCTTGATCTTAAGCTTTGCGCGTAATGCATTATTGTTGACTGAAAAGCTGCTGTGGCTTACGTCAAATTGTACAGTGATGATATTGAGGGCCAGCGAACTGTAAACTTACACTTTGATATGCATTTGACAGTGAAGTCTGATCGTCTGGATGAGTGAAGGCCTGAGCCCTTTAAATCCGATGAGTGACTAAGATAGAATTTCTCCTTAGAATATCAATGCAATATCAAGCAGACAAGTGATGAGAACAAAGAAAAATATTATTTAGGAGACTACTAGTTGATTCAATAGCAATTTCTCCGAACTTACATCATAAGATATGTGTGGCAGACAGTAAGGAGAATTACTGAAGAGAGCCTTGAATTGAAAGGGTTGAAAAGGCTACTGTCAATAGCACTGGGTGACTAACGTTTCGACAACCCGAGCGGAAGTCCTAATCAGAGTCATGTTCATACTATTTACCCCACGCTCCTATCCGGGTTTACGTTCAATCAGGTTGTAAAATAACTTCATATTTTAGTGTCCTTTTTTAATTCCAACAGATAGGCATTGTTGGCCGAACTGGAGCGGGAAAGTCGTCATTGACGTTAGCTTTATTCCGTATTCTGGAGGGAGCCGGTGGAAAAATCACCATCGATGGTGTTGACATCGCTACCATTGGGCTGCAGGATTTACGCTCGCGGCTAACCATCATCCCTCAGGTAATAACACAGTATAGGTATACGTGTTTAAGCAATAGACACGTGTACGGACACGTGTGTATGCGAGATAGGGTGGTCTATTGATTAGTACGCTGGACTCCTGATTGAGGAACCTTGGGGCCTTCGGTCCCACAAGGAGATGTTTTCATAGTATACGGAGGGCTGGTTACAAATGATCCAAAACTTGTGATCCAAGAGCTTGCTGTTTTTCTCGATCAAATTTAATTTTGTTTGTTGTTGTCTTTGCTGTTACTGTTAGTGCTATTTTTTCGTAACATAATCCTTCTGATTCTTGGCATGAATATTGCAACAGGATCCAGTGCTGTTCTCTGGGAGCCTTCGACTTAACTTGGATCCTTTCAGGAAATACACTGATGACCAGCTATGGCACGTGTTGGAAGTGAGTCACCTGAAGAACTTTGTCTCAGGGCTTAATGAAGGACTTCAGTACACAATTGCAGAGGGAGGAGAGAACTTGAGGTGATTAACTTGACGAACTTTTTCTTTTAACTTTCTTACATGTAAACAACAAATTATTCATACTGGCTCTATTCCACAGCGTTGGTCAACGTCAGTTGGTGTGCTTAGCGCGTGCGCTGCTTCGTAAAAGTAAGATCTTGGTTCTGGACGAAGCCACGGCTGCGGTGGACTTAGAGACTGATGAACTCATTCAGCAAACGATTCGGCGAGAGTTTGCTGACCGCACAGTATTCACCATAGCTCACAGGCTCAACACCATTATGGATTATGACAGGTCAGTAGCTTTTGCTCGACTTGTGAGTTCTGTTTTGATTAGAAAGGGGTCTTCTCTAACGTCCGTGGTGAAGTAAGTGTAAAGTAAGTTCTTAGTAATCTAAGACTTGAGAGTGAATTCCTGCTCCGTATCTGAAAAGGTCTCCCAGGAATGAGCTAGTTACTTCGGCATTTTGTGATATTCAGCTTTCTGTCGCCCGTTTGTTTTTCTTATCATGGTAGTTCTTACATTTTTGGTTCATTAAATTTTATCATTACTTTTTTTTTTTTTTTTTGTTCGATTTCTTTTTTTTTTTTTTTTTTTTTTTTATTCCGTTCTAGAGTTAATTGATATGGTAGCCTTGTAAAATGTCGAAAGCAGTGACGACTTGATGAGGCTAGATTTATGAGATTGCTGGAATTGAAGAGGTTGTGGTTAAAAATAAACTGTTTTGTTTCACTTGCAGGGTGTTGGTTCTCGATAGCGGCTCCATTGCTGAGTTTGATTCCCCTTCAAACTTACTGAGTAGAAACGGACTTTTCGCGAAATTGGTTCAAGATGCCAGGCTTTCCTGAGGATCTTGTGCATGAGCATTGGTTGTGTTTTCGATTCCAGCCCATTCCGACACGTGGTCCTACACGAGTACATGTTGTACTGTTGTTGTGTCGTGTAGTTCCGACACGAGTACATGTTGAACATGAACACGCGAACATTAAGTACAGGAGATATAAGCATTTTTTTTCCCGCATGTCTCAAGGGCACAACGCCTTGCCCCGGCCAGGACTAGAACCCGGGTCGTCCGACTCGGAGCCCAGTGCACTGACCACTGGACTACTGAACAAAGCCGTGGCGTTGGCGTGCCCGCGGTACAGTTGACCACGCATGTTAAAAGTAGCACCTTGTACGGTCGTATGGTCGTACATCCAAACTTTTTTGGCTTGATGGGTTACCACTATTTTGTTTAATTATAGGGCTACGCTCTGTGAGCTCCGCTATAATCAAGGAAAGCGTTTTTCACGAGATAATATAACCAAGGAAAGCGTTTTGTGATGTCATCATCATCATCATCATCATCTTTTAATTGCCTTATTTACACAATACAAAAAAATTATTTACAGCGGCTACAGCTAGAAGGCGAGGAGACCCAGGAAGCCACCGGGCTTATGAGAGAGCCACCTCGCTTACATTAATAAATAAAGTAAAGAAAAAGTGCTGCGAATGTGCGGCTAGGCCAATTCCGTGATTATTTAAATAAAAACTTTTGCATTTTCGTCTTAAAACTAAGAAGGGTTGACGAACGAGTGACTGAAAAAGGAAGAGAGTTCCAAATTTTAGGACCTTGGTAGAGAATTGTAAATTGCTTGAGATTTGTACGGCACAAATGCGTTCGATAATGACTACTTCGCGAAAAGTCCGTTTCTACTCAGTATGTGTATTTCCTTTGCCGTGTTCTCTCAGACCCTGAGCGTCAATCCCTTTCACCGACGTAACCGAGGTGAAAGGCCCACAGATTCGTATGACTCCGGCGAAACGAAACGGATGAGCGCAGCGAAATTGAAGGGCTTAGAAATATATAGTAACATCACATAGTAGTAGATCTTTATTTAAACTCGGTTAAGAATCTTCAGTTATACTAATAGTATTTTAATTACAATCATTTGTAAAAAATTAAAATAACTATAAAAACTGATTTACAAGATTGCCGAGTGGGAATCGAATGTTTCAAGTGTGCGGTTGATTTCCTTCTTAAACTGCCCAATTTATCAAATCGCCCTAATATTCTCAGGAAGAGAATTCCACAGTAAGGCACCGCTATAGCCAAAGCTACGTTTCAAATAGTCAGTACGCGGCTTGGGTAAGTTTAACTTACGGAAAGAATCACACAAGTCATAGTCTGTGTGTTGCTCACTGCCGAATAAATCATGCAAGTACACTGGGGCTAACCCGTTGAGGGATTTAAAGAGCAGAGGTCCCAGTATACTTCCCTGGGGAACCCCGCAGGTTAATCTACTTGCACTGGATAACGCTCCATTGACACTGCATTTTTGGGATCTATTACATAAGTAGGACGCAAAAAATCGTAGAGCACTTTGATCAACCCCATAGTTCGCAAGTTTCCGCAAAATTATTTCGTGATCGATTGTATCAAAGGCCTTTTTAAGATCAATTAGTAGCACCCCATTTAAGAGACCGTTGTCAATGTTAGTTGACCAGTTGTTCGTTGTCTCAAGCATGCAGTGCTGTTAGCGTGCTGTGCATTGATCGAAAGCCAGTTTGGCACGTATTCAAGAGGCTATTATCCTGAAGGTAATCATAAAGTTGACGATAAATAAGTTTTTCCGAAAATTTTTAAGACGAGTGGCAATACTGATATTGGTAGATAGTTCCCTAGTTCACGCTTGGATCCTTTCTTAAACAGCGGTGTAACTTCGGCAATTTTCCACTCGTTTGGAAAGATTTCAGTATCTATACAGCTCTTAACAATGTATGCTGTATACGACCCGACAATACTGCTAGAAAGTTTTAAGAGTTTACAGGGAATTCTATCTAACCCAGTGGATTTTTTTGTGTCTAGCTGGTTCAAAAGCCTGCAAACAGTGCTAGCGCTTGGGGGTTTAAGAGAAAATATTGTGTCCGTGGGTTGTAGATAGAATTCTGGCTCAATGGTTGACGGTTGTATTTCACTTGCCAAATTTGATGCAATAGTTGCAAAAAAATCGTTAAAGACTTCTGCCATTTCAGCCGCAGAAGAAATAGGTTCGTTGTTTACCTTAATTTCGGAAATATTTCGTACTCTGCCATATTTGCGTGAACTTAGGTCGTCAATCAGCTTCCATGTTTTTCGAGGATTCATTTTATTCACTTCCAAGTTATGCGTAAAATACTGTTTCTTTGCTGATTTAATGGCATTGTTTACTTCGTTTCGAGCTTGCTTATATCGCTCCCAAACCGTCGCGCTATTTTCTTGAATAGCAATTTTCTTCATATAATTCCGTTTATAAATTTTTGCGAGTCATACATATATGTTCACACTCATTAAATCCAAGAATTTTAGCTTAGACACTGCACACAGCATACAGAGAATCGGAACTCTTAGCGACGGTTTTCAGACTTATCCCTGCTATTTCTATATGAGCTTTAGAAATAGCAGGGATAAGTCTGGAAACCGTCGCTAAGAATTCCGATTCTCTGTATGCAGTGTGCAGTGTGCAGTGTCTAAGCTAAAATTCTTGGATTTAATGAGCTCATATGAGCTTTAGAAATAGCAGGGATAAGTCTGAAAACCGTCGCTAAGAATTCCGATTCTCTGTATGCTGTGTACAGTGTCTAAGCTAAAATTCTTGGGTTCAATGAGTGTGAAAAATACTCCTGTGACTGTGTAGGTTGAAAGAAATTTTACAACACTAAGAGACTAGTTCTTTTGTTCAGTTGTTCTCAAAGGACAACCCTTGCTTCCTTATTTCAAACAATTCTTGGATTAAAGTGTGAAAAATACTCCTCTGACGATGTCGGCTGAAAGAAATTTTACAACAATAAGAGACTTTCTTTTGTTTAGTTGTTCTCAAGGGACAATTCAACTCTCGTCAGTTGGTCACGAATAGTTTATGAACGAACATCGGTCGGTTTCAAGTTATCTAACTTGGTTCTAAGCCGAGGAAGGTGGTTAACAAGGTAAGGGGACTGAACTTGAAGTTGTTCAGGTTGTATTTGCCAGTATCGCCGATTTACACCCAGAAATAATCTTCGATTCCTTTTATTTCGTTTGTACAGTCTGTCAGACTTGACTATGAGCCACCAGTGAGGTTTTGGTCGGCAGAATTTATAAACTAGTGATCTCCGTGGCAAAGGAGACCAGGTACGCCAAGTAGCTAGACTCGCGCAACGAGTAAATTTCAGCGCTCTCAATGACTTTCGTGCGCGAGCTGAAGCCCTTTACAAACCACATTGACGTCACTGCTCTTTTTTACCTTTGGCGGGTCAAGGAGACCTTTTTCAAACACATTCTGAGGAAAGCAGCCAGTGATCGTTTTAGTATGAACGGAGGATATATACATAAGCCGTTTTCAACGTGACCGGAAAAACGTTTTGTATTTATACGACGTGATGTCGAAGACGTTTCGTCACATGCGAAACGAGTTACAGAACTGTAGTCATGTGGCTCTCCAGGGACTTTGAGCTCCACTGGCGATCATAGTGCCACGGGGCAAGAAAGTAAAGATGGCTGATTCCTCTCCCTTAACTTTGTTCGTCTAAACGATCCCTAAAGTTCTCCAATGTGTTCAGAATCCCACTTTAATGGTAGGAAAAGTCCCTGGACCCGAGAAACGAAAAACACGAGCAACACTGTATCCAAATCATTCACCAATCGATGTGGAAAGGAAAATACTCTCTCTCTGTTGCTAACAGTCAAAACTTTATTTCAAGGCAGCAGCGGACATGCTAACAATAATCACATTAGTGTTTCTGATCTACTACGCGAATTGAAGAAAGCATTTGAATACAGACCCATGACTTACAGGGAAACTTCTCGTACTAGTGAGTTGAATGTAAATTCTGCGTATCAGCGACTAAAATCAATATTTCTGCTATTTCGTGCGAAAATGTATTGAAAGAGCGTTACTAATTGACTTGACAGAGGTGATAACACTAGACGATTTTTTGTTGTGAGATTTGTGCACCATTGGCTCTGATAACATATCTGGTACGCTGAAATTACGTAAACAGAAGTTGTCAGGCAGGCAGGAAATGAGCTGTGCCAAGTCGAAAGTAACTCCAAAAGTTAGCATCTCTTAAAAAACCTAAGCTAATAAAATGATTCTTGAAGAAATATTGGCTGATGAGACCGTTAGGGTAACGAAAACTGTCATCGTGTGGATTATTTACAATTTTCTCACAACAAAGATTCTAGTTTCACAATAAGACAGTAGAGCCGCGCATGAAATTCAGGAATATAGTTAACTTTTCCTTCTTTCCAACGACTGTTAGCGTTCTTATTTAAACAAAAACGTGAAAACGATGAAAGGCTTTCAATCGCTTCCTTTGCAAGGTAGTGCAGCAGTTATTTTAACCTTTACATACCGATTTAAAATTAATTTCCCTTTAATCATTAAATGATCTTTTACTTTCCCAATAAATTAGCACCATTTTCGCCTCGCTTTATCAGACATTTATCCTCGTTTATGTAAACTCATGTTTCACTGCTTTTCTCCGATTTAGTGTCGATGGTACTCACAAGTACGTCGCGTGACGATTTACCATTACAGGAGTTTCACGCCAGAAGTTAATTTTTTTTAAGAACGACAACAAAGAATGTTTATAGCCTAAAGTAAATGTAAATAATTCAACACAATTTGTCTCAGCCTTCCCGAATTATTGCAGAAACGAAAAACGTGACATTAATAAATTTTCTTTTAATCAGACGCAACCAGAGGGTTTGAAGATTCGAGAATCAATAGTCTTAAATTTTTCCATCAGATAAACGGTATTGTCGTATCACAATAAGGGTGTTAATTATCTCCTTCTTTATGAATTTCCGGTCTATGTTTTACAGACACAAGTCAATAACTCGAGGTAATATTAAGTATTTGATATCGATTTGTTTACAATTTGGATGAAAATTGGTATCTCATGAGAAGAAAATTGCGTATTCTACAAATCCATTCCCTCCCCTCTCCCCTTACTCCTTCCCAAGCCATGCCAGAATAATAAACAGATTTAAATGATCTCGCCAGATATTCAAATTAATGAAATGACCCGGAATAGATGGTGGCTTGTTTTACGCATTGTATATGATAATTCGCTCTGACGAAGGGCTAACGCTCGAAACGTCAGCTTTGAAATTGTTATGAATTAGGGCTTTTCCTTTTATTGTACAAATGTAATGAAGACACAATTTTAGTCGGTGTAGTTAATTACCTACGCAATGGATTGTTATACTAATTTTAGTTTATCATTTGAAAAAAAATGTAAAATTTCCGAACTGACGCAATAATTTAGAAAAGACGGTTTTTAAAATTTTAGTAAAAATATATTTATATATATATATATTTTTTTTTTTCTTTCCAAGATCTACGAGGGCGAAACAGAATATCAAATAAAGAATTACATACTCTGTGTCTAATACACGCTCAATCATTTTGACCACAACCGCTAAATGAAACTCACTTTTCTTTAACAGATGGTAAGTTTCTTGCAAGTACTCCCTCACGACTGTCTCAGCATAGTCTCTTTTTTTCACCATTGTAACTTCAAACTTTTGGAACAATTCAGGATGGAGCTTTCCAACTCTACTGAATGCCAACAAAAGGATAGCCAAATCATTTGTTGCAAAGGATTTGAGATCATCGCGCTGTAACAGCTCTTTTTCAACCACTTCAAACACCTCAGCTACAAAAGCATCTGCTCTAGAGTAAGAAAGTGACAGAGATGCCAGAGTCCATGACTTAAATTGGCTGAGATCTCGAGTTAAAATCTCACTACCAATCGCCTTGTAAATTGCCTATCTTTGGGAAAGCCAAACTCAGAAAATGACCAAGCTATAGTGCACAGTTCTTCAGATGAAAATTTTGATATGTCTCTTGAGAAAATCTCCTTATCTAAGGCATGGAATATTTGAACAACATTTAAATGCAAACAGTATTTTGCGAATGCCCAGCCTAGCTGAGACAGCTGTTTGTTATTGTATCCTCTGAGTTTGTGGTACAAAATTCCTCTTTCAAGATCCGCGTAGATATAAGGATCTTTAACACACAATTTAGCAATGTAAATTAAAACATTGTATATCTGATTCGCATCAAAGTCATTAAGGTGTACCCTGACGTCTTGCGCCAGCATCTCAAACAAACTCTGTTGGAGAGGCTGAGTCAAAAACAGATCTCTCATCTGAACGCTTTTCGAGAAATACACCACGACACATTCAAGAATTGTGAATTTATGGAGAGGAGTCAGTTCTCGCTTTTTCTTCACTCTGAACCAGTAAAACTGCAAAAGCCCCTTGATGAACTGTATCTTCCTAGTTCGCTTGGTGAGTTTCTCTTCAGGTGTGAACACAGGCTCAGGGTTTACTAGTCCCTCAAGGCGTGTCTTTCGTAATTTCTCCAGAAGCTTGCCAGAAGTTTCTCTAGATTTCTCTATTCTCTCGGCTTTCTTATTACTTGGACGAGCTACATGTAATCCAGATGTGTGGAAGAGATAGCTTTTGGGGAAATAACCCAGAAAAGCCACAGACAAGAATTTATCATGGAGACTACGAGAGATGTGACCGCGCAACTGATTTTCAAGCATGTGGGCACGACGAACTTTGGGTAAAAGCGAATTCATTTTCCATAAAAGAACACGATTTCTTTCTCCGCGAAATTTTCCTGGGTAGTCTTTTATGTGGTGAAGATTAGAAAGTATTCTGAGTGGTCTTACAGTTCAGAAGGTAAAACTTCTGCTAGTCAAAATGCATTGCAACGGCCGCCATTTTGTTTTTCGGTTAGGTACCAGACTCCTCAGGGAAAAGTGGCTGCGATATCAGGCTGCTATCGAGGATTGCACCACTCCACTGTGGTGTAAACAAGCGGCCCTCAGGTCATCATCGGCGTGTGACACGAAGCAAGCCGGTGTCTTCCCTCCACCTTGTTTACACTGCATCGCTTGCTGACATCTTCACGTAATCTCTACAACTCAACAATTTGCAGGTATTACGCTATTTACCGGCTGGCTTGACCTTGGCAAGCGTATTATTGGAACTGAATGATTTTTCCAAACTTACCTGTAACATATGCACTACTTGAGCGAGATTAATATTCTGCGTATACTAGAAGGTGCTGCTGAGTTACAATCCTTTTGTACCACAACTTAAGATCGTAACAACAATGCCGGATATAAACAAACAAGCTAAACTTGTTTTTGTATGTGGACTTATGGATTTGTTGGTACGAATTCATGTCGGTCGAAGTTAGATTTAGAAAAACTTTGTGCCTCGATTGCGTGCATAATTAGCCGGCGAAGATTGTCAAGCTAAACAGAAGACTGTCAATCCTCAGGTGCTTAAACCAAATGCATCTCTGACATTCTACATGTCCAATGCTGTACACGTGCCAGTTACATGTACACAAGTATATGTCATTAATGCAATTAGGTAAAACTACAGATTTCAATTACACATCCTTTTAAGTTATGCCTCGTTCTTCACAGCATGCTGACAATTGAGCTGGACCTCATTGGCCCTGTTTTGTTTAGTTGCTCACAGAACTAAATTGCCTAGTCCCTAGAATGACTTAGAAAATGATAATTTTAAGTCTTTCTCGGTGGGCTGTTGGGTTAAACAGGAGTAAACATCAATTTCTATTTTAATCAAAACTGTAACAAAATTCTCGAACGCAATCCGTTATCACCAGCCCCATTTGAGCACAAATAGGACAGTGTACACATCATGCTTGTAATTGGACAGCATAATAGGACAGTTAAAGGGACAGTTCACACATCATGTCTGTGTAAGTGGACTCTGACTGTCACATGTGTGTGCTGTTGTCTTGCATATTGCCAACGTAACTATTGAATTTTTTTTATGAAAATGTATAACCAATTCTAATTTCTTTCTCAAATTTTGTCATAGTTTTGATTAATTGGTAACAAGAAATTGTGTCATCCAATTATACTCATGATTAAAAAATCAGACTCCTGCTCCACAGTCGTACGATTTTGTCATTCGCTCATACGATTACTGACTGAATTGGACTCCACTCGGTTCTATTAGCATTATATATCAGGCTGAATAAACACATTTTGATTGGTTTGTATAATCCTTTGAAAGAAGGATGCACAGATGACATCGCCATAGACAACATTGCATTTTATTGTATTAAGCAAATAGATTCTATTCTGTTGTGGTCTGTACAGTAATAGCTAGATCACAAAAGACATCAAAATGTGGTAAGAACACCAGTGACACACTCAGCAGTGCCTTGCATGCATTTTTCCCAACACTTACCACATTTTGACATCATCTGTGATTTATTACCAAACAGACACATGACAGCATGAAATCTATTTGTTAACCCTTTAACACCTAAGATCTCACAAGTAATTCTCCTTATTGTCTGCCAAACGATTCTCATTATGTTAGTTTGGAGAATTTGATATCAGATCAATTAGTAATTCGCTAATTTATGTTTTCCTTTATTCTCATCACTTGCTTGCATGATATTGTATAGATGTAGTAAGGAGAAATTCTGTCTTGATCACTCATAGGAGTTAAAGGGTTGGGCAGTATACTTTGACCTCAGCTTTGTTCTTTTTCATTTCAGATTAGTTTTAGTAAAAATGGAAGTACGTGTTGAAGATGGTTCAATCAATTCTGAAGCTGTGACTTCCCAAACTCAATCAGAGAATTTTGTTGACAATGGATGGGCTTCTTTTCCTGAGATTGCCAAGAGGGAAGAAGTAAAAAGGGTAGGTTAAATTTTGCAACTGATCAATGAAATCTTTTACACCTGTTTCTCTAAAATATCACATCCGTAATCTGTTTTTTTGGTGAAGGTACTGATTGACTGTGGTTTTGTTTCATTTCATATAGAAACAAAATCCTGAAGATAGAGCCAACTTTCTCTCAAGGCTCACATTTTGGTGGTTTAACTGGTGAGAATTTTTGTATGAAATGATATAGTTTATGTGATCTGATTACCTAGAATAGGCTATTATACAATCTTGAAAGGACTACTGTAGTCCTCCATGATTGAGGTTTTACAAGAAATTATCAAAGACTTGATTCATATTGGACGTTATCTATAAATTAGAGAATTCTTAGTCTACAGATGTGAATCCTCTTCCCTTGGTCTAACTTTGTGCACCAGTGTCAATAAAAATAGCCAATAACTTTAATTTTTTCCAGGATTATATCTACTGGTTACAAAAGACCACTCAAGGACAAGGATTTATGGGCCTTGAGGAGAGAAAATCAAGCAACATATATTGTCCCAAAACTGAAAAAGAAATGGACAGAACAACAAATGAAATGCAGAAAAATGTAAGAAACCAGATAAAGTGTACTGTAAAATAATGTGAAAACTAAAGTCCTGGCTTCTTGTATGTTTACTGATCATCATCCTTGAGGCAAATAATTGGGTTAGAAGGAAATAACATGGTGGTTTTGACTGGATGTGAAAGTTCACTTGATGTGCCAGAGAGTCATGAAAACTTTTGTGCCCAGTTGTAATCACCTTCATCTCCCTCTTGTCTTAGTTTTTCCCTTTCAGTTGGTATTATGAGGATGACTGATCGTTAGTTCTGTTTGTGTCACCTTGGAGACACACTGCTAAAAGGCTCAACTCCTATTCCTCATCTGTTGTATCCATCTCTACATCCCTTTCACCAGGGCCCAACCTGTTGCTCTCAAAACTTCCCTTTACCTTCTGCCCTCTTCCTCTCCTCACCTCCAAGTTATGACTGTTACCTCACCAATAAGCACTGACTCATCACTCCTCACCCTTCAACTCTGACTCTTGACCTTTTCCCCTTTATTCTTGACCTAACCCTTTACTCATCACACCCGAGTGCCCAACTCTAAGTTCTATCCACTTTTCTCTGCTTCTAAGGAGTTAATGCAACTAATTATAAGAACCCCTTCAAATTGTTTAAGGTTGAGTATTAAAGAACCATCTCATGGGACATTGCTTGATTTTTCTGTTGATTATTTTTATTTGATTTTGATTAGAAATTCAGACAGAAGAATTCATAAAGATGAAGATGAATACAATGAAAGTGATAGACTATTGGACGATGACAGTGGCCCTGATGAGGACATCGAAAATACCTCAACGAGAAAAGAGGAGAAAAAACCTTCTCTCAGAAAAACACTGGGAAGCCTGTTTGGGTTCAAGTTTGCTCTTGCTGTCTTTTGCAAGCTGTTGCACGATTTGCTCATTTTCATCCAGCCTCAGCTTCTAAAGTAGAGTGTTCCCTTTCACTTGATTTGTTAGACAAATATAATAAACCTAGACTCAGAATCTAAACTGGTGAAGGTAGATGGATGATTTTTACATAATCCTTTATTTTCATTCAATAAGTGTACAGCTTTGTTTTTTAGATTTGCATAACATTTTCCATCATATTTAGTCATGCTAGAGAAAGCACTGTCCGTCACCTCCCTCACACAAAAGAATTAAATGAGAGGCTCAAGATTGCAAAACTTTACTGAATACATAGAATATGCCAACGATAATAACATGTGAAATAGTTAGAAGAGTATGCATGGTGTTCCCAATCCTTTGCCTCTAATTGACAGTTATTTATGTTATTGAAGCTATTTGAAATTTTTAAAGAACTGTTTAATAATTTTTTAGATTATTAGTTGGCTATACTGAAGACAAAGGTGATATGTTTGGTCCATGGAAGGAGTGGAAAGGCTATGCATATGCTGGGGCCATGTTTGGAGTAGCTGCTATTCAGTCATTGGCACTTCACCAGTATTTCCACATTATGCAACAGATTGGCATGAGAATGCGCACAGGCATCATTGGTTTGGTTTATGAAAAGGTAACTGAGATACTTGTGAGTTGGAAAATCTAAAAGCTGAGATCAGTTTGTTTGTTTTCCTGGTTTCTGCTAATCATTTGTGTAGATGCAGGAGCAACATATGTTGGTGAATATTTGAGAGTGTGATTAAAAAAAGATTGCATTTTTCATTATTTCCTTTCATTAAATCATATCACTTAAGTTCTAAGTAGAAAATTAAACTAACCAGCCAGCTCCCAGCTGGCTTGTTAGTTCAGTTGGTAGAGTGCTGCACCAGTATCGCAGAGGTCATGGGTTCAAATCCCTTACAGGCCTGAATTTTTTTCAGGCCTTATTTCAACTACTAGTTCAGTAGTGTTCATTACTGTGAGGATCGCTTCTATATTAATTTCTTCACCTGCAGTGCACATATATGATTTTCATATATCTACAGTCATGTAGTACCCCTGTACAACAGTCATTCCAGCGGAAGTGCCTTAGTTTGTGAAGAGCTACTTTGAAGTGCAGATCAGTTGAGTTCTTTACACTTGGTGTGTGATTATAGTAGCGTGGACAATGTGGGTTGAGGGGGTAGGGAGCAAGGCAAGAAGACTCCACCCTCTTTCAACCCCTTTTTTATCGACACTCACCCTTTCTTTCTCTCCCCAGTTTTCCACTGTTTAAAATACGAAATATGGCAACTATAATGTTCACCAACAAAATATTAAGCACTCGCTCACCAAAATTATGTGCAGGCTTGAAACACATAAAGACAAGTAGAGCTCGCATTGTATTCTTTTGTGTGTATTTCATAGGCTCTAGTATTGAACAGCAAGGCTAAAGGGAAGACAACAGCAGGCGAGCTTGTGAACCTGATGTCAGTGGATGCACAGCGCCTGATGGAGCTCACGACTTACATAAACTCGTTGTGGTCGAGTCCACTTCAGATCGCTGGTTCTCTATACTTCCTCTATAATACTCTTGGACTCTCCATTCTGGCTGGACTAGGAGTCATGATTCTAATTATTCCATTAAATATGTTTTTTGGAAGTAGAATGAGTACTCTTCAGGTCAGTTAATAGACCAGTTTTGGTCAGAAATAGCACACCTTTGATTTTGTTGTTCTCAACAACAAGCACCTCTAGTATTGTGGTACATTTTTACTTATTCTGCTACTGTTATGGTTTCCTTGAACGTCTCTGCACTGTTATTTTGCTGTAGAGCACACACTTTAGTTTCTAAAAAGAGTATGGATGCCTCATGTTCCAATCCAATTTCACGGCAGATAGAAATACAGGTTTCAGGTTTGCAGGTTTATATTCGATTACCAGCCGCTGTTTGGGAATATGAGCCCACGCTCCTCCCCATCGAACTTAGGAGCAAAGACCAGCCACAAGCCTAGTTTATATACTGCAGTGTTTGATCTCGGACTTCTGTAGCTGATGTGATCGCCGTTAAATGAAAACACCAATCTTCATAACCCCCCTTAACAAACAGTTGTGATGTTACAGTTTGAACAGCCTTATGGTAAAACGGCTTTTGGCATCTGCCATCAAAAGTGGCTACATTTTCTATTAAGTAGCTTGGAGATACAGCCTAATTTGTCAAGAGTAACCTGAAATGTTAAATATTTAGCCGCGCTTTTCGTTTTGACAACTTAATTAAAGAGGTTGACTGAAACAATTTATGCAATTGATATTCCTCGTAACTTGATGGAGGTTGCAAAATGAAAGATATTTTATTCTATTTTAAACGAACCTACAGGTAAAACAAATGAGTGAAAAAGATGAAAGGATTAAACTGATGAATGAAATTCTTAGCGGAATAAAGGTAAGTTTCTGCAACTTAAGGTCACGAGAACAAAGGAAATTCTACCAACTAAGGGAAAGATTGTGAAACAAATTCTCCTTGTCAGCACCTTACGAATTGTATGGAGAACAGTAAGGAGAATATAAATACTGATGTAAGGGTGTTAACAGTAAATAGATCTAATGGGACGGTCTGATTTGTGGATGAATTGAAAGAGAAAGTTAGTTTCGATCGATCAATCTATGAATTAACTGCGACTTCTTGTTTTGATTAATATTATTGTGTGTTTCCAGGTCCTCAAGTTGTACGCTTGGGAGGAGTCCTTCATGAAAGAGGTGGAAATAAAACGTAAAAAAGAGCTAAAGTACTTGAGGAATTCTGATTTCTGGGCGGCAGGATTTATGTTTACGTTTGGCTGTGCACCGACATTAGTAAGTTGCTAATCAAGACTTCTCAGGTTTTCTCTTTCCAAAACCCAAACGAGCAAAGGGAAGCAACGCTAGTGATCGTTGTAAGCCATTTTTTAATTGAGTGTAGGAAGTAATCCGAGATTGCGTTACGTTGCTCTGTGATTGGTTGAGAAAATTCGCGCCACTCTTAGCCAATCAGATTCAAAACTAACACCAATTACGACTTGGTCGCCCGTGTTTTCCCGCGCTTTAGGTAGTTTGCTCGTGTTTACTTTGAGTTCTCATTGGCTCTTCTGGCGATGATTTTCTCTCTTCTGATTGGCCGTTGTAGTTGCTTTGGATTTGATTTTATGACATTCAATCGAACAAACAAACAAAAATCAAACAAACCAAGATAAAGTCTAGAGTCAGCCAGTTACAGTGGAACATACCTAAGTGAACTTTTTTATGCTCTACTTTCCAGTACAATTTGAACTCACGTTTATTTCTTACTACATAAACAACTTAACTCAACCGAATGATCAGACTACGCAATCAAATGTACTCCTAAACCATTTTTTTATGTAATGTATGTCATATAGCAAAAAGTCTTCAATTTATAATTACAGCCGGACAGTTGCTTTTTAGCGATTGGTCAAACTGAGTAAATGTTCTTCTAAACCGTTGTGTGCATCTTTTTTTTTTTCTACTTTCTTCAGGTGGCAGTCACCACATTTGCGATCTATGTAATTACTGGCAATTTGCTAACAGCTAGTAAAGCTTTCGTTGCCTTGGCGCTTTTTAATGTGATGCGCTTCCCACTTGTCATGCTTCCCGATGTCATCGTTTCTTGTGTTCAGGTAATTCGAATATTTAACCCTCTTTTGTTGTTGTTCTCTAAATCTAATTAGTAAACTCACATCAACAAAATAACCCTTTATTTCACCGAAGATTTTAAAAGTGACTTTAACTCAGAATTTTGAAACATTATCCGCATGGGAATTTACTGGAAGTTTTCTTGTTTTTGTTTATTCATTGATTCATTTGTTTATTTGTTTGTTTGTTCAACAGGCAAGTGTATCTCTGAAGAGGCTGCAAGATTTTCTAAACCTAGAGGAACTGGACCTCAACAATGTCCAAAGAACAACATGTAAGATTTCCTGTTCACCTTCTTGTCATTTTAAGATAATCATTCAATAAACTGTTCGTCAACTTTTAAATGGTAACCTGCTCGCAGGGACTAATGATGTGAAGAAATAGAATAACCGAACAATCTGCTCAGCGGAAAGGAGAGAGGAAACACAACATTGAAGGCAACATCAACTATAATGACAACACGGTCGTCAAAGACAAAGACAAAAGCATTAGCAACAACAGCAACAATCACAATAACAACAACAGGCAGTGGGGGAAGCACCACACAAAGTGAACTTGTTAACTACGCCTTGTTGTGTTTTCATTCCTTTCAAATCCGGAAGAAATTTTGCCTACTGCCTCATCCACGTCCTTTTTCTGTGTTTTATTTGTTTATGTATATTTTATTTTACAGTGTCGTCCTCTGCCGTGTCTATCGAGAATGGTACATTTACGTGGAGCAGCAGAAATGCACCTGTGTTGAAAGAGTGAGTTTTGAAAGTTAACGGCGAATTGCCAACATTTAAAGGTGATAAGTAACCTGAAAGAGCATTATATGTAAGTACGTAATGTTTTATACGCTGGAAGTATCTCCAAACGGAAGTAAAATCGTCTCCTATAAACGCGCGCAAATGATGTACAAGTAAGTGATAATTATGAGACGTTTGTTGGTTGAAACTTAACCAGTGAGGGTTTTTTTTTCCAGGGTGTCGTTGCAAATTCCTAGTGGCTCACTTGTCGCCATAGTCGGGCAGGTTGGATGTGGAAAATCTTCCTTACTTTCTGCCCTCCTTGGAGATGCCGAGAAAGTGGATGGAAATGTCTCTGTGGAGGTGAGAACTCTGTAGAACGTTGTTCAATTATTTTTCAAAGGTGATCATGGATTGCGTTAGTTTTACATTGCTTTGCTCTCGCGTGAAGTTAGCCCTGAAGCAATTGCTGATAGCGTCTTGTCAAAGCTGATATCTATTTGTTAAACGAGCTATTAAAATGCAAACTACAACCAATTCCGACGTGATCACTTTCGCTTTTCCTGCGCTTGAAGCGGTTTACATCCTGTTTTCTTGTATTTCGCATATTTGTAGGGATCTGTGGCGTATGTTGCTCAGCAGGCCTGGATACAGAACGCAACTTTACGAGACAATATTCTGTTCAGCAAAGCCATGGATTCTGCACGCTACGAAAACGTACTTGACTCGTGTGCTTTGAGACCTGACCTGGAAATTCTTCCTGCTGGTGACTCCACAGAAATTGGAGAGCGAGTATGTTCTTTTGTTTCTTTTCAAAGGCGCTAGGATTCTCAACAGGCGTCTGAGCATTAAAACCAATATAATTCAAAGTGCACAAATTTATAACAACACCAGTAGGCACACTTTGTAAGCTATCCAATTCCTTAGACTATGGCTCCACACATGGTTGTTTTGGGAAAAAGAACCAAAATGATTAAAAAAATGATGAGACTTCCACGTTTTCTATGAGGTATTTACCTTTTATTCCCGTAGATGTCAACTCTATTGTTCATGACTCCTGGTGCTTTCCTATGTATTCGAAAATTTCATTTTGTTTTAACCATTTTTTTCTCCTCCTTTAAGGGTATTAATCTTAGTGGTGGACAAAAACAACGTGTAAGCTTGGCTCGTGCTGTGTACTTCAATGCTGATATCTACTTGTTGGACGATCCGCTCAGTGCTGTGGACTCACATGTTGGAAAACACATATTTGAGAACGTTGTAGGGCCACGAGGAATGTTAAAAAATAAGGTTTGCTAGAGTTCGTGTTTTAGAGCTTGCAGGCTCATTTTCTGGGCAGCGTTATATGTTTTGCGATCAGTACTTCATTTTAAATGTTACCAGGCAGGCGGGCTCAATCCCACGGCTAGTCTGTGTATTAACTGCCCTCACAATTTGATTCAAGGAATTTTGAGATTATAAGTGGGCCCTTTATCGTGAATTCAGTGTATATTGAGACTTGTTAGTTCCTAAGTGTTTGATTATAGGGAAGTTCGCCTTTTTTTTTGTTTTTTTTACAGACTCGTTTGCTCGTGACTCATGGAGTTCATTTTCTTCCACAAATGGATCAAATTATCGTGCTCAAGGATGGAAGAATTACCGAGGTTTGTTTATTGTTCATCTTTAATGGCATTGTATATGGAGATAAATGAAAGCTGGTGTGCCACAAAACATCATAAATAGCACTCGTCGAACGGGAACGGTCTATCGTGCACTTGGGTAAGAGTAATCAAAAAAATTCACGGTGGCAAAGTCCATGAATTTTTGGCAATGTTGCATAGGTCCGTTACAAAAAATTCAAACTATGCAACGGACCTTTTAAAACACACAATTGAAAGGAATGCCTACGTCGCCATTGCTGCCCAGCAAAGCACATAAAAGAGAATTCATATTTTTCGGCGTTCAATCGATAGGCGTCCAACAGGAAGCTCAGTGGCACTGGAGACTAATTAGACCAATTAGCCTTACACAAGAACTAAGCTATTCTCCCCACCAACGGTACGATAATTGTTGGTAATTTATTGTTTGTTTGTTTTTTTTTCAGTGCGGTACTTACTCAGAGTTGATGGCCAACTCAGGAGCCTTCGCGGAATTCTTACAAACCTACTCATCAGAAAACCACTCTTCAGACAACTCAATAGGTGAAAAAGTTGGCTTTTTTATCACAAGGGAAGGGAGGGGGGGGGGGGCACGAGGTTTCGTTTCTCCCAATACTTATTAACCTGGTTGTTATGATTTTCTCTTGTATAAACTTTCATCCAAAGTGCTTTTGCTGCATTTTTTATCCACTTCCACGATTATGGTTTATCAGGTCTAAGGGAGAAACATGTGGTTTTATAACCAAAGCGTGAAAGTCGAGTTTTCGAATTTTTCGCCTTGACCTGCTCAAATTCCTTTGTTACATTTTTTTGTTTATGTGTGTGTTATTGTTTGTTTGTTCTAGAAAATGAAGAACAGGGATCTGTTGCGAAGGCTAGCTCCAAAGCAAGCAGTTCTGATGTTAAGGAAGTAAGTCAGAAGGATGAAAACGACGATGAGGACGAACTGGGAAAAATGATTGAGGAGGAACGCTCAGAGACTGGAAAAGTGAGTATTTAGATAAAGAGCTTTATGCACAAGTTGCCGACCAAGCGTTCACCTACGGGTGAAGAATTTTTGAGAGACCTGCCATCGTTTCAGTATTTTACTCGCTAGTTAATTATTTTTGTGATTCTTTATTTTATTGGTGTAATCATTCTTACTGTTATCAGTGTCACTGTCATTATCGATGTCATGATTATAATCAGCGTCATTGTGATTTCCATCATCGTTATTGTCTTCAATTTGAGTTTTGAGCTTCATTATCACCATCATCATTATTATCGTCTTCGTCATCGTCATTATCGTTTCCATTGTTAATCGTTATCAATATTACTGTTAGTATCCTTGTTACAGCCCCTGCCTTTGTCTTTACCCTCTAACTCCCATGAGTGACCAAGAGAGAATTTCTCCTTACAATATCAATACTATATCAAGCAGACAAGTGATGAGAATACAGAAAAATATAAATTACGGGGATTATAGGTGGCTCTAATACTAAATTCTCCAAACTAACCACCTAAGAATTATATGGCACACAGTAGGGAGAATTACTAATGAGATCTTGGAACGGAATGGTTATAAGTATCAATAATGTGACTTCTCGCATTGTTTTAGGTCAAGTTCGCAGTATTCTTCTCCTATCTCAAGTCTGTGGGCTGTTGCGCTTCCTTCCTAACCATAGTGTCCTTTCTCCTGATGGAAGCCTGCACAGTAGGGACAGGAATATGGCTGGCTTACTGGAGCTCGGCAAATGTCACTACAGACGAACAAAGAAACTTGTACTTGGGAATTTACGGTGGCCTCGGTTTGGGTCAAGGATTCTTCACTTTCCTTGTTTCTATTTTTGTCACAGTTGGAGCTATGAGAGCATCTCGAAGGTTGCACTGCAACCTCCTAGTCAACGTTATGCATTCACCAATGAGCTTCTTTGACACCACCCCACTGGGGAGAATTGTCAACAGGTTCTCGAAAGATTTGTACACTATTGATGATACCATACCGCGGTGTGTCACGGATTTTATTTGGTGTTCACTCGAAATTATTGGGATGATCGTAGCGATTAGTTACGCCACTCCGCTGTTTTTAGCTACGTTGCCTGTTGTTGCAATTTTTTATTTTTATATACAGGTGAGTGAACCAAGGCGAAAAGAAAGCCTTGGGCCCGCTTTTGAAAAGAAAGCCTTGGGCCCGCTTTTGCTGTGACGAGTTTTCCTTGTTTGTATATGTGGAAGAAGGTGACCTGTTATTTCTTCTGGTAGACGTGACTTTCTAAGACTAGCGGACCTCGACAAAAGTTGCCATGAACAAAATTTGTCAGCACGGATTGTATTAATTACGTAACGAGAACATTTTAGCAGTCTCAAATTTAATTCTACTCCAGCAAGCTTTAGCCTAAATTATCCAACTTGCATTAATTTTGGCGAACAGTATTTCTTTAATCGAGAATTGACTAATTTTTCCCCTTGGTCGTTATGTTAAGAGCATTGAACTGTTTTAATATATTTCTACAGAGAGTTTATGTAGCAACTTCGCGGCAGTTGAAGAGGATCGAGTCCGTCAGTCGGTCACCAATCTATAGTCACTTCCTGGAAACAGTGAACGGCGCCAGCACCATACGAGCATATTCTCAACAACGCCGTTTTATCCTCGATAATTACTATAGAACAGATGAGAATCAAGTGGCTTACTATTCTACTGTATCCTCAAACAGGTGAGGAAGAACAAGTGAAAGCAGAACTCGGAGGATTCATTGGAGTTTCAAAGCTGACGTTTCGAGCGTTAGCTCTTCGTCAGAGCGTGGATAAAAGCACCTGTTCTGAGCGTCGTTTCTTTTCTTTCTTTTTTTTTTTTTTTTCCACGTAAGCTCTGTTGTGGCCGGGATTGCTAAACTGACGTTAATGTCAATGTGATTGGAGATAGTGCAGTACGTGCGGTTCGTCTATGTTAGTTTAACGTCTTGACATATCTGCTCATCCATGTTTTGGACACTTAAAGGTCTTATTTTAGTTTCCACGTGCAAGTGATAGAGGTGTCAGTTGAATACAATTTTGTTTCACAATAAATGTAGGAAGACAAAGTTAGGGACAGAAATTGGGTCCATTTGATCCAAGGTGATCGTTTTAAATAGGGATAATTGATACTTTGTTTTCATTGTTTCCACAGGTGGCTCGCAGTTCGTCTTGAATTTCTCGGTAACTGCTTGATATTATTCGCTGGGTTATTTGCTGTCTTAAGCAGAGACAAAATCATGAGTGGATTGGTGGGAATGTCGTTAACATATTCGTTAGAGGTGAGTACATTGGCTAAGCTCGGATGTAGCAAAAGAAACGGTCAAACATTTGCCTCGCTCCCAACTTGTGTCTTCGTAGCTCAGTCGATAGTTGCGCGCTACTAGTCCGCTCTGGGAGGCATGGGTTCGAATCCCGTCGAAGCCGGGAATTTTTTCCGTGCTTCGTTTCTGCAATTTCTAAGATCGAAGTCCAGCCACGTGACCTGTGAGGATCATTTCTTTGCTTGTAAGTGAACATACCGATACTAAACCATAGCACAAGCTGAACGCGTTGTTTCACTCGCCTATAGAAACCACAGCTGGAAGCTTGAGCGGCACTTTTGTCTAAAGAAGTTATCAATTTATCTAGATTCATTTACTTCTTCTGTGTTGTCTTTAGATTACGGAAACTCTCAACTGGGCAGTGCGCATGACGAGTGAACTAGAAACTCAACTTGTTTCCGTTGAAAGAGTGAAAGAATATTCAGAAACAGATACAGAGGTAACTAATAACAATAATAGCAATAAGAATTTAAAACTATTAAATTCTGAGCTCGAGGGTTTTATTGCGTGATAGTTGTAGGTTTCTCAAAAATTTAACCCAAAATGATTTTAAACTTGTTTGATTTGTAGTTTGGTTTGATCTAGGTCATTTTCTTTATCCATTCATTTTCAATCATTATATCAACTATTTTGTGCATAGGCTAGATGGATCATCCCAGAAAATCGACCGCCAGACGACTGGCCGTTTACTGGACGGATTATAATAGATCAATTTGACTTGAAATACAGAGAAGGATTACCTCTTGTACTGAAACAGATCAGCTGCGATATTAAACCAGGAGAAAAGGTACACAAACAAGCCAGGGTATATCTAAACGGTTAATCGTCCCTCTATGTTTTTTATTTTGGTTTCCTATCACTGACTAACATGTAACTTTTTTTCTTTACCATCACCCAGCAAACAGGTAATGAGAATAATCAAACTTATCAGCTAGTTTTTGTTATCTTGATTTAATACCAAATTCTCGATACTAATCTACTAGGGAATGTGTAGCAGCTAGAGGGGAGAATCATCAATCAGATCTTGGGAGATAAAGGGTTAATGAAGACAGAAATGTCAAATAGTGAGGAATGGCTCCTAGATGAGGCTTTGTGGATTAACTGGGTACTTTTTCTCTGTCTTTGGTGGAGAGACTAAAATTACGAAGTTCAACTTTTGAAATCGTTCTTAATCTTAAGCTTTGTGCGTAATGCATTATTGTTGACTGGAAAGCTGCCGTGGCTAGCGTCAAATTGTACAGTGATGATATTGAGGGCCAGCGAACTGTAAACTTACACTTTCATATGCATTTGACCGTGAAGTCTGATCGTCTGGGTGAGTGAAGGCCTCAGCTCCTAAAATATCAGTGCAATATCAAGCAGACAAGTGATGAGAACAAAGAAAAATATTATTTGGGGAATTACTAGTTGATCCAATACCAAATTCTCCGAACTTACATCATAAGAGATGTGTGGCAGAATTACTGAAGAGAGCCTTGAATTGAAAGGGTTGAAAGAGCTACTGTCAATGGCACTGAGTGACTAATGTTTCGACAACCCGAGCGGAAATCCTAATCAGAGTCAAGTTCTTGCTATTTACCCCACGCTTCTATCCGGGTTTACGTTCAATCAGGTTGTAAAATCACTTCATATTTTAGCGCCCTTTTTTTTAATTCCAACAGATAGGCATTGTTGGCCGAACTGGAGCGGGAAAGTCGTCATTGACGTTAGCTTTGTTCCGTATTCTGGAGAGAGCTGGTGGAAAAATAACCATCGATGGTGTTGACATCGCTACCCTTGGGCTGCAGGATTTACGCTCGCGGCTAACCATCATCCCACAGGTAATAGCACAGTATAGGTATACGTGTTTAAGCAATATTGACACGTGTACGGACACGTGTGTATATGAGATGTGATGGTCTGTTGATTAGTACGCTGGACTCCTGATTGAGAGGTCCTGGTGCCGTGTTTTACTTCGAAAAGGTTTACACAGGGTGGGACTACGCCCTTGGGGCCTTCGGTCCCACAAGGAGATGTTATCATAGTCTACGAAGGGCTGGTAGCAAATGATCCAAGACTTGTGATCTAAGAGCTTGCTGTTTTTCTCGATCAAATTTAATTTTGTTGTTGTTGTCTTTTCTATTACTGTTAGTGTTATTTTTTCGTAACATAATCCTTCTGATTCTTGGCATGAATAATGCAACAGGATCCAGTGCTGTTCTCTGGGAGCCTTCGACTTAACTTGGATCCTTTTAATAAATACACTGATGACCAGCTATGGTACGTGTTGGAAGTGAGTCACCTGAAGAACTTTATCTCAGGGCTTAATGAAGGACTTCAGTACACAATTGCAGAGGGAGGAGAGAACTTGAGGTGATTAACTTGACGAACTTTTTCTTTTAACTTTATTTCATGTAAAAAACAAATTATTCATACTGGCTGTACTCCACAGTGTTGGTCAACGTCAGTTGGTGTGCTTAGCGCGTGCGCTGCTGCGTAAAAGTAAGATCTTGGTTCTGGACGAAGCCACGGCTGCGGTGGACTTAGAGACTGATGAACTCATTCAGCAAACGATTCGGCGAGAGTTTGCTGACCGCACAGTATTCACCATAGCTCACAGGCTCAACACCATTATGGATTATGACAGGTCAGTATCTTTTGCTCGACTTGTGAGTTCTGTTTTGATTAGAAAGGGGTCTTCTCTAACGTCCGTGGTGAAGTAAGTGTAAAGTAAGTTCTTAATAATCTAAGACTTGAGAGTGAATTCCTGCTCCGTATCTGAAAAGGTCTCCCAGGAATGAGCTAGTTACTTCGGCATTTTGTGATATTCAGCTTTCTGTCGCCCGTTTGTTTTTCTTATCATGATAGTTCATACATTTTTGGTTCATTAAATTTTATCATTACTTGTTTTTTTTGTTTTGGTTCGATTTCTTTCTTTTTTTTTTTATTCCGCTCTAGAGTTAATTGATATGGTAGCCTTGTAAAATGTCGAAAGCAGTGACGACTTGATGAGGCTAGATTTATGAGATGGCTGGAATTGAAGAGGTTGTGGTTAAAAATAAACTGTTTTGTTTCACTTGCAGGGTGTTGGTTCTCGATAGCGGCTCCATTGCTGAGTTTGATTCCCCTTCAAACTTACTGAGTAGAAACGGACTTTTCGCGAAATTGGTTCAAGATGCCAGGCTTTCCTGAGGATCTTGTGCATGAGCATTGGTTGTGTTTTCGATTCCAGCCCATTCCAACACGTGGTCCTTAAAAGAGACTCACGAGTACATGTTGAACATGAACACGCGAACATTAAGTTCACGAGATATATAACCAAGGAAAGCGTTTTTCACGAGATAATATAACCAAGGAAAAAGTTTTGTGTTGTGTGTTTCCTGTGCCGTGTTCTCTCAGACCCTGATCGTTAATCCATTTCACCGACGTAACCGAGGAAAAAGGCTCACAGATTCGCAAGACTCCGGCGAAACGAAACGGATTAACGCAGCGAAATTGATATATATATATACGACGAGCGCTTAGGCGCGAAACTCAGAGTCATAGAATCGATGCGTCCTCTTTAATTCTTTAACTTATATATATATATATATATATATATATATATATATTTAAGAGGTTTAAACCCCTGAAGAGTGAAGCGATTCACGAAACAGGCTTGTCGGGAAAATATAGTTGCGTCCTTTTTTCCTCTTAAAATATTTATTCCGCTCTGCTTCAACGTATTGAGCACTGTTCCACGCGAAAATCGACTTGCAGACTCCCTATATATATGAGCTTTAGAAATAGCAGGGATAAGTCTGAAAACCGTCGCTAAGAATTCCGATTCTCTGTATGCAGTGTCTAAGCTAAAATTCTTGGATTTAATGAGTGTGAAAAATACTCCTGTAGCTGTGTAGGCTAAAAGAAATTTTACAACGATAAGAGACTACTTCTTTTGTTCATTTGTTCTCAAGGGACAATCCTTGCTTCCGTATTTCACACAATTCCTGGATTAAAGTGTGAAAAATACCCCTGTGACGGTGTCGGCTGAAAGAAATTTTACAACAATAAGAGACTATTTCCTTTGTTTAGTTGTTCTCGAGGGACACCCCTATTCACGTCAGTTGGTTACGAATAGTTTATAAACGAACATCGGTCGGTTTCAAGTAATCTAACTTGGTTCTAAGCCAAGGAAGGTGGTTAACAAGCTAAGCGGACTGAAATTGAAGTTGTTCAGGTTGTATTTGCCAGTATATTCGATTTACACTTAGAAATAATCTTCGATTTTTTTTTTATTTCTATACAGTCTGCCAGAGGTTTTGGTCGGCAGAATTTATAAACTAGTGATTTCCGTGGCAAAGGAGACCAGGCACGCCAAGTAGCTAGAATCTTGGAACGAGTAAATTTTCAACGCTCTTGGTGACTTTCGTGTGCGAGCCGAAGCCCTTGACAAACCACATTGACGTCACTGCTCTTTTTACTTTTGGCGGGTTAAAGAGACCTTTGTCAAACACATTCTGAGGAAAGCAAGCGAACGTTTTTGCAGCCGGTGACCGTTTTAGTATGGACGGAGAATATATATATAAGCCGTTTTCAATATGACCGGAAAACGCTTTGTATTTCTACGGCGTAATGTACAAGATGTTTCGTCGCGTGCGAAATGAGTTACGGAACTGTAGTCATGTGGTTCTCCAGGGACTTTGAGCTCCACTGGGATCTGAAAGAACGGTGTGGCGATCATAGTGCCACGGGGCAGGAAAGTGAAAATGGCTTATTCCTCCCCCCTAACTTCGTTCGTCTAAACGATCCCTCAAGTTCTCAAATGTGTTCAGAATCCCACTTTAACGGTAGGAAAAGTTTCATGTGGAACTTTTTTGCAAATGGCAACTCTTGTGATTTGACCTAATCCGGTCCAACAGGTGTGACGTAATTTGTAAACAAACGTTTCGTGATACTTGCCCAAACGTAACGATCGATCTTTCACTTTTAGAAAGCGACCAAATGGTAAAAGCAGCCTCTCGCGATCCTGAATCACACTACCGCAGGCAGTTCCCTCAAATAGCATGGCTATTTCAGACTACTTGAAGGGATTTCGTGAACCCATGTGGACAACAATTGAGGTTGATAAATTCTGGCGAGTTTTGCATCCATACCTGGATCAATTACTAAACGGCGCAATGCCTCTACCAGATTCCGACATTGATTTTACGTCCCTGGACCCGGGAAACGAAAAGCACAAGCAACGCTGTATCCAAATCATTCACCAATCGATGTGGAAAGGAAAATACTCTCTCTCAGTTGCTAATATAAAAGCAATCAAAACTTTCTTTCAAGACAGCGCCGTACGTGCCAACAATAGCCACATTAGTGTTTCTGATCTACTACGCGAATTGAAGAAAGCATTTGAATACAGACCCATGACTTACAGGTAAGCTTCTCGTACTAGTAAGTGAGTTGACTGTAAATTCTGCGTATCAGCGACTAAAATCAATACTTCTGCTATTTCGAGCGAAAATCTTTGTTTTGAAAGAGCGTTACTAATTGACATAAGAAAGGTGATAACATTAGACGATTTTTTTGTTGTGAGATTGGTTCACCATTGGCTCTGATAATATATCTGGTACGCCGAAATTACGTAAACAGAAGTTATCAGTAGGCAGGAAATGAGTTGTGCTAAGGTGAAAGTAACTCCAAAAGTTAGCATCTCTTAATAACCTAAGCTGATAAAATTATTCTGGAAGAAATATTGGCTGATGAGACAGTTAGGGTAACGACAATTGCTATCGTGTGGATTATTTGCAATTTTTTCACAACAAAGATTCTAGTTTCACAATAAGAATAGAGCCGCGCATGAAATTCAGGAATATAGGTAACTTTTCCTTCTTTCCAACGACCGTTAGCGTTCTTATTTGCACAAAAACGTGAAAACGATGAAAGGCTTTCAATCGCTTCCCTTGCAAGGTAGTACTGCAGTTATTTTAACCTTTCTACACCGATTTAAAATTAATTTCCCTTTAATCATTAAATGATCTTTTACTTTCCCAATAAATCTGCACCATTTTCGCCTCGCTTTATCAGTCATTTATCCTCGTTTATGTAAACTCACGTTTAACTACTTTTCTCCCATTTAGTGCCGATGGTACTCACAAGTACGTCGCGTGATGATTTACCCTCACAGGAGTTTCACGCCATAAGTTATTTTTTTAAGAACGACAACAAAGAATGTTTATAGCCGAAAGTGAATGTAAATAATTCAACACAATTTGTCTCAGCCTTCCCAAATTATTGCAGAAACGAAAAACGTGACATTGATAAGTTGCCTTCTAATCAGACGCAGCCAGAGGGTTTGAAGATTCGAGAATTAATTGAATGTCTTAAATTTTCCGATCAGATAAGCGGTATTGTCGTATCACAATAAGGGTGTTAATTATCTCCTCCTTCATGAATTTCCGGTCTATGTTTTAGAGACACAAGTGGACAAAACAAAAAAAGGGACAAAACAAAAAAAGGGACAAAACAAAAAAAGGGACAAAACAAAAAAAGGGACAAAACAAAAAAAGGGACAAAACAAAAAAACTTACTCCTTCCCAAGCGATGCCCGAATAATAAATAGATTTAAATGCTCTCGCCGGATATTCAAATTAATGAAATGACCCGGAATAGACAATGGCTGGTTTAATGCATTGTTTATGATAATTCGCTCTGACGTAGGGCTAACGCTCGAAACGTCAGCTTTGAAATTGTTATGAATCAGTGCTTTTCCTTTTATTGTACAAATGTAATGAAAACACAATTTTAGTCGATGTAGTAAATTACCAAAGTAATGGATTGTCATACTAATTTTAGTTTATCATTTGAAAAAAAAAGAAATGTAAAATATTCGAACTGACGCAATAATTTGGAAAAGACGGTTTTTAAAATTGGATTAAAAAATATATTTAAATTGTTAAATTGTTTATGTTTTTACTTTTGCGACTTGTCTCGAGTGAGATCAAAACATGGTTTAATTCAACACTGAGTTAAAAAGTTCAGCTTGAGACAGGAACCATTGTAGACTGTTCCAAAGGTAATCCTCTCCCATTTACACACTCACGGAAAATCGTGAAACTAAGTGAATGCATCTGCTACACGTCTCAAATCTTCTCGCCCAGTCGTCCTCTCTTGGTAAACAAAGTGCATGAGTGAACCTTAAAGAAACTGGTTAATTGTTTAGACAAAAACAGTGGTTATAGCGTGTAGATGACAATTTGTTTCAAGAGTGATGTTTGAGTCAGGTTAGCCCTCGGGCATTTTGGCGCTCTCTTTTGGTGCGAATCTTTACTAGTGTGAAATGATAACTGCAAGCGCTGCAGGCTAACAGATGATAAAAGTTTTTGGTCCATCCATATTAATATCCCTAAAGTAAGTCGACACGGCATAGTGACACTCGGAAGTCACGGTCGGCGGCTCTCGTGAAGCCGAACTCTTCCGAACTAGTGCAAACGTGATCTTTGACTGTTTTGACTTCAGGGGAAGAGATGTTATTTCCCAAATTGCAAAGTTAAATAACGGAAAAGTAATAATTTTATTATACACAGGGAAAGAGGCGAAATAATTTGCTTGAACAACAATTCTTGTAGCGTGAACTGAAATCAAATCAACAAAGTCCGGGTGACACGCGAGAAATTCTGTTCACCTTATTTTTCTATCCGAGGATCAGCATATTTTACCGCGAACAAAAGCGTAGAATTATGACCAATCACAAGAGAGAATTCTTTACTATAGAGTAAACAAATAATTCATTTGGAAAACACTGCAGGTCCGACAGCCTAAAACGATAAGCTCGCTGTAAAAACCGGGAAATATTGCAATTTTGTAACTTTTAGATCTGCAATCTCGTATTAACCAAACGAAGAAAAAATGGCGATTTATGATTGTCTCAAACGACAGCAAGATCCAATTTGGACTCACTGCGAGGTGGAAAAATTCTGGGATGTTTTGCGGCCGTACCTAGCTCATCTCCTTACCGGTGAAATGCCACTTCCAGATTACAGCATCGACTTCACATCTCTGAGCTCAAATAGCGAAAGAGACAAGCAATTCTGCATGGACGTAGTGCACGGCTCTTTATGGAGAGGAAAGTACTCGCTTGCAGTAGCAAATTTGAAAGCCTTGAAGGCCTTCTTTGATTGCAGAAACAAAAGCTGCGAATGTAACATTGCAGATCAGCTGCGTTTGCTGGAAGACGTTTTCAAACGCAGGCCTTTGGAAAGGTACGTTTAAAAAAAATCATTGCTATTAACGCGTTGATAAACAGCTACTGTTTTGCATGAGATCAGAAATAAGTACGCTGAGTGGAAATAAGAACATCTAGCTATAAATGATTTAATAGGATCAAGCAATCTTTTAGTTTTACCTTTCTAAAAGAAATGCGTATTGCTTAATAAATTATTCATCATTTTACTTCTAACTCCTTTGCATGTAAACACTTCAGACAACGACAGAGAAAAATAAATAGACATTAGGGGAAAAAAAAGAGAGAGAATTTTAAATCAAAAGCCGTCACTGAAATTCGTCTGTTTGTGTGATCCGTTATTTTACAAAGGTTTTCTAAAATGGGGAAAACTGTAATTTATTTGTATTATGTGAGCAAGGTTTCCTGGCTAAATTAAATTTACAAATAAAAAAATTACTTAAACTTTATGAGATTTTGCTTTTTATACATTTGTCATAAATACTCTGTCTTGCAGGCGTCATGTCTTGCCGCAATATCCAATGTACTTGACGAACTCCATATCACTTTCCAGTTGTAAGATGTCTGTTGCACAGTTACGTAATCAAAATATCCCTGTTTTACACTGGCAAGAGTTATTCACGTCTCGGCACCGGTTGTAAACATGTCATCTCATCACCGTAACGTAACGTACCATAACACTACGTAACGCAGGATAACATATCTGGATCAAAATTAATTTACACCAGTGGAACGGAAAACAGATCTTCAGGTTAAGCTCTTGCTTAGCAAGAGTTGGTGGAAATGAGCTTTATCTGTCAGTTTTTTACCTGAATTTTAGATGTGCGTTAATTAAAATTTTAGACTGTCTGACGCGACAAAATGGTTTGATAGCTTCCCATATGTAAATTACAAAAAGCATGGCGCACAATATTTTCAATTTTGCTGTAAATATACGATGTAATGAGATCAGTATTGTTAAAAAATTGTATTACAGCGGCCGAAACATGAAAACAAACGCTTTTGCAAGCATTGATTCAGCAGTGAAGTAGTGAAAGATTTCTAAATATAGTAGTTATGTATATATATTCGCTGATGTAATAGTTGAGAGACCGCTATATGCATAGCTAAGAGCTGACAGACTCAACGCTTGAGTTTTTTGAAAGTACTTTATAAATTTTTTTAAGCTTTCTTAATTAATTTAATTTTTTTATCTTAAGGATCAATTTTCGGTTCAAACATTTTCATGATATCATAGTACATCACGGTGTACGTAAATTTTCTATTGACGCAAAAAGCTTTGAAAAATTTTTATTACTGCCTTAATTTCTTTCAATAAAGCACAGTAACGTCAATTAAGTGTACATAAAATACTATTTGCATAATAATTAGAGAAATTTGGAAATATCTGAGTAATTGTTGGATACCTTAGTATTCATGAATTACTACTCTTGCCTTTGTCATTAAACAGAATTTTTGGTTCTGCCTGATTTCGGGCTCAGTCCCCATACAAGTTCGAAGGCCGATTTTGTAAAAAAAAATCTCCTAAAAAAGCCTGATTTCAGTGTCCTTTTAAAAGCATCAAGTAGTCATACTCCAAAAAGGGTTCCTTTTAGATCAATTTACTTTCATCTCTTTATTTTTATTGCTTTGAAATACACTACTCCGACATTTAACACAACCAAATGTTATTTCCTTTTTAATCTAGGCTATTGTAAGGGTAAGCTGGAAGAAAGTGGGAGAAAGGTTGGGGGGGGGGGGAGGGGCGAAATCGGACGTGGGAAGCACGTCGACGATAATGGTGAACCGGAGCCAATTTCTGGTCGAATGAACGACATATTTTGAAGGATCAGAGCGCAGATTAAGAGTAAGGAATTTCATAAAAGTAGAAAACCCATTTCCAGGTTGACTAGAGTCTCATTACCAAACGAGGCCAAGTGTGAGAATGAGTCATTTGCATGCGGATCGAATCACATGTTGAAGGGAAAGGTCTAGGATTGTTTTTGGCATCGAGGATGATACGTCTCACAGAAAACACCAAAAATTGTAAAAGATATCTTTCGCTCACAACACAAATATAATGCTTGGCGATATTAACATCGCCGGCCGAAACCACATGACACTCTAACATCGCCAACTGTCAAGCAAATTTTACGATCTAAACAAACAAACGGAAGAACAAACAAGTAAATAAGTAACAAAAACAGTTTCAAAGTTCTGTTTATTCAGTTATCAATATATTATTCCACAGTAGTCACAGAAATACCAGAAACAAATCAGAAGGTGTAAAGAGTTTAGGAACAAAAAATCCCTCGTGCCCAGGCCACCACTTATACTAAATCCATGAGACACCATCCCGAGGTGGGTAAGATTGGACTCGATGAAAGACATAAAATCACAGCGAGAAGGGGGAATGGGTCCGACAGAAAGAAAATGTTCACATCTCCTAAATAATATGTGTGGGTTTATGGATCTGTCCTCAATGCAGGTCTTCTGTTCCATTTAAGTTTCATTCATATTCGCTAAACAGTCAGAAAAAGAGATTAATAACCTTAGCCACCAAGAACTTAAAATTTCCCCAATTCCCCAACTATTCCCTTAGAAATCCCTCAGTTTCGTTATCATATATCATATTTCTTTGCAAAAACAGGTCTTTTCTTTTACCTGGAAAAAGAAAAACATTTTAAGAATTCAACCAACTAATCTGTTTTGGCATAAGAACTTCTGCCAAGAAATAAAAGCGACGCTGCATGGATTGACGCACAAAAGATCCGTGGCGGTGTCACCTTAGACCAGAATCCTCATTGAAAAATCATATGGCCACATTATTGGGGAACGGGACCGGAAAAAAACAGGCAGTTTCTGCGTTTTTATTTTTTTCTGTACCATTCCCCAATTATTTTCACTGTCTGGTTCCAAGCTAAGAGAGGTTGAGATTTGAAATTATTGTAAATTAGCGATATCTTATTTTATTAAAAAAAAATTTCATCATATGAAATCTTGGAAATTGCTAACGGGCATAATTTTTATGTACAACACACACATCTTTGAAAAAAAATTCCGTTTTCATCTTAAATCTATATCTCCATTTTCGCAGAAACTGTCGAAATTAAGAGATCCCTCCACATCGAACAAATAATTCCTTTTAGCGCGAAGTTCGTCGTTACGGAACAACGGTTTATCAGATTCGCTTGGTTTGTTCAACACATCGGCTTTACCGCTGCTGGTGTCTCCTTTCACAGTAGAGGGTTCCCCATTGGGGGCAGAAGAGCCAACTACAACAACAAAATCAAAAAAAAAAATTCACATATTACAGCGTTAAACGACGCACTTATTGGCACGACTATCTATATCAAAGCGATACACTGTACCATTCGCCTTACCTTGTCTCGAACTTTCTGAGTGTTGACGACCAGAAATATCACGTTTTCCCGCACTTGAAATCAAGTTATTAACAGTACCATCCGCTAGTTTAGATGCGACTCCTTTATTTACAATTCCGGTATCCATACTGTTATTCTTGACCAGCTTTCGTTTCTCCGCATTCGATGGTCTGTGGCCCTTCAGGGAGAGTGTCCTTGGAGATTTAGTCTTAGTATTTTTAGTGTCTTCGAGTTTAGTGGTTTTTTTGGAACGCTGTTGTTCGAGAAACTTTAAATGACTCGTTCCTTGCGCGGGTATGTGCAACAGTGAGCTGTCTGTTAAGGAAGCAGTAGCAACCTTCCCGCGATCATCCGACACAGGCTTTTCCAGCGAGTCAACCGAATCATGTTGAGTTGGTGGATTCGGGTCATCTCTTTTCGTAACATTAGTTTCTGCATTCGGAACAAGATTAACTTGCGCTGCACTCAGAGCTTCCGGCATAACAGACTTCGCCTCGGATCTGGAGGCACTCATTGTCCTAAGAAGAACATCCTCAAGTTTGGGATTCGAAGGAGAAGATTCTCCCGATTCACCGGATCCTGATGTAGATGAGCGTTTATGGCTGTGTTTCAATGGAGACTTCCGTATGATTGTGAGAGGTGCAGATTTTTCACTGGGAGAAAAATATTAACCATTAGCCGCAAAAAATTACTTCCAACTGAAGAATGTATCCTGAAACAATCAAGCAAAAAAAACCAAACAAAACAAAAGATAGTTTAGTTGTTGATACGAAGTGCGATTGAAGCTGAGGTGAAAAACGACCTAAAATCATCCTCGTTTTTCCATTCTCCGCTACTGTCCCGCCATTTAATGTTTGACTCCGTTTTACTTACTGAATTCCTAGTACAGGCCAACAAAACTGAAACAATTAAACAACAAAATCAAACTGAAAAAAAGACGCTTGTAGCTTTACTACATGTTGTCAGCTTTTCCTATGGAAAAAAACCTTTAATTTTTACCAAATATGCAAAAACCAAAGTATCCCTGTAGGAAAGCTACACACAGCATGTGTTTAATAACGTAACATTACTTTTAAAACTAGAATGCACTCATTCCAGTGTGGACGCATTGCATACCTATGCTATTTACCTATGCTATTTACCTATGCTATTTACCTATGCTATTTACCTATGCTATTTACCTATGCTATTTACCTATGCTATTTACCTATGCTATTTACCTATGCTATTTACCTATGCTATTTACCTATGCTATTTACCTATGCTATTTACCTATGCTATTTTTTGGCTAACCTTGTTTGGAACTTTGTTTCCAGCAAGTCTTTAAGATTAGGTAGAGTATTGCGCAGGTTCGGTGTCCCCAAGCCATTGAACTGACGAAGCTAAACGGTTGCAAAGGAAGGATATGTTAAAATCAAAGCATGGCTGTTATTTGTTGTCACAGTTCTACACGATCTCTATAGAACCACAATTCATTTTAAGCGACTGTCGTAAAACGAAACCCAGCGAAATCCGCTGACCAATCGGAACACGGTAAATTTGAACAATTTTAAATAGTGTCGAAAGTAATTTGAGATGGCTTTGGTTTTACCGTGATTGGTTTAGAATACTTGCGCCATCCTCTCAACCAATCAAATTCAAAACTGAAAACATTAGCGACTTGGTCATTCGCACTTTCCCGCGCCTCAAGAAGTTTACTGTTATCACTTTGATTCCTCATTAGCTGATGACAATGCAATTTATCGGTTTTGGCTTCTCCACACTCAATTGAAAACTGCAATTTCACGAGGAACCGATGAGAGTTTGGGTTAGTTGTTTTAGGGTGTAAGTTGTGAAAACTACCTCAAGGGCAGGAAAACAAAAGCGACCAAGTCACCATTGGGGTTGGTTTTGCATATGATTGGTTAAGAATGACGCTTGAGATTTTCTGGACCAATCACTGACCGCTCTAAATCAAAACCAATGATATCCCAGATAGCTTTCTTTCCACATTCAACAGAAATTGCTGTAACGAATGCGAGTTACTAAGAAACTTTACCTGGGCTATATTCTTGTTTAAAAGAAAAGTACCATAGTAGAACTGAATTTTTTCTTTCCCCTTATTATACAACGGAAACCTGAAAAGCAAAGAAGAAGAACAAGTCATCCATCGTGCCACTCTACAAGAGCATTGTGAGTCACACCCGGGCAATCTTGGACAATCGACACCGAACATGTCGAGAAACAACCACAGCATTTCAAACTTTCAAACGGGCTACTCTCGCTAAGAGGCGAGAGAAAAGTAGTTTTGCCTTGCTCATTGACTTGTTGCAAGAAATTGACAGCTTCCATAATTAGCAAGGAAAGTAGTTTAATATTTATCGATGGGAATGCCTCGACCGCCCATAAAACTTGCATGAGATTGCCCTCGAATAAAACACCAAATTCATTTTTCCATCGCAAGCTAACAAAACCGCCTGCCACACAGACTACTTTGTACTCACTGCCTCTCCTTCTCTGCAACTTTTTCAATCGCGAAATCCATAATGGTGGATCTAGAGCCACGAGAATTCATGGGATATCTCAAAGGTAGATCCAAGAATTGAGCTATCATACACACCAAGTGACACGTGTAACCAAGGGCAACCGACAGGGTCTCGTCATCCATGGCTGCAATTAGGTAGATATCGTTTAACTTTTTGACCCCTAAGAATGGCTGACATCTAAAGTCTCCTTACAATGCTACCCCTGAATCACACATAAAGGTCACGAGAATAAAGGAATTGATCATCAATTAAACAGCTCTTGATTGTTGAACAAATTCTCCTAGTAGGCTCCTTAAGAAAATGTATGGAGAACAATATGGAGGATATGCATACGGATGTTCGGGTGTCAGCGGTTAAGATCCGTCGAACCCGCTCGCGGCAGTTAATGGTGATGAGTGACTTTTTACAATCGTTTGTCGCAAAAATGAATGTTTACTCTGGATGATGGGAACTTGAAAGCGAGGGGTTTCATTTTCTCACCTTGGAATTCGTCTGATTCACAATTAGGAAGCCGCACGCCAGAAATTAGAAATTCTTTTGATTTCTTCAACTGCAGAAAGACCAAAACGACAACAATTGTCAGCAGTAAAACTTAAGATTTTTCTATCTGGCAGCGTATTTATTGAATGAGCAGATTACTTATGTAATTCTAATTGCACTCAATGGTTATTCCTCACCTCAACAATGGGGTAGATTGTTATCAGCTCAGAGATGAGTTGTCGTCGTCTCATATTCATCTGAGCAGTCACCTTATCGAAAGCTTCCCTACAATACCAAAAGAGGTCGGTATTAAACACGACCGCTGATTTATCGAAACCAGTACTGAGGCGGATCTCAATCACCCCACAATATTCGCGTGGCACTCAGACCGACAGCAGTTAGCAAGTATAATCAAAGGGTTACTGGGGAAAGGCTCCATAGAGTGTTAGAATTTTGACAAAACGTGCGTGAAATAATTCCCTAATTTGACGATACCATTTGACCGCTGTACCTTTTAATATCAGTTTAATATACTTTAATCACAAATTACGCTCAAAACTATAGGGTTTTTACTGAGTAATTCTACAGAAAACTCCAAGCAGGATAAGCTGCCATGGTTTATAAAAACATCGTCAACAGTTCTTTTAAGGAATTACTCATTAGAACGACCTCAGCACATGATCACAAATCAATGACCTTGAGAGTTGTTTATCTTTACAATTTAGACCTTATGTCTGCATGAAGTGATGGAAGCAGATACCTTTAACATATTTACCTTTTTTCTACGTGTGCTTGCTTATGTTCTCTCAAACAAACTTTATTAGAGTCCAGTTTCTCTCTGTTCCTCCTAAGGTTCATTTCTGTAGAACGACAAATTCATGGGGCGTAATACAAAGAACATAACTTACACAAGTGCAATGAAACACTATGATGGGGGGGGGGGGAGGAGAAGGCATGGATTCTGAACATAGAATTGTTTTCCACTGCAAATAACTTCTCGACTAACCTTTCACTTGCAGTTACACGTCAAACGTAGTTGAGTTGCAATATACGACTTGCCAGAATTTTTGCATCAGACAAGAAGTTAACTACCCACAGGTCTGATGGGTAATCAGCTCCAAACCCCCCTGACCCTCCCTCTGGACTTACCACTAATGGTTACTAGGATAGAGGGCAAAGATATCCACGGATATGGATCAAATAAAGTCACTTTTTTGTTGGAAATTTAAACATTACTCACCTCTTTCCTTCAGTTTTTCAGAGACACTCTTCTCCTCTGCCCCTTCTACAATTTGCAAAAAATATTACTTAGTTGACAAAAATGTATAAATTTCCCTTTTTATAAAAATGTCAGAAACATTTATTTGAGAAAGCTACATGTACATAAACACCTTTCAACAAGAGTTTCTGTTTTAATAAGCACTCCTCTCTTAAAAGTTTGATCTTCAACTTCAGCATCTCCTCTTCTGATAGCTGCAACAAAAAGGAAAGGAGTTTTAATTACAACTGATTAAAAAATTGACAATTTGGTTTTAAAAAGATCTCCTTGGCAGAAAGCATGCTGAGTCCACTACTGTCATACAGAACACCATTCCATTAAAATAAAAAATATATAGTACAACATCTTTTTCCTGTATGGGAAATTATCTGGATATTTGTGCCCAAACTTTAATACAAACCTGTGAAGTAGACTTGATGTCAGATTCAACTTTGCATAGGATGGCCTGCCGCACATCCCTGACTGACAGCTGAGACTGCAGAATGGCCTTTTGTACTGTCTGTAGTCTGAGGAGAAGAATCAAGACAGCCTTCAAATTAATGCACATATACCATATTAAACAAACCATGCTACACAAACTTTGAAATACATGTTTAAATAAGGACATACCTTTGAATAGATGACAGTTTACAAGACATTTGAACCTATGAAAAGAAAAGTCCTATGAATACATGCAAAAACACTGTGTGGTTTTCAATGTGGTTAAGGCATGTCATCAACCAATTCTGGCTAATGTTTAATAATTGACAGAAAAGGATTATTGTCAGTAAAGTCTACATAGGTAACTGATATGAACCACTCAAAGTAATGAAAACAAAATTTTTTTTGCCAGAAACTCTTCACAAAGATCCTGTCATGTCACAGATAATGATCCTTCATTCTGGTGATGCCATATTAACAATTTGGTAACTGTACCTTCCACCTGATCTTAATTGATTGAGTCTTCAGTTGTCAAACTTACTACATGTGTTGCTCACATACCTGGTCCACATCAACTCTAATAACATCTTTTCTTTTCACAGCTACAATTTCACCACAGCCTGCAGTCTTAAAAAATCACAAACACTTGTGATTTTATGTGCAGTCTAACAGAATTATTGCAAAATTTGTGTTCTAACAGAATTCAAGTGCTGAGAGATCATCTATTCCAGCTTACCTCTTCTTTTGGCAGGCAGTTAGGTACACTGTAATACCCATCAATAAGACCAAAGATAACTGTGTTCTGTCCATATTTACTGGACTTCACCTGAAAAGTTCATCAAATTATAGCATTGTCATGAGTTAAATCAAAAGAAAGGTTCCGCTTCAGTGGCCAAGGGGCCTGTAATTGTCATTGACTATCCCTTGTTTGTTTTTTTCTGACATGTATTTCTTTATAACATGAAGAGTCTAGGAGGGAATACATGTATCTACTCCTCCAAAATGCCAATCTATAGCTGGACACCCCCCCCCCTCGCCCTCTAGCTCTTAGTCAAGTCTCCCAGACTGCTCATCAGGAGTTACCCAATTTGCTCCTTATCAAGGGTCACTGTGAGTGTTGAGTGTTCTGCCTGAAAAAATCACCAATAATTAACACTAATCATGATATAAAGAAGACATACTAAGTTGACAAAATGTTTTTCTTTCAAATCATACACACTGTTATCAATTTACCTGTTCTCCAAGGTATTGCAGGGATGGCAAATGAACCTTCCACTCAATAATAAGTTGAAATGTGTCTTTTTGACCTCCCCATACTCTAACAATGACAGCTGACATTTTGATCAAGGAAAAAATAACTTCACCATGTAGAGCTACACACAAAAAACTAAACAGGCTCTACAATGTATGCTGATCACTAGAGTAAAGGTTTTCAGAAAAAAAGGATACAAGACACAGCACTTGATTGTTGATCTTTCCATGAAGATGGCTCAAAACTAGCCCATGTTGGATTCTAATTTGCGAATAAAACATAAAGAATAGAAATTATAATAATAATAAAGCTAACTTAAAAAACAAAGACCAAGTGAATGTATGGACTGCAAATCTAACAAACCAAACTAAATATGAGAAGGAAACTGGCTGCGAGAGGGAATGAATGACAGTCATATTTATATTACTCACCAGTGAATACTTGATTTTCTCACTGGTATAGATAGCTATGAAAGAAACAAACAAAAAGCATAAGGATTTTGGACAAAAATTTGACCTTTATGTACACAAAAATTAAAGGAGAAGAGTTTCATTTTGAGGAAAGTTGAGGCAATATACAGAATGGGGCAAAGGTGCCCAGGAAAAGGAAAAGAAAGGGCAGGAAATGGGTGAGAAATTTGAAAATGTAACATTCAATAGTTAACAATCTGCTGCATTCTGCAATAAAGAACAGGAGATGAGAGTTACATGACTGTATGGGTGTGCAAGGTGAAGGAAGAGGGTATGGAAAACTAGAGACTCTTGCCTGTTGTTAAATGCAAAAATTTGATAAAATGGTTACACATAAAAATTCGAACAGACAAGCAATAAGAATTAAACAACTATTCTAAAAACAAAAACCTTTCTGATTTCCTTCAACACTATGCAAAGTGAAGTATGTTTCCAGCAGGCAGTCCAGCAAATCATCTCCAAAAATGGAAAACTTTGGAATAATTTTTCGAACAGAGATGCTTCTTAGGTGTCGCAGTCGCAGCTGTAAGGTTGAAGAATAGCTTAATCAATATTCGTAGACACGTACAGTGTGCCAAATATGGAACAAAAATGTCACAAGAAACTTTTAGAGAGTTGCGATATTGCACGCGTTTCGAATTTCTTAAAACAAAATATTTGGATATCGGTATTTGGACAGTTTATTGATTTAATCGGGGGGCTTAGCAGATATCCGCGTTCGAAAATTCAAATTGACCTTATTTCAATTCACCCACAAGATTAATAATAATTTGAAATGTTTATTATAATTGATTGTAAAACTGATACGAACGGGCCACGATGACAAGGCTAAGAACAACGGAAAGAAGGCTTCGAAGATGAAAATAAGATATTGCATTTTTGCGTGGTTGCAATTCGATCAAGATAAACAAATATTGTATAACTTGGAAAACGCATGGCTTAGATTGCACTACTTGAAGCTTCGCAGGAGACTTCCTAACTACTGAGGAATAAAATTAATATTTGTAGAGAAAAATGTACACGAACCTGTTTTGAACTAAGATCAAAATGTCTCACTCTTCCAAGACTTTCTTTACTGGCCATTCCAGTCGTGCAAACTCATCAAGACTCCATTGTGAAACAAGATCAATTGGTCAGTCGAATCACCTGACTGGCCAAATCGCCATGTTGAAGACGGAACTACATGTAACAGCGCCGCGCATCTTTTGTTTATGAGAACGAGCCAGCGAGCATAGGCGTACGCACAAACATGGCGCCTATGGAAGTCTCTCCCGACAGTGGCACAAAAATCAATCTTTCTATGTTGGTTGATTTCCTTCTACAGAAGACTTATCATGATCTAACAGTGCTGTCAGAACTGTGAGTATTCAGGATGATGCAATTACCCCTTTTTTATTTTTAGCGTGATTAAAAAACTGTGCATCCAGGAAGGAATTCTATTTTCCGACCGGGTATTCGTGGTACAAATTTTTTAAGTCTTTTAGCTCTCGTTAATTTGTTGAGAATTTTACACTTTAAATTTAACTTTCAAGTATATATAGAAGGTTTGAGAATTTTTTTACCGGTGACTCTCTGATCTGCAGGTTAAATATTGTCATCTGACCATATAAAGGAAGTACAGGATAATTATATTTGTCGAATATGTCTTCGAAATGCGTTTGCAAGAATTTTGAAGTCTGTTTATTAATATTTTTCTCGTATCTTTCCTTAGAGTCTACGTTTATAAGTTCTCTTCAATCTAAAATCCTATGCAGAATCTTAAGATTCCAGACTCGTGCGGAAGTGTTGTCAAATGAATTCGAAGTTCTAAACTTATTAGAACCATGCACGATTATTATGTGTGCGGTACATTTACATGTACTGTAAGTTTACATTTAAATTGTCTCGCATCTACTTCTTTAGAGCTTTGTTGCATGTTTCCATTTTAGTTTATAAATGCATGCACAGGAGATACAAGTCCTTATGAGAAGGCCTTGCAACAGAGATCTTGCAATGGAGACACCTGATATCTGTGACTTTGACAGACTAGGGTTAGGAATAGTTTACATTGAAAGAGCTAGTCCTGGAGATACTAGCTTTTATGATATTTTATCAGTTCTATACCTCTCATTCCTTTTGACCTGAGAAGTGTCACATCTTGATCTAAATTCTCTCAACCCTTCAACTCCCATGAAAAACTACTGTATCGATACAATATCAAGCACACAAAAGATGAGAATAAAGAACAATATCAATTGGGGAAGAATCAGTAGATCTAATGTCAAGTTCTCCAAACAAACACCATAAAAATTAAATAGCAGACAGTAAGGAGAGACACCAGTCAAATCTTGGCAGTGAAGGGGTTAAAAGTAACATTTATGCATTTAATTCACAATCAAACAGCAAGTGACAATAATGATGGTAAAATTAGCAATACTAATAATAGTGGCCATGATAGGAATATACCACACAAGTGAATAATGCTCTTTGCACACACTGAGTGGTTATTTCAGAAGTGAATAGGAAGTACTGTTCACTTTTGTGCAGCTGATGAGACAAAATAATGTGTCAAAAGTTTACTTTCTGACCATTTTTGTTTTGGTATGTTCAAAGAAGTAAACTATTTTTTTGGTACCTGTGTGATATATACAAAAACAATTATTCACCTCAGTGTTGGTGAAAGTGGTGGGTATTTACCTCGCCACTTTGCAGCTCAGGAAATATTCAGGACTAATCACCTGCACTTTGGTGAATAATTATTAATAAAAATGGAACTAATGATATAGAAAGAAGGGAAATGCACCAGTAGTGTTATTTTATTCCTATCATTAACCTCGGTTACCTCAATATTTGTTTCTACAGGTTACCAAGGAAATCTGATATAGAGAGGTATGCTGTGAATATAATCTACATGTGTAACATGTGCATCCTGTTTTAGTTAAATATGATTTCTGGTCAAAATGATTTCAGACTATGTTTATTTGTATTTTCAATGACTGATCTGTAAGGAACCTGGAATAAAGAAAAAAACTCCAACTTTTAGTTGGAAAATCATTTTAATCTGTAAGTAAACACCCATATAAAGGGTCATGTGTTAAAAAGAAAATACTAGAGATATGGGTAATGTAGTCTCTTTCCATGGATTCCACAATAAGTGATTGAAGCTCTTGCAAATTTCCATTTTTTGCAGAAAAATTGAAATTGTGCAGTTTGCCAGTAAAACACGCCAGCAGTTTGTGCGTCTGCTTGCTTTAGTGAAATGGGCAGCAAGTGCCGAAAGGGTCGACAAATGCCAGGTTAGTTAATGTTGTCATGTCTTGTTGGTCTACTTGTTAACATGTTATGATTATGTGTAAATAAATAAATAAATAAATAAAATTTAAATAAATAAATAAATGTGTATATTATATTAACCCTTTCACTTGGAGAAGTGACAAAAGGAATTTCTCCTTAGATCATATACAACACACTGAGAGTAATTTAAAGAAAACAAAACAAAACTAATCAAATAAATGCAAAGACAAGGCAAGTGAATTGAACATTACAAGACAAGTTCACAAAAGAACAAACAACTGCCACATGTTATACTAGCATGCAACTGTATGTTGTACAATTCAAGAAGAATTACATTACAATGTACTTCATATCTAACCACTGTTTCAATATCATTTCACATTTCTCTGAATTGATGATAACCTTATTAAATAGTATTAACCCTGCCAAACTCTTATTCCTATCAGGCAATCTCAACTATTTTGGACAAACAGTCTATGCTGTTTGTAGACACTGCAGACATGCTGGCAAGAATGTCCAGAGAAACTCTTGTAAAAGCAAGGTAAGAAAAATTACTTTTTGTGACTTGGATTTTGTTCCAGAAGCAAGCACCCAATGAAGGAAAAAGTTGCCATGACAATGTTACCAAGATGCAATTGTTGCCATTTACTTTTCATTTAATAACTTTGATGTATCATTATTTTAAATATATATTATTTTCATTTCGCTGTGTCATGGTATCTCTTCCCCTCTAACTTAGAGGATGGTGTAAAAAATAATCTTCCTCACAACTGATGTGCTCACTATCCTGGTGTTTTATAGACTACCCACCTTCTGTTTGCCAGCCGCAGTGGATGTCCTGACTGGGGGGACATATCCTCGTCTTCCAACATGTATTAGGGTGAGCACAGTGAATATTTTTTCTCCAGTCAACAGAAGTTTAATGTAGTTGTATAATGAAAGAATGTCTGAAATGAGCTAGAATTATCAATGAAGTAGAGATACATTTACCTTTGCATTAAATGATTTTTGGTTGATTGGAAACTGTCCTGAAAAAGTTTATATATTCCTTTTTTTTTCAAATTGACATTATTGAATAGAGAGTTATGTTTTGAAAGAATAACTGGGTAACTTTTAATATATTTTTTTTTTCTTGCAGGATAAAATTGTACCTCCAGACCCTATAACTGCTGTTGAAAAGACAAAAACACTGCAAAGACTAAATCAAGTCATTCAACACAGACTGGTGACTTCTAAACTACCACCTGAGATGGGTCAGATGATCATTGGTAAGAAAAAGGCTTCAGTCTGTGATGCACAGTTTGTAGAAATGTCTGTTGATATTCTCCTTTCCCTTTTGAAGTCAGATTGTTTATATTCCCACCTTGGAAGGTGGGAGTATTTGGATCAGAGAATTCTAGGAGAATGGGTCACAAAGGGAAAGAAGGCTTCTTTCCCCAAAATGTTATTTATAAAATATTCTCTGGCAGATACTCTGAATGCAAGCCATTCATTTTCCCTATGTTGATCAAAAACAACTTCATAATTTGCAACTGCTGATGAGATACACATGTATCAAATGCTGTAGCGCACATACAAGATCTGCTATTATTTTTGGTTCTGAAATTCAATGCAAGGTGATCATGTCATTGGATTTGTTCTCGTTACCTTGCAGCTGATGGGAGAGTAAAGTTCAGAGTGGAACATGAATTTGAGGTACTGTGTACTTGTCATGATGTGATGTCTATTGGATAATTTCTTGTTAACCTAAGGTAGAAGCCATCGGGTTAAGCTAAGCTAACTGGTATAGGTTTAAGCTGTAGCAGGAGCACAAGCAATGTTCAGAGCCTTCATAACTCACTGGAGGCAGTTTGGTGCCAAGTGGTCAGGACACTAGACTTGTAATAAAGTGGTACCAGGTTCAAGCGTGTCACCCTGCCACTCACTGAATTTCTTCTTGTTTGCCCTCACTTCAACTCGCTGGGTACGCTTTGTATATAGGCAACTGGTCTGCTTCCTGCTAGTTGGAATTTTTAAACACGATGTTTATTTACAATGTTTGCTTCTAATTTCCTAGTATTAGGCCTGGAAAGCCCTATGCTGTGGTATTATAAGTATATGTTACATACATTACAAAAAACTTTGAATTCATTTCTGTGCGACTGATAGCTTCCTTTGCACCATTAATCATGTCCTTCATTACAGGTGATGTTAACTCTCATGGGCGATGACTCTTCCATCCCATGGAGGGTTTTATCGATTGACTTTTTGGTTCAAGATATGGAAACTGGTGGTAAGGTTGTTGAATATAGTAGAAAGTATTAGTAAACTATTTTTTTATTGACAGTGACAGATTTCGCTGATTTATTTAAAATCTTAAGTATGATATTTTTTTGTTAACAGATGGGAAGTCACTTGTTCATGTCCTTCAGGTAAATTTTTAGTGTTACAGGAAATACATTTTTATTTTTATGGTTTTTTTAATAAATATTAGTGATAATTTTACCCATTAAGCACAAAACTGTATACAGTAGATGTACATAATGATGAAGTTGTATTTGTCTTTACCATTGTGGCTTTTATCACAGGCCCAATATATTCATCAGCTTGTGCAGTCAAGATTGTTTGCAGAAGAAAATCCACTAGTTGACTTGTACAAATGTTTACGTATCCTTTATTATAACTTGTGAACATTCTTCCTATTTTTGTTCAGTTGCCTGCTTCTTTTTATTTGATCATATTCTTTCTTATGCAACTGTCTAAGTTACATGTCGTGTATCTCTACTGTAATTAGTTATACATATTCATGACAATGTTAGCACATAATATATACAAGGAAGCACATATACTGGATCTTGATGTCTTCATTTCTTATCTCTTCATTTCTTTGGTCAAAAGTATAAATTATAGATGGAACATTACTTCTATTAAAACAAGCCTGTAATGTATGTAGCTGCTGGAACTATCCTAGTTTCTTTAGCATGGATTGACTCAGTATTTTGCTTTTCTTCCTTGCTGGGTGAAAGGCCCTCACAAGCTCACTCACAAGTTTTAATGTGTAGTGCATGTTTTCACTAAGTTGGACCTGGTACACTCACAGTTTGGTTCCTTAACAATGTGTTTGCAGATTCATTTTGTCTCTCTCTTCAGTTGCAAGTTCTTCACTTTCAGGTTTGTTGCATACATTCCATTTATACATGTTCTTTCTGTAATAATTACTTACTTCTTCATTCACTTCTCTCATTGCTACTCAATAGGCAAAACAGTTGATAGCTGAGCGATGGGGAGATAATGTTCGTATAGAAGAGTATGCCATTGGCAAAAAGCTTGTTGTATCATATTGGAGGTATGGCTATCTTTTGAGTTGAAACCAGCTGGTGATACTCTTACTGCCTTTTATTGAGATGTGCCTGCAGTAAAGTCTGTAGAGTCAAGTAAAGTCAGTAAAGTCTTTGAAAGACGTGTTCAAATTTTCCCAAGAACTGATAAGGACTACAGTCAGCTCCTCCCTGATATGCCTGATATTACGTCTCTTGCCGAATTTAGGAATTACCTTGGTTCAGTAGCTTAATAAGAGCATGTCAATTTGTATACTTAACTTTTAATATTGTATCGTAATTATTGTAAGTTGCAATTTTTACTTTTGCATTTTGTAAGTGGTTGGTGTGTTACCTAACTGGCTTTTACCGACCTAATTGAGATGATTTGCAGTTGTTGTTGATAGGAGACACTAAACTTTGTCTCTTTTTCAATTTGTGTGATGGTTGTGAATTGACAGGACAGGTTTATGTGGTAGAAAATGGAAAATGTTTCTATAAATTTTGGTCTTTTTAAAATGCTAACTATTTTTGATGGATCATATTTTACAGAAATAAAGGTTCAGTTCAACAAGGTCAGAAAACAGGCAAGTTGTTGACTGTTGTGCATTTGTGATGTGCTTTTCATTTAATTGGAATCTTATACTGGTTTTCCAGGCTCCTTTTCACCTCCCCCATTTTCATTCATTGCATTTTCTAGCACTGCTCCACCAGCCTGAATCCAGCTGAGACAAAGTTAATGAATTAACAATCAATATTTCATAAATAAGCATAACTTCTAATTATTATGTTCTTTTTACTGCAGGTCATAAAATAAGTATATGTGGGGATGCTATTGATGAACCAAGCAGCCTCTGTGTCCAACACTCACCAGCTCTTCCCTTTGAGTTTAATCAGGATTGCATCTCTAAAGTCACTGTAAGCTCAGAAATATCATTTCATTTACTTGGTGATCCATTGTACAGTCGAGTGCCTAGTTGTCAAGCCTTGACAACTAAATGGTTTAAAAAAGAAAAGGGCACCGTCAGTCTCAGAGGCTTGGCAGCTAAGCATAGTACTCTAAAATGAGCCTTTGTTTTCTAGCATGAACCAGTAGCCACTACAAAGGAAGGATTTTTATTCATTCTTTGTTTTGTTCTTGTTATCAGCCTGGTGACCTGTACATAGAAAAGCTCCTGACACTTACTATAAAAGCTCAGTCAAACGTGAAGCTTAAGGTAATGAAAAGGTGAAATTGTTACATGCTATTACCAATCCTTGATTGTGTTGCTTATGGAGGTTGATTTCAATGGCTCAAGCAAGTTTCATTAGTGCATACCTACGTTATCATCTTTTTTTTTTAACCCAAATTAAGAGATATGATTCAAATTTTTCTCTGCTATACAGTTTTTTTAAACAAGCTTTTATTTCCTTCATCTTATCTTGAGGTAATAGACCCTATGCTTATATCCTTATAAAGGTAAATACAAATTAAAGTAGTTTGAAATAAGTGAGGAACAAACATATTTGAACTAGAGCATGTCCATAGTGTATGTAACTACATGAAAACCATCTTTGAAATGTGCATTGTAGGGATTACTTCAGATGTTGACACAGGATTCATCCTTGAAGTCCAGAGGTATGCATTATAACCGCAAACGCTAATAACTCGTATCCAACTGAACAAATGAAGGGAATCAAACTATAGAACACATAGTCAGAACGCGCTGTCATAACACATTGTTGAACAAGGTAACTGAAAATAACAAAATTACTAACACACGAATAGCATAAAATAACTTACAATGTCCGTAATGAAAAGTACTGGACAATGACAAAGCGAAATAAACGAGGAAACTTACAAGACGAATGTGACCAAAACCCAAAAGACGAAAAGATGAAAACCGAAGCAACTAGACGATACGTTCCGCAAACTAGGAAAGACAGCTAACGAAATAAATTACGCGCCAACAGAATATATACGATATGCAAATAAATATAACAAGTACAAAACTGGTAACTGTCAAAGGAAACTAATGAAGACGAAAAACTAAACACCTAACACGAAACTATGAACCAAAAAATACATTCTTGCGCCTACATGTATATTTCGCTGGTCTAGCACATACGTGTACATGTACATTTACATTGTGAGAGGTAAGGTGAAGTCTGTACTCGAGCCTATTGGTCCATCCAGCCGAAGCTTATTCCAGTTTCCAAGGAGCATAAGGCAACTCCGGGTATTACTACTCCCCTTACCCCCGAGCATTTCATTAGGCTTCCCTTACAAATCGTCAGTACCCATTTATACTTCTGGATGGGGAGAGGCACTCTGAGAGTAAAGGGGGTAAGTTTCTGAAGAAACTGTGGTGCTGCGTTGGTGGGAGAGTATAGCAAGGTAATTTAGTATTATCAATTCAGTTGATAATGTAAATTGGCCACAGTAAAGAGTTAAAAAGCTGTCGTTTCGAGCGTTAACCCTTCGTCTGAGCAAATGGAGGAATTGTGTGCTTCGCCTTCGAACAAAACACATTGACTTGGCCAGGTCTCGAACCCAAACCTCTCGACTTTGAGTCCAGTGTACTGACTGTTATAGACCACTACGACTACCACTGCCCTAGCTCATGAACTGCACACAGAAAATAATATTATCACTGCATATCAACTATGAAACTACTTTACAAGTTTTTTTTCTTTTGTCACAGTCACGCTGGATGACTTTTGCCCAAGTCTTGTGATACAAGTTATGCCTAACTCCACCCCTGCAGAGATTCTGATTGTCACGGTTGGAAAGAGGAATGGAATTTTTCAAGTGTCACTGGGTAATGGTGAAGGTGAGATTAACGTTTGGTGCAAAACCAGTGAGCCTTTTCAGATCAGACACGTAAGTCGCCAGGAAAATTAATGAAAAAAAAAATACCAAAAAGAAAACAAAAAAAGGGAAGATCTTTTCCGATATCACTCATTGTACAAGTGATCATACCACTGCACCATCCTTAACGATATCATAGGAATAAAATGTTGTGGTTGTTAAAAGTTGCTAAGAGAGTGTTCTGTTGGGTATATTTTCATGTTTTACAAAGTAATGAATGTCCTTGATTTACAAATCTCTGTTTCTCTTTGTTTATTTTCCTCTGTAGACAATGCTGTCTGTACAGAGCTTGAAAACACATTGAACGTAAATTTGGATCAATTTATTACTGTGTTAAGAGATGCAAGGTATGACATTCAATTATCACCCTGGTTGTTGCTATCACAGCTGCTGCACCAAAGCAGCACCACAATTTCTTCAGAAACTCAGCACCTTTAGTCAGTCAGCTAACCAGTTAGTCTGTCTCAGTCTGTCAGCTAGCTCGTCAGTCATTCAGTCAATCTGACAGTCAGTTAGTCAGTCATTCAATTAGTTACATACTCAATGCTTACTTCTGTATCAGTTTTCAATGCCCTACGGTTTTCGTTTACAGATGTCAGCTGTATGTGCAGAGATACATGAAATCCACAGTTCATCTTCCCGTCACTGTCTCCTTGTCTTTACCGGTAGTGAACTTAGCAGATCACAAATTGTCCCAGCTCAGCAAACATAAACTTTACATCCAGTTCCGCCGCCATCCATCTTACTGTCTGGTTAGTGATTTCTATTCCAAAATAAAATGTTGTCTTAGTATATTGGGATGCTTTTACGCTTTTTGGGGAAACGGTAAATACATGAATAAATACATATTGGCTTGTCGCTCACACGAAATTCTTGCGTGGTGCAAGCAGTTGCATATACAGTTGTAGTTTGTCGTTCTTCCTCGAACTCAGGTTGCAACTCAAAGGAAACTTGTGAGAACCGTTTTGAAATTTAACATTACCAACTCTTTGAAGAAACCTTAGTGCCTTAGCTATATAAGGTGCGAAACCAACTAATGATAGTTATAAGCCGAAAAGAGACATGGGTTGTTCAAGTTGCTCAGCGCTGACACAGATAGCGCGTTATCACAGATCGCGCATTAACACAGATCACGCGTTAACACGAATCGCACTCAAGGCAAATCACAACAAATGAAAGTAGTCTTCACTTCAATTTAGGTGGTCGAAGTACTTTGTAACAAAGATTCGGAAGAAGCCACCACAAAGTATCATCTCTTAAAAGTAAAACCTACGTTTGGCGATGAAGCAAATGAGGCGAGCGCATCAACTGACACAGGCAGTGGAGATCAAAAACCCAAACGAGTTGAGGTCAAGAAAGAGGGAAGAAAGAGCCAAGATCGAACAAGACAAAGCTGCGATGGAACAAGGAATGCTATAGCAGAGAATAATAAGAGAAGACGCGCAATCTTCTTGATTGCTGGTCACATGGTCACCTTGAATGCGCAAAAAATGACAGATTACGCTGGGACACCGCTTGAAGGTAAAACATGGAAAGACTTGCGGAATTGTACTTCAAGGCCTTTTTATTCGACAGGAACCGAAGGAAACACAAAATATTGATTCAATAAAATAAAGAGACACCAAATTATATAAAGTAAGAGCAAAAGGAACGTGGATGGCGCGGTTAGTGTGTAAGGGGTTAAACACACACAAGAAAATAGAAAATAGTCTTTGGAAACTGGATCAATACCATAACATATGATATGCTCGATCCTAACACTCTCTTCTTGTTCTCAAAGTAACACAATTTTTGTATATCCCTTTCATTATGTCTTTTCTGGAAGGCTATCTTGTAATCTTGCTATTTTGTTAATTTATTTATTTATTCATATATATATATATATATATATTTTTTTTTATTCTTATTGAAATTACTCCAACTATTTTTATTTGTTTTTCATGGCCCAAGCAGGTTTTCATTCCAGCCGTAAAGACGATGAAGGAAAAAAACGAAAGGTAAATGTTCCTTAAGTGTTGGTTTCATACCAAAAACATATTTTTAGTCATGATTTCGACAATGTTTGTATCGTCAACCCCAGTACCTCCTTAGGAATTCATCTTTTCGATTTCGCAAATGAATTTCGCATGTTTTGGCTGCTAAGGTTATCACAAGAACCAGTCAAAAGAGAGGAAAATATGACACGGAGCTAATTAGAACTCAGAGCCAAGTGTCTCATCCAAGAGCTGAACAGAATGACAAGACGCTGCCTCAAAACTGGAATTCTAGCACACGAACGTCGGCTCCATTACGTCTTCTACTCTTGGTAGAAGATGGATATGTAAACAAAAATGTTGTTTGCCGTTTGTCTTATAGCTCGACTCTTCAGAGGAAGAACTCCATGGTAAAAAGAAACAGAAGAGCTTAAAAGATGTTTTAGAAGAAGGAAGAAATAACTCTACTTATCAACCGACAATGGGTCATGTGGTTGCTATTTGTCACGCAAGAATACCATTCATTCAGCTCCGCGAAGAGGTAAGTTCACTTACACTGATATTTCTGGATTAGATGAAACTCCTCAGAGAAAAGTAATAACCTGTAACATAAAAAGAATCACGGGTTATAATTATTATTACGGATTCGGTTTTTCCTAGATCCGCCAAAGGTTAGTTCCTGCAGAGAAACTAATTCCGCAAATAAGACTTTGCGAAAATTTACTTCAATCCGTCACTGGAAAACACTGCATGCGAATGAAGAGTCATTTTGAAGTCGGACTCACTCGAAATAATCATCTTCGAATTGTCCACTCTGTAATTCCTCTTTGCATTACTTAACGGGTTCGGAAGTTTGAAAATATTATGTTTTTTATCGCGTTGAAGTTCTGCTGCTTGAAATGAAAACAGAAAAAGATGTTTCCAAGCAGAAATGTCAGTGATCTCGAACTGCTAACACAAAAAATATTTCCAACCCGCAAAATGAAACTCTTTCAAATCGTCATGCTAAACGGTAATTATCTTTATGTTTCCTTTTACTTTTTTTTCTCTTTATCTCTCTTTGTTATTTCTCTTTTTTCTAATTTTTACCTTGTTTATTTTCAGCTGAGCCGACATAAGATTATCGACCAAGACCTGACGTCAGAGGCTGGAGTCGGGTTAGCTGTCCGATTGTCTAACCTACCCCTCCCTAGAGACTGTGACGCGTCATTGGTTCCAGCCCCACAGCCAAGTGTCTTGGAGTGCGTGCTGAGACTTCCTGATGAGTCACAAGGAACCTGTCTCCTGGAAATGATTATGGATAATTGTCCACTAGAGGGACTGTCAGCGAACGAAAAGGGCCCCACCCGGCATGTGTTGTTTGAATATAAAATTCAGGAGGGGAAGGCTCACAACGTCAATAACAACAAGGGTGGAGAAGGTGACAATGATTGGGCAAAACTTGTGGTTGGAAAGCTTTTGAATGATTGGTATAGTGTTTGCAAGTTGTACCGACATGCCGTGGAACTGGATACTTTTCTTAAAGGTTGGTTGATCTTTCTGATTTAATATTGCTGTATATGATTGAATGTCTTGGTAGCCTCAAACCAAATGGTTTAATTTCGAGAGGTGGAAACGTTTTCGTGTGTTCGTGCTTCCTGTCGAAAGCGTTATGTTCAACTTATTTTGCTGGTTTGTTTGACAGATTCACAAAGCCATTTTCGTCATATGTGCCGTGTTTATTCTTACGACTACAAACAGCTGACACTACAGTACGACCCTGATAAACAAAGTTTGGTAAGTAATGAATGATAAGACCTAATTTCCATACGATAAATGGTGATCGTTTTTTTCGCCCTCTTTTCACAGAAAAGCGTCTTAAAATTTGAAGTAACTTTTTGCGCTGTACAAAAATTACTTTAAAGTAGAGAAGGACCTCAAAGTGCAAGTCCGATAAGACTGACAACTAAATAAAGAAGAAAGAAAGATATGTAAGGATGGAGAAGAATCAAACGGATCTTCACTAATAATTTCGCTAATTTTTCTCACGGTGTACTAACCATGACGTATTTCGTTTTTGGAAACCCTTTCATGTAATATGTTGTTTTGTATCCTCGTTATCTCTCGTAGGTGACTTTCGAATGGTCTGTGGAGCAGTCTCAGTTTGTTTTGACATTGGGGTATTGCGGCTCAAGTCTGAGTGCAAATCCACAGAGTTACACCGCCAGGCATCTACAACAAGAGTTCAACAATCATCAGAATCTGCCGTATATTGTACAGGTATTAAACTGATCTCCACGTACCGTGAATTTTAGTCAATGAATTATTGGTTATTCTAGTCAAAATGTTTTCGATTAGCAGTTTTGTTTCCTGTAAGGGAATGCCAGGAAGATTAATTTTAACAGAATTTTTGCCTTTTCTTATGATTGAAGATCGTTAAAGGAGAATGCTCCGTCCATGTTTAAGACCCGAACTCCTTCCTTTAAAAAGTTGGGCGGGGCGCGTAGCTTTAAGGAACAGTGAGATTGACCCGAACTCAGTGGGTTTTTGTCTTGGCCAAAGTTATTGTCCTGTTTTCTTGGACATAACAGGGGTCTCTCATTGATTCTCTCGTAACCTAGACTACAAGAAGTCCCTCTTTCCCATCTTGGTCTGTCGCGCGAGTCGGTGTTAAGCAAAAACACACCTACAAAACAAACAAACAAACAAACCGCGAATGATCTGTCGGCGCTCAATCACCTAGAGAGAGAGGCTTGCGGCGACGAAGGACTAATCTTAGTCTATTCTGGCGAAACCCTGGCTGTTCTTTTAAATGGGAAAGCACATTATGCAGAACGAGTTGCGATGGTGGGCGTTTGTTTTCACTCAAATTTAACTATCTTCCTGTCTGTCTTTAGATTCTTCACGAAACGTTTCGACCACTCTCGGCCCTAGCAAAACTCAGTAGTAAGCCAGTTCTTGGTATACATATCTATGTAAGTATAAATCTTCACTTTCATAAATTTTGCCTTTGGAGAAAAATGCGCATGCGGCTGAGTGATTCTAAAATAACGCGGTGGCTTAGTGGAAAGCGTGCTTGACTCTGGAGCGAAAAGTCTGAGTTAAGTAGTCTCGTTTGTTACTTTGGGTTTTCTTCTCTCTTTGACGTTTATTTCTCTTATGATATATTATTTCAGTGTTTCCTTCTATATTCAACCTGAGTTGTTTTCTACTCGCAATTTTTTTTCTTTAACAGCGACCTCTCACACCCTTGAGGAAGTTTACCGTTCTCCCCCAGTCTTCCTCACATGTGCTGCTCGTCTACAGAAACAGGTATCCTGCACAATTGGCTCTCATAGTGCAAAACACGGTGAATTACAAAATCGTTTTTCCTATTTCCCATTTCCTCTTCTTCTTCTTTTTTTTTTTTCGTCACGCACACAAAGTTATTCTCGCACGATAGTGGTTATCAATTTCTTTACTCTCTCAGTAGACTGAATGATCAAGGCTCCTGTCGCGCTGATTCTCGAAATGTGCGTGCAAAATTTAAAATATATCGTAACACGTTCTTAACTTTCTCTCTTCCTTAATAGTAACGCTCTGGAAATTCGTTTTCAAGCGAAGAATCTTGTTGCCATAAGAGGTATGACTAACTCTCAACAAATTTCTTGAATGTCTTCTATTGATTGCGATTGTAACAGCAAGAGATCCTAACTCGTATCATCAACAAACAAACAAACAGCCCGGGATTTTTGTTCGGGAAAAGCAATAAGACCCAGTCTCACCTATCTGGTCTATGATTGTGCAGATGAATTTTGATCGCATTTCCGTAACTATTGTCATTTTTTCAGTTTTCTCGCCACAAAAAGAAACTACAGCGGTTGTTGATTCCGTTTAAAACAATTTTTGCTTCTGAAAAAAAGGCCTTTCATGTAACTTTTCTGTGTTAGTCAGTATTGATGTTTATACAGTTCTCGAAGTAATTGTGCATTTTTTCTCTTTTTATCAGATGCCTTCTACAGTGTGGTGGATCCAAGTAAGGGCAGAGGATTTTTTCCGCCAATCCCAAATTTGAAGGTATGTTTGTGCCTTTCTAGCCTATGTTTTGTCCCTGTTAAAAGACAGTGAAGAAAAAGATAAGTGGCAAACTTCATGCGACGACATTAACCACTATAAAGACAAGAGAAATTCGTAGATCATTAAGCTGACCTTCCCTTTTTGTTTCCTTAACAGATCTTTCTTCAAATGTACATAGACGATGTTGCCAAGACCGGAGGAATCACTTCCCGTAATACTTCAACCGCAGACGACGAGGCCCCTCCCTCGCCTATTACCATGGAAACGGACGCACCTGTGATTGAAGCACAGTTTACGTCACCACAGCCGGTGCCTGGCACCGCAAATCTTACCGCATCACCCATGATCCCTCGCACCTCGCCCCAAGCCCCTGCTGCCTCGGTCAATGTGCCATCGCCATTTTCTGCGTCGCCGAATGTTCATAGTCCGGGTAATATCTATGGTGTTGGTTCTCCAGGTGAATTATTTTGAGATATTTCTGAACAATAATCTTTGCGCAAAAAATTATTTTTGTATTCTTTTCCCTCTTGATCTGACCGACTCCACATAGTCCAATTCTGTTTGGCAATTGTTAATGTATGGGGCAGGATTCTTTTTTATTGTTTTCGGAGCTCATTTGCAGAATGGTTATGCCAATTTCCTTGATTTACAATCCTTAATTACTTTGGTGATATACGAAAGGTGTGCATTTTCGTTCAAAAACTAATTTTTTTACGGAAAACTCGGAAAAATTTTTGCCTCCTATGTACGAGCAATCAAAATTTGTCACAGTAAATTTACTTGAGGGAATTGTTTATTTGGAAAAAGCTCTTCAGTCTTCCTTGAAGGGAAGAAAAACAGGAAATAAAGTGTTAACTCAACTAAAAGTTATTATTATTGCTTACTGCTGGGTGGCAGATGTTCTGAAAAAAGATTTGGCAGGGAGAGATATTTCATTATGTATTCTCCGTGTTATATTGATGTCTTAAAATTTAAAACACAAATGGTTGGTGCTTGTATGTGCAAATTTGCGTCAAGCACTATTGTTATAAGCCTAATTGTAATTAGTTAGCTAATGATTTTAATTCATTTGTAAACTATGCCCTGTAAACTAAGCGTCTTCTCCAACTGCGGTACCTAAATGCAACATATCTTGCCCTTCCATCACTTTCTCCTTCAATACAATTTTTTTCGTTCATTCAATTTTCAAAGAATACATCGCTTCTTTTTACTCCTCTTTACTCTTCAAACTTTACTTTTTCTTATCTTTACTCTCGCTTTCCCCTTTTTCTGGAATATGTCTTTCACCATACATGTTTGTGCATTTAAAAAACTTTTTTTTTCTGTTTATTGTCTGATAAATCAGTAATCGTCGACATTGCAGTCGACGCACAGATCTGACATCGTCTCTGTTTGCTTTCTTTATCGTTTTTTCTCGTTCGGTTCGTTCGTAAATTAATCAACATCCATTACGTTTTTGTCTACATTGATGCCTGCACCGTTCAGTGGCTTCTCTTTCCACTAATTCTAACTTCGCCTCGATATCAGCTGGCTGTTAAATTAATGAGCAAATGCCTTAAATTTAGAAAGATGCAAACGACGATCAGTAAATGGAAGCAAAGACAACAATTTTTATTTTCACAGGTTTTCACTTTTTTGTCATTAAAAAATTCGGAAATATTCAGAAGGACGAATTCACCTTAAAAAACGAAGCCTTGGCTAAAGGATAAACAAACAAACAAAAAAACAAATTGAGAGAACAGTATTTTTCGAAATGAAACAGGATGATTGGAATCAGTTAATAAAGGTGCCTCAAGAACCACGGTCAAACTCAAAACGAGGGAAAGGTTTTGATTCCGTTAGAACGAACCGTCTTCTTTTTAAGTGTGGTCATGTCCGTCTTTGGGACGCACAAACATCTCTCTGTTTCTGAACCACAGCTGCTCAGCTCTCGGCTCTTCTACAGCCTTCGCCGGCAGCACCTCAAAGCTTAGCCCCGTCTCCTGCCGGCTCTCTCGGTCTTCCAGTGCTGTCTCCGGCTACCAGTCACCAGTTTGTCACTCCGTCATTAGGCGGCTCTTCTCCAGCTCTCTCTCATTCCATCCCTGTTACGTCACCAGGGTCGTGGCCCATGTCTCCACAGTACACTGGTAGCAGCCAGGGTTCCAAGTACAGGTGCGTATTTAAGGTTGCTCGTAAATAAACCCTTGTATCTATTCTCACCATGAGAGACAGGTACTTGACGTCAAGAAGGATCATCCAGTCTCTTGAAAAGGTGCGACTCTTTTGGAAGGCCTCTCTGGTGGAACTGTGAAAAAATTCCTGAAATTAATCCAAGTCTTATTTCAACTTCTGTTACTAAGCAGTAGCGTCACCCTGTCGGAATGCGCTAGCACTGAGATCTTTGAAACTTTTTAGACACGGAAGATTGTAATTGCGAAATTTTGCGCACATCGGCTGAGAACTTAGAAACGTGCCAGTATTTTATATAAATTGGTCCTCAGTTGCAGACAGCGGCCCTTAAAAAACTCGTAGTGCTGCTTTCAACATAGGCTTGGTTACCAGTAGCTCTCCCGGTATGGACTTGCGCTGCTCTCCCGGTATGGACCTGCGCTTCGAAAGGAGAGCAGTGAAAATCGAGCTTACATGCAGTGGTTCTTTTCTTAATCAGCTTACGAGTAAAACGTGGAACAAACAAGTGTCTCTGAAGGTTCCTAGACAATCTCAGAGTCTGATCGCGTGGCTGTCTGAAAGCACTCACTTATTTGGTTATCTTAAGAGTTGAAATTATCTCATTTGCGATCGTTTTTATTATACCTTGATTCACCCAGGCCCTCTCCAACTCCCCAACCAATGCAATCAGGGAGTGGATTAAAGCAACCAACCACTCCACCTCGACCGCTGACTGCAAGAACGTGGGCTGCTACTGTTCCAACAATACTGTCTCATAAAGCGTTGATCAAATTGTGTACCCCAGTCCCCGTGCCTTGCTCGGTCAGGCACGGCCCACCGGTCATGGTATCTCCGTTGGAGCGGTTCCTGTGCTGCATGCATTTAAAACGGCATTTAACGCGGTGCATCCAAGATGAATTGTCCACCAAAGTTAGTAATTGATAAGTTATAAATATGGATTAAATATTGGTGGTTTTGATTTGGAAATTTACACTACTTAAACGCACGGACATGTGCGTTATTCTATCGCATTGTTTTAGTTATGCATTCTGTCAGTCAGTAAAGCAAGAGAGTTTGAAAGTCATTTACAGAAACAGTCAGTTGGTGAGATCAGTCAGACCGTAATTTAGCTACCTAGCGAGGCAGTTAGCCAGTCAGTCATTCATTTACTCGGTCAGTCAGTCAGTTAATCAGTCAGTCAGTTTGTCTGTCCGTCATTTGGTCTGTAAGTCAATCAATCAATCAGGCAGAGTTATTCTATCAGTCAATTCATCTGTCAGTCAGTCAGACAGTTTGTCTGTTTGTCAGTTACTCAGCTAGTCAGTAAGTTAAAAAGTCTGTGTGTCAGTTGGTCAGTAACTGCGCTTGTCGGTCATTTTTTACAATTATACGCTTTCATCTACTTGTCATGGCTGTCACCATCAAGTTAGCTTTAAGTGTTTCGTCCAATTATTTTCCCACAGCTATCTTTACTAAGGAATGAACTTACTTTGGCGTTCAAAACAACCCAACCAACGACAAACCTGCAGTACTTTGTCAGTACTGATCCATCATACACAGCGCTGCGACTCAGTGCCAAGCCTCTACCCGGTCAAGGTACGAACTGTAGTCCATCAGACGCCTTCTTGTACTCGTCATGAGCAAAGCTGGTCCCAACTTTTCACGACACTCTTTTGAAAATGGCTCTTATATCGTTCCTCTTAAGTACGAGCCCATCGCACCTTAACCACCCTAAGGGCGTAGCAGGGGTAAGGGGGCCCAGGGATGCCCGTGACCCCTTCTCCCCCCTTGCACCCCCCCTTTTGTAACCCTTTTTTGTCGCGTTAAGTAAAACACGGTGTGGAGGACATGACAATATAACGAGTACCCTCTTTTTGATATGAGTAACCCCCCCCTCCACCCCCTTCGTTTTGTCGGTTTTCGAATTTGTATTAATCTTACAACTTTCCTTTCTAGCAGAATTTTCCTGGAAAGATGAACTAAGTACTCTTGAGAGATTCTTTGAAACAAGGGTATGTTATCAAAATTAGCGTGAACTCTTTGTATAGCTTTTTTCTGTATTTGAGATTCCTTTAACTCCTAAGATTTGGGTGTTAATTCTCCCCTTTAGCTGCGACACATTTCATTGTAAGTTAGTCAAGAGAATTTAGTGTGAGATATAGATAAGAACTTCTACCTGATGAGTTTGAGTTTTCTCATTAACTGTTTGCTGGGTAATGTATGGATATTATAGAGAGAAGTTACATTTTAATCACTTCTGGAATCAAAAGGGTCAACTAGATGGCATAGATTTTCATTTGAATTTGTTTTCTTTGTTTGATGTGTGTTTCTCATTGGTTTATTTTTGTGTGCACATTCTTGATTTTTCCAACTTGTATTCGATTGTTGTTTGTGGTAGGTTGTTCCTCTCTGCTGCTAATGTGTCTATGCGAGCTTGAAATTGAAATTGCGTTTGTTGTCTTTCCTTCAGGTGGCCTGTCCTCCTTACAAGACCAGTGCTTTAACAGCGTTCGCTCGAATTCTGTGCGCTCCAGCCAACATACTCCGAGACTGTATCAAGATTATGAAATTGGAACTGGTAAGCGCTTCGTCTGTTTCTTTTTATTCAATTTTTCCGTGCCACCATCAAGCTTACACGGGTCTCCAATTGCTCAGTGAGTGAGATCCTATTAAAAGTCCTTACTTTCGACTTATTAGATTAAAATGTTATCTTTGAAGCAAGAAATGTAGGCTTAAAATCTCACCATCCTCACTTCCCTTGAAATCCGAATCCAAAAGGTTTGGACTCTCGTCTTTTGAGGTTAAGTTGAATGTACAAGACTCATCCAAATGATCTTGTTTAGCTTAGACAAGTACTTAGAAGAAAGTTACAGGCCCCTCTCCAATTGGGAGCTCTCGAAATTCTGTTGCACGATTGTGCTTGTGTTTCTGAACTGAAAATACCCAACTGATGTTGTGTGGACCCTTTTTCCGCAGAATCATGATCCAAACGTGTTGAAATGGCGCGTAGAATGGTGCCTCAGTATACCCCCCAACGGACCTGAGATTGCGCCTCCCGGAACCCCAGCAGTGGTCCTGAAAGGGAAAATGTTGTTCTTTGTAAGTTGATTTACCTTGGTCCGCGTTTAAAAGTTTGAACAAATATTACGGTCTTGCAACTAGAGTGGATCTAACAACACAATCGCCCTATTTACGAAGTCAACAACTCGTTTGAATTTGCAATTGATGTCCAGCAATCGGGAGAAACCACCCTTGATTTATTTTGTTGATTCATGTATTTATTTTTGTCATATCTCTTTGGTTTTTGTCTTTCCCGGCAAACGAAAAAAAGGGTTGTAGTTATTTTAAAGTAAACTCTCTTGAATGTTAAAAGTGGCTTAAACCGTCCTTTCATTCTTTCTTTAACTTTCCCTTTTTGTTTTCTGTAGATACAACTTAGCAGGCCTATCCCGTCATCCCCAACAGGCGAAGAGCAAATAGTTACAGTTCCCATTCTCTACGACATACAGAACAACACAACCCAGCAGGCTGAGATGCCGTCGCGTCCAGCTCTTTCCGCCGGCTCGGTCATGAGTTCCAATCATGCTGCCGTTGTGAATTCAACCTTGAGGCGGTGGAACGAAATAACACCAAGAACAGGCGAGTTGATAAAAATACAATTATAAGGTTCACGGATTCAGAAAAGGCAACTTGTCTTAGTTGACTTCCTGTCTAAAATCGTGAGCAAAACAGGCTAACGAAGAATCTTTTTTTCACAAATTTATTGTAATGAAAACCTCTTTTTTCTGTTTAATTTTGGTCCGATTAGTTTTGGGGATTTCTGCATCCTGTACCATTACGCTTTTAGGCAGTTATTCTAATTCATACGTCCACGATATGACTGGTTTGGAAGTTACTCTCAATTGTCGTAAAAATTACCCAATCTAACCTGAATTGATGGTAAGAGAAAATTACCCTAAAAATGTTTCAGTTGCGTGAGATCAAGAGTGACCAGCATCTTTAAGGAAATGATCACCAACTGTAGACAATCTTGATTGTTGAATAAATTCTCTTTCTTAGCGCCTTAGGAAATGTATAGAGAACAGTATGGAGAATATGCATATTGATGTAAAGAGTTAAGCACAGCATTTGCTTCCTTGGGAACATTTCATGTTCTTTTAATTACATCTTATCTGTTTTACAGGTGAATGTACCATATTTTCAGCGGTGTTTGAGCTCGCCCGGAACCTTGATATTCCTCTGTAGACAACAATTATTTATTGGACGATAAAACATTGTACAATTTTTATCCCGTAAAAAAACTGACAAAGTCAAAAACTTTAACACTATGGATTGAAAACATGATATTGAAGCTCTCTGTTGTAGTATTAAACCTCGGCTCAACTCTTGTGGACTGTATGTATCTGTTTTCCTTGAGCAAATTTATCACTCTCCCTGCGAAACTTTTTGGGCTGCAATATTAATGCTCTTTGGGAGGGCACAAAAACGGCATCCCTAAACTCAGCCCTTTAATTTTGTTTGAAACAATTTGGTGAGTAACACCGCATAGTTGTAAAACCAAGACAATAAAAACCAAACTGAATGAATATCTCAAAGAGTCAGTGAGTAGTCAAAGTAAGTCAGTGAAAACCACTTTAAGCGCAGGAAAACGCGAGCGACCAAGTAACGACTAGTTTAATTGCACCGGATCGATCTCGAAGGTGGCGGGAGTTTTATAGACTGCAAATTCAACATATGGCTCTCCATCACTTCCGACTCTGGACGTAAACCCACTCTATATCTTTGTTCACTTATAGTCCTCAGATGTAGCAAGGGAGGGGAGGGGAGGGCGCGATGCAGTTCCAGATCATGACTACGTCCTTTTCTCAAGCAGTCTCCACAGATCGCCGGCAATTTTTTTCCACGTTACACGAACACAAAAACATAAAGAAGACGGTTTAAATACAATCCATTGGATTTTATTCATGATCAGATAATAACTCCAGATATGATGGCAGCTTACTCAAAAATATACAGGCCTTATTTTCATCTCCGATCTCCTGGCCGAATAGTAGTCTCCTTTCCAGTGGTACCAATTAATACCATCAGCATGAGATGAATGCGGCCCTGGCTGGTACAAACCATTCAAGTTTGCTTGGCGACACAAGCTGTACCACCAGCCTCCCTTAAACGTTACGGCACAGTGACGTTTATCAGGATCATTGTCCTGGTCTTTAGTTGAGAAGGAGCACCACGCTGAAAGGAGAAAGAATCGCCGGCCGTTAATAAGATAATGGATACGTTAATAAGCTCTTCTTGTCAGACATTTAAATTCTTTGCTACAAACCCGCTTGATGGAATAACTATTGTTATTTGTCCCACGCAGACACGCTAATGAGTTTCTATGTAAGCGAACAGGTACAATCTGATATCCAATTAAAGCGCAGTTATTTATTTCAAAGGTTTCCGTCGGCTTTAGCATAACAGGATGAGCTACTAGCTCGACTTAAGATTATTAAATCGTTCATCCTTCGGTATATAGAAAAACCACAGGCGAGAATGTTTGTGCTTAAATGAAAAAAAAGTGTCTGCAGCTTATTTAAATTCTCTCGCGTAATTTTATTTACGCTTTGGATCGTGCCGCGAGATCTTCGGGTTACTGTGTTTTTTAAATATTTTGTTATTCATCAAACATTGATGTACTTACCAGAGTAAGTTCCAAGGCTCAGTTGATACTTAGCTCTCTCACAAAAAAAAACTGATGCAGCGCTCTACCAACTGAGCTAACAAGCCAACTGGGAGCTGGTCATGATGTTGGTTGTTAGCGCAGTTGGTAGAGCGCTGCACCAGTATCGCAGAGGTCATGGGTTCAAATCCCGTACAGGCCTGAATTTTTTTCAGGCCTTATTTTCACTACTGCCTAAGTAGTGCGCATTACTGCGAGGATCACTTTCATTCGCGTCCTTATCCGCAGTTCAAAGTGATTGTATTTTGTAGACCCAACAGACCAAAAACTTCCAAACAAACTTACAAAATCATCGCGTTTTCAAGTTTGACTGCGTTTAAAAATGTTACCTTTAATGATTAAATGATGAAAATAGGTATAAACTAAGAAAAATTACTGATAAAATACACTCTTAGACGGTACCCATATCAGCAAGCCTCGGGCGTCAACAGCGATGACTACGATATTAGAAACAATGATATGAATTAAGAGTAAACAATTCACAATCAATGATATTTAAACAGGTAAGAAGGAGAGGAACTCATCAAATATGAATATGGGAGTGAGAGATTGAATCACTTTCACATTTGAAAGATTCACCGAAGTTGACAAAGGCTGCTGGGATACAAAATTTTCAAAACTGAATCATTATGACTAATGACAAAAAATGAACCAATCAAAGCATTTTAAAATTTCTGTTTTTCAAAACTAGAAAATGTTCATCATGACAAAACACAAACAAAACTGACGATAGGAGTGGTTTTACTAACTATTTTCTAACTGGCATGAAACTTAATTTTTACTTGTTTTGTTTTCTTTCTTTGTCTTCATATCACGCAGAAGGTCTCGTACTTCAACAAGCTGCGCTTGAATTCCTTAAAGATCGATCTTAATCTCCTCTCTCTTCGTTTTCTCATTTTTTCTCTTTTTCGTTCTCTTTCTCTTTACGCGTTATGGCCTCTCGCGCCAGGTAGGCACGATCTCTCTTAAAAGGTGCAGCAAAAAAAGAAAGACAGAGCTTTTAAATTCCGTCTCACGTGCAAATTTTAACAAAATTTACGCCGTGGCAAAGTATCCACAAATCCTAAATCCCAGTTACAAGTCACAAGTCTAGTAAAAAAGTTGAGGTTTTCGCTCTTTCCAAAAAAAAAAGAGAAACCTGAAGTTTTACGTTTTTTACAGAAATTTTCATCACCTTGTGCCTCAGGTGCATAGATACGCTTTCGGTGAGTCAGCATTGTTTCATGCTTCATTCTTATAGACACTAATTAACTCTTCGAACTCGTTTTTAAACAGAGTCTACCCTCCCTGAAAAACGACACCTCTTTTATATTAGTACACCTACATTAAGAAAAAGTACCTCCCCGAAAAAAACCTTTATTGATACCTTCCTAAGACAGGTTAAGACATGTATTACTCACTTTCTCTTAGGTGCAAAATACAACCCATAACATCAACAGTTTAATCATTAAAGTACGTCCATGGCAGTTCCCCCTTTATAATCTATTTCCATACTCTAACCAATTAAATCTTTTCAATTTCATACAAACACGACCTGAAAAATGATTTCATGTTGGTCGTTCAATTGTAGCTTGTTAAAGACCGTTAAAGACCCCCACCCTATCCTCTCCCCCCTCCCATTCTATCCCCTCCCTAGGGTATCTAATAGGTCATCAACTGATTATGGACTCAGAATTGTTCCACTTTCCACAAAATATTCGTAATTCTCAGCATTATTTAAAGCGTCTTTTGGATTTTCTATAGCGAGCCGTCTACAAGCATTTTGGCCGTATGCTATATCATCCCTACGAGCCACTGCATGCCCCAATTCATGAACTATAATCCCCATCTTTGTGTCATACCCAATCAGCGTGTCGGCCCTGTTGTACAATTCGCAAAGGAAGACTTTGCGAGTTCCAAAGTAAGCATAAGCATAGTTCCCATCTTCACATTCTCTTCCATCAATAATGTAAGTAATTTTATCCTTTGATAATACTCGTTCCATTTTTTCAAAAACCCACTTGGGTTCGTCAGTAGGAGAAGATCCAAACCAAGTTTTAGCTCTTCCGCGATCATTCTCGAGGTCTTGAATGGCTAACTTAATGTTTCTGTACACAGCTACAATAGCATGTTCTGTTTCACTTTTCACGTCTGGGGACCCTCCCTTTATTACATACTTAAGAGATGCCTTCAGGTCCTGACCTCTTTTGCTGTGAAAAATATGGTCTTCCAAAGCACCCTTGGTCACGCTTTCTTCAGTGCGCGCCCTTTGACCCGAGGTTCCCTTTATAAAACTATTTTCATCGATTTCATAACTAAATACAGGGGACGATAAATGTTCTATCTTAGTCTGGCTCACTGGCTTTTTAGTTACACTATCCTTTACATATTCTAAATTAGTGTCCACTGCTATAGAGTACAGGCCAGCCTTGGTCATGTCGTACGCATCTGAAACGTCAAAGGTGGACGACACTGTTTGTCCGGATTTGACGAGCAAGTATTGATCAGGGCCTGGGGCGGAGCGCTTTATATGGATACCATCGTACTGTAGCTTCGTGTCATTGGAAGTGACTGACAGGCAATCCGATCTCAGTCCATCCAGCGGCGTACGCCATTTCAGCACAGAATAGTCTTGTTGGCCGTTGTTTCTCAAATTGAACTTACATTCAATCTTGTCGGACGTTGCAAAGTTAGGTGCGCAGTCGATGTAGGAGGAGAATGCCCTGTGTAGAACAAAATTCCTTTTCGTTATAACCTGTCTACCATAACTACTAAGGGTGTAGTATAATGGCTCCCATAACATTATTGTCTAATCAGTTCAAACTCTGCTTGTATTCAATTATTAAGACTTTAAACCTGTTTACGTCCAATGTTGTTATTTTATAATGCTAAGCTCTGCCTTTAAAATTTATTATTATTGCAACCTTGCATGGATCTTGCATCAGGCTGATTCAAATTATCACGATTCACAATATCTATTTGTAGAAAAAGCCTACCACTTACGTGGTTTTAGAAGTATCAAATTCCACCATTTGTCCTCCGTCCACCATCTTCAGTATGACAAACATCCACAGAAGTTTCATCATCGGCTTTAAAAAACAAAACATCTTTCTCAGCCATTTCTAACTCTATCGGTTTTGAATGGGAAGGGGTTGCTTCGAAACTTCCCTCTGCTCTTCTTGAAGGAGAGACACTTTGCGATCTTACTTACTTAAAATCACCCTCTCTAATAAAAGCTTCTTTCAGGGACTTGGATGGACTTTAATACGGTGATAGAAAGGAAGCAGCAGAATGGTCCTCGAGTGTAACAATTCCATTCCTTACTTTTTCCTTTTTTCGAAGGGCTTTAGTAGTTCAATAAGATTTTCTTTGTAAATGTTCGGAGTCTATCACGCCGTATGTTTTCAATAATTTCTATGATCTTTTTTTTAAGAGAAACCGCATATTTTTATGAGGGCTGACATACTGATATCTTACTATAGTTTGCGAACTTCGCACCGATACATGCCGAAGCAGTTAATCAAAAGTTTTAGTTCGACCTCAGAGTATTAAGAACCTTTACTTGTTTTTCAGAGTATCCAGTTACCAGTTATATTTCGCAAACGGCCGTTCATTCTAACCACAGATCTTAGTCAGTTCTTAAGATAACTCTATCAAGCCAGGCTAGAGCTGTTTACCAAGTCGTTGCCGCCTATATGGCTCATGATCCATCATCCCTAAAAGTAACTGTAGGAAAGATGACCTCACCTGTTTATCTCCGTTAGACGTGTAATGCTTAATGATACCTCTTGCAAATGTGTACTATACACTTGAGAGACGATGAAAAAGGAGTAAAACAGTACGTTTTACAAACATTCTTTATTTCTCGTGACAACCATATGGTATCTATAACAACATCTGATTTTAATAACTTATTTGGGATCTCCCCTGGCTGGTTATTCATCTTTCCGGGCCGATTGTTTACAATGCTCAAAAAGCCAATTAGTTCTGCATTTTCTTTTCATTTTGAGGTTAAGAAAATTTTTCACTATTTCCTCCAACAACAACGATGTTCCGTGAATGCGAAATTTTTAACTTCCCTTCTGGCGACTTCTATGAATTAACAGTTGTTAACATAAACTTAACATGGAAATTTGTAATAAATTGGCTTTAATGAAACGCTATTTATCAAAGTTGTGCGTTAGTTATTAGTTTTGTTAAGTAATTACTGGGAAAAGAACATACCATGAATTCACTGATAGCTTCTTCAAAAAGTACAAATACAATTCTAACTTAGTTCATGGATTGTCAAACAACTTGGGCAATTCTAGGAAGATTCCGTTTGATGAAGATATTCGTTCTAGAAAAATGATGTCTAATTAGGTCCAAATGAAAGGAAATTTCTTAAATTGCAACATTTCGAGAACAACGTTTGCAAAAGCAAAAATGCAGCCTCAATGTTATGTCAAAGCCAGGGTAAATATCTCCATTGGAAGCAATAACTTTTAATAAGCATGCCTACAGGACTTTAAATTGTCTCTATGCGGAGAAAAATTCTTTTGTGTCTTAGGAATAGATGAATAACCATTTTTTTTCATAGGAGCAGTGATTCAAAGCTGACTCTTAGCTTCGACGGTTCAACCATCATTCAACTACAACTGGTCTGTTCTTAAACGAAGAAAAAAAAAGGAGAAGGTAAGTTGATAGTGATAAACGTGCTCAATGCATAAATTCCATGGTTTATAATGAAACTTATGAAAAAATTAAGTTATTTGCAACAGAAAGGAGAGCTTTGGAACACAAATATCTTGGTCATTAGCCAAATAGACACAACTGACACTCAAAACTTCACACACTTGGAAATTTTAGAACAAAAAAAAAAACTCCTAATTGAATTTTATTGTGCGGATCATTGTTATCTTTAACCTTATACGAATCAACGAAAAGGAATGCGAAGATCGTTTCTTTGCTAGAAAATTGTGATCAGATTCCGTTGTAGGAAAGAAGTACCCTCTAACAGCGCCCAACTAGGATCTAAAAAAGGTTGACAGTTGTGTTTCTTCTCACCCCAGCAAATTGTTTGCCCTTTTTTTTCTTAAGTAACCTCTCGATTTTATGTGCTCCATGTCTGTAGTCACAATTTCTCCACAGTTTTCCTGCCCTGACGCCTATTCAAGAGAGACGTATTATGAGGTTTACCTAATCAAGGCCAGATACGATAATCGCCTGGAAGAATATCTTTCGATATTTGATTACCTGGCTTAGACATCTCCCCATGAAACGGAAGGAAAAACTGAAACGTTATCGTTTAAACGCCAACAACTTTTATTCCCTTATCTCCAGAGTAACGCCTTTTAAAAGGCTTACATCGTTTTAAATACTGATTTAAATGGAAGCCAGCCTACTTAACCCTTTTCGTTACCTAAGCTCAATCATTTAATCCCAGCCTTACATATAATTCTGGACTATTATTGAACCTCTTTCGAACAATATCCAAACCTTGCCAAGTAATCAGAAACTTTTGCATGACTTACTGATGGTTAAACTTTCCACAAAATGCGCAAAATTAGCACCATTTAAGGCAGCGCGTTTAGGACTGGCTTTGGCGAGCTTTTGTACCCTTATTGGGCCGTGCTCATCATCAGTGGTGTTGCTTATGGCGTGTGTCAGTTCATGAACTATAATGCCCATTTTACTGTAATAACCAGTATCCGTTTTCTGCTCGCTAAACAGTTTACAGAGGTACAAAGTGCAAGCTCCATGAAAACTGTATGCCAGAATTTCGTTTGAACATTGATCCCCTCCAAAATGAAACGTTTTATGCCAGTTGTCATCTACTATTGCAACAGTTTTCTTCAACAGAATTTTTGCGTCCTCGATGGCTGTACCAAACCAAGGTTTTCCCTTTGCGGGATTATCTTTAAGACATTTAATGGCTGATTTCATGTTTTGGACCGCAGCCTCGAAGGCTTTTTTTGTTTCTAATTTTAAGGCTTCGGGCGCCACTCCCACAAAATGCTCCAGTTTGGGACAAGACTCGTCTTCCGAAGAAGAACCTCTCATGGAATATTGATTTGTTCTTTTGAGAGGGCGCGCCCTTTCGCTCAAGGTTCCCTCAATGAAGCTTCCTTTGGAAATTTCGTAACTTACGGCAGGGGAAGATAAGTGTTCTATCTCAGTTTGGGTAAACCGCACGTCAGATAACCTACCCGCTACATATTCTAAGTAAGTGTCCACTGCTATAGAGTAGAGACCGGCTTTAGTCATGTCGTACGCATCTGAAACATCGAACGTAGATAACACCGTTTGTCCAGCTTTGACGAGCAAGTATTGATCAGGGCCTGGAGCGGAGCGCTTCGGGTAAATACCATCGTATTGTAGCTTCTTGCCATTGGTAGTGACTGTCAGACAATCTGATCTCAGTCCATCCAGCGGTGTACGCCATTTAAGGACTAAATAGTCTTGTTTACCGTTGTTTCTCAAATGGAACTGACATTCAATCTTGCCAGTAGTTCGATATTTCGGTGCACAGAGGAGCCGAGAGGAGAAGATCCTGCGTAAAATATAACTCCAATCATTAGTTGTAGCTCTGGCTTCATTTACGTTATCATTGCTCCACCACACACAAAAGCAAATACGAAAGGAAACGTTAATCTGACACCTGTCTTGGCGTAGTAGATAAAATACCATGGAGCTCATCAAGTCATCGGAAGCCTTACATTGATTTATAGAATGATCCGGTCTTTGGCATTCCCCTCTATGGGTACCGGTAATTCGAATGGAAAGCTGTATTTTTGTTGAATCCTTATATATTAATTTTCTACGATAGAAGAAGCCTCCTCTTTACCTGTGGCCAGAGGTGTGAAGACGAGCGCTTTCTATACTGTCCGTCAGACCCCAAATCAAAAGAATCCATAGAAACTTCATGGCGAACTATAAAGAAAGAGAACTTTTTAGTAATCGTTAGCCAGACTGTGAGTGATATATCCTTTATGAAAAGAAATTGAAAAGGCATAGCCCTTAGCATAGCATAGCATGTAGTGTATGATATTGTAAACAATTAAATAACATTTAAATGAGACAAAAGAGGTAGCTTACCTAGCTCTGTGTTTCGCATAAGTTCAGTGGCACAACTCATAACCCCAAAGTGTGAGCAGCACTTTTATTGAGGAACACCTGACAAATGAAAGGCAAGCAGTTTCGTGACGCATTCATCATTTCCCATAGCAACCATGATGTGTCTGAGAAATCTGCTGCTGTGTGCGCGGTTGTTTAACGTATTTTCCCTTATGGCTTTTACGAGATCAGAAAAAAGAAAGATTATTTCTCATTGGCTAGTTTCAGTTACCTCCTAGTTTTGTGCTTTTTAGGCAACGAACTATATTATCGAACAAGGAAAAAGAGCCAACAGAGGCCACAAAATTACCAGATTGTATGATTCGTGATCGTTGAAAATACGTGCTATCTTCTTAATGGACTCTTAAAAGATCAGGTATTAGAGTTGACAAAAGCATTCTTTCTTCCATAACAACGGCGCTGTGTCCAAGGATACAAATGTTTCAAAAAGTAACTTTAATTAATTTCAAGTACTCAAACAATATCCTTTTGTGTTTTCTTAACGAAACGTAAACAGGCAAACGCTCCATTTTTTCATGCCTTTTAAAACCAAGAGGATATGTTTTCTTGCTAATGTATATTGAGAATTGGTTTCTACATTCCCAATCCGTTTGATTGATACTAACAGTACACAGTGCTTTAAGTGACAATATTGTAATCAAACATTATTTTCCAAGAGCTTTTGTTATAAAGTATTTCACGAATAGCCTTTTATTCAAGAAAGTCCTCTGATCTGGATTTTGAAACAAAACTGCGCCTAGTTTTAGCTATAGGATTTGTTTTCCAGTGTCAATTCAACTACTACAAAGATCGAGTATAAGAAATCCCTTCCGGGTTTTCTGCTACTTCTTGGGTAAATGTAGTGGTAACTGTATAGAAAGTGTACCGAGTCCTTGAGAGACACTTTGGAGAGAAAAGCTGTACTCAGGGCATTCTTTCTTTTTGCGTAACAACGGTGACTCTACGTCTTAGAGTAGATGTCTTATTCATTTTCCCTTAATGGTTGTTTTTAATACGCCAATAAACCAAGCAGTTTCGTTTGTAACTTCCTCTTCTACAATTCTACGTATAACATTTTAGTTATCGGTATTCCTCCGTCAGTTTTGCAATTTCCTTCCCAGGTATACAGTGAATGCTTTCAGATAATTTGTATCAGTATTGGTGAGGGCTTTATGCAACAGTTTTGAAATGAAAGGAAATTTCACCTAGTCTCAGTTACCTGTCGCACTTCCGAAAGGCGTCTATCGACGCGCGCGCCAGCGTCAACCGTAAAATTAAAAAATCACCAAAAAAAGTGTACGAGCGACCATTTCATGCCAGTTATGTATGAGGTGAATATTTCCAGATAACTGATATCAACAGTATGAGGCTGACTTTGAGCGAAAGTTTGGAAGGAACATTATTATTAATTAGAGGTTCTGTTTTTTAAAGTCGCATGGTCGGTTTGCCAAGTATGTCTTCGTGAAATGTTTCTAAGAGAACTGCGTCTAGCCTTCCGAAAGGCGTATATCGACGCCAGGTCAAATTTCAAATTCCAAATCACTAATAAAAAAAAAATGCAAGAGATGCCATTGACAGTTTTTAGCCACGTACTCGGGCTGCTAATTGTAACTTAATGGAAAGTGTTTCGTGGAATTTAAATTGAGAAAAACGGTACTTTTAATAGCAATCCTTATTTCGCATGATACTTTGTGTTTAACTATAGTTATGTTATCTTAATTCCCAATTGTATCCTGCCGATAATTCAAAACAATTTGCCCTTAATCCTCGTACGACCAGTGACATCAATTCAATTTGTACTCAAAGCTCGCCATGATTCCTAGGTTTTTTTTTAAGCTTACTTTAAAACCAGTCATTTAAACATTAGTGGTTCGTAATCATAACAGGGATGATAAATTTTGGATTAAACTTTCCTGGTAATAGTAAGTTTTGAAAAGACCTTCTTCGTTGCATTTTTCAAACGTGGTCCTACTTTAAGCGATACTTTGGAGGGGACAAGTTCCATATGTTGACGAGGTTCTAACTCAGCTGCCCTTGTCTGAAGCCGAACAAAAAAACATTATTTATTTCGTGACTGTAATTATTTTATTTCAATCAGCCTTTTTCTAGGGTCAGTACACCTTAATGACTCAACTTCCCTTAATGGTTTTTTTTTATGAAACTTCAAAAGTCCAAGTTTTTTTTCCATCAGTTTCCGGAATCATTTTTCGTTTTTGTTTTTCGATCTCTCTAATTCAAAACTTATAGTCCTTGAAACTTTTGGTTTAGAAATTCCACCCTTTGATTTTTGATATTCCTGAAAAAAATCCTTGTTAAATTATGCTTTTCAAAGCAACGGTGTTTTAATGTCGTTATGTAAGGAAAAGTGCCCTTATTTCAGTGTTCGTAACATTGACAATCTGCTCATTTAATCTTCATAATATACCTATTGTTTTAGATGAAAATCCTGATGACTGCAAAGCTTTTACTCTGGTCAACTCTTGTGGCTGCATCAGCAGCACATTTGAAAGCAGAGGATGCACGGGATGTGCAGTAAGTGAAAATATAGAATAAATATGTAAGTGGTAAATGAAGTTTGGAAATAAAACAACTCACCTCTTAAGGGAAAGGTATGAGCTTAGAGTCGTATCATCAAAATTTTATTAGCTTAGACATCAAGAAGCATTTTGATCTTTCGAAATCGGTAATGTGTTTGTCATGAAAGATTCTATCCCGATAGGGTTGTAATGTGCGTCAGCTCTAATGCCTTTTATTTCTGCGTAAACAATTGGTATTTTCCCTCACGCAACACTCATTAAATTAAATCATTAGCTATCTTCTTAGCATTACTTTGTCCTTTTGAGGTTATTACAAATTAGTGTTCTGTATAGCATTAAAATTTCAACGTTTTACTCTGCGTTAAAAAACCGAGGATGACAATAGAAGTGTTGAAACGTAACAAAAATATAACGTGTTGTCTTTATTCTTAAAAAATCTGCAAAACTCTACCTATACCGGCTTGTTAAGATTCCCAGGAGAAACCCAACCGTTTGAAAACTGTCTTCCAATATTTTGAAAACTCAATTCATATTAATAATTATTTGTCTTTGTTCAGACTATTTTCTGCTTCCATCGACTGTCTTTCCTCTTACAAAACTACAGACGAAGTTATGTGCGACTTCAGCCTGACAAACAACGGTGAAAGCGCATATTCGGTGCTAAAATGGAATACACCGCTGAACGACTTAGCCCTGGACGGTCTAACTGTCAGCCGAGACGGGGAAGAGCTGAGTCCACAAGGTATCAGAATGAAGCGTGAAGATCCAGCTGCGAGCGATTTCTTGACCATTGCTCCTGGAGAAACCGTCTCATCAAAGTTCGATCTTTCTTCTGAATACGACACTACTAAGGCCGCAGAATACACTGTTGCAGTAGACCTGTATTTGGAGTATGTCAAGGGAAGTGTTGGAAGTCCGGAAGAAAGTGAACTATTTTATCTTTCTTCTTCTGATGTTAGTTTCCAAGTAGCTTAAAGAAATTTCCGTAAAAGGACAGTTGAAAATGAAATGTCATCGTAGACAAAGGGGAGGGAATGATTCTTACTAAAGAGTGATTAAAGAGTCTCAAATCAACTTGCTGATACATGTTTGCTTTATCATTTTTTGGTATCTCATATTCATAAATTCGCGAATTTCGCTCTCCTTTCTGTAAAGTTCTCGCGTCAGTTTACTTTTGGCCTTAATTAGTAGGTTTTATTCGGATTATGGTTCAAATTATCAACACTCAGGGCAGATGACAACTGATTTCTTCTTATGGCATCATGTACCCTTTCACGGTGAACGTCGCCATAATCAAAGTCAGTTATTTCTAGTTGGACGTCCAGGACGTTAAAAAGATATTTCTCTTTTGAATGGAAGTTCAGCTTAATTCAATTTACAATTTAAATAGTGCTGTATGGTAGTTCTGGGTTCAAGTCTTCCTCCCTGACACTCGCTGAAGTTGTTCTTAGTCGCCCCGAGTTCATCTGCTCAGCTGCGCTGTGTTAATAGCTAACTGGTCTACTTCCTGCCAGTTCGGATTTTTAGACACATTTTGTTTATTTGAAATATTTGTTTCTCTCTCTTTCATATTGTAAAGTGTTTAGAGGCTTGCACAAGATTGCCACCTCCGACGCAATAGAATTCAAAACATCGAATTCCAAAATGGTTAAATTTCTCAACTCAAAGTAAGTCCATGAAGATCATCTTACATTGCACAAGAATACTCAAGCGAGGAAGTAACGCTTGATAAAGTTGGAGCGCATCGATCTCGATGGTTATGCGAGTTTTGTAGAATATAAGTTGGAGATATAGCTTTTAATAGCTTTCGACACTCGATATGAGACCGCTCTTTATCTCCTTTTATTCACAATCCTCAGATGCAACAAGAAAGGAAAAGGGGGTTGCGATAAAAGCCAGATCCTTAACCCAATCATAGCAACGTAACGTCCTTTCCTCAAGCAAACTCCTCTCGTCGTAACTCTCTTTCACGTTACACATACACAAAAATGAAGGCAATTTAAATATGATCCATTGAATTTTATTCATGAGCAGTTAAAACTCCGTACATGGCAGAAGACTCACAAATTTACGGGCCTTATTTTCATCTCCGATCTCTTGGCCGAATAGTTATCTCCTTTCCAGTGATGCCAATTAATACCATCAGCATGAGATGAATGCGGCCCAGGCTGGTACAAACCGTTTAGGTTTGCATGGCGACACAAGCTGTACCACCAGCCTCCCTTAAACGTTCTAGCGCAGTGACGTTTATCAGGATCATTGTCCTGATCTTTAGTTGAGAAAGGAGCACCACGCTGGAAGGAGAAAGAATCACCAGCCGTACCTGCGGATAAATGGATACGTTGATAAATTCTTCTTGTCTGACCTTTAAATTCTTTGCTACAAATCCACTTGATGGAATAACTAGTGTTAATTGGCCCACGCAGACACGCTAATGAGTTTCTGTGTAACTTGGAATGCGAACATTTATCATCTGATATCCAATTAAAGCGTACTACGCTTATTTCAAAGGTTTCCTTCGGCTCTAGCATAACAGGATGAGCTACTAGCTCGACTTAAGATTATTAAATCGTTCATCCCACAGTGTATAGAGAAACCACAGACGAGATTGTTTGTGCTAAAATGAAAAAAAAAAATGTCTGGAGTTCATATAAATTATTTCGCGCAACTTTGGACCGTGCCGCGAGATCTTATCTTCGGGTTACTGTGTTTTTTAAATATTTTGTTATTCATCAAACATTTTGTTATTCATCAAACATTGATTTCTGTGTAACTTGTAATGCGAACAGTTATCATCTGATATCCAATTAAAGGCTCAAAGGTGATCTAGCATAACAGGATGAGCTACTAGCTCGACTTAAGATTATTAAATCGTTCATCCCACAGTGTATAAAGAAACTACAGACGAGATTGTTTGTGCTAAAATGAAAAAAAAAATGTCTGGAGTTCATATAAATTATTTCGCGCAATTTTATTTATACTTTGGACCGTGCCGCGAGATCTTATCTTCGGGTTACTGTGTTTTTTAAATATTTTGTTATTCATCAAACATTGATGTACTTACCAGAGTAAGTTCCAAGGCTCAGTTGATACTTAGCTCTCTCACTTGCCACTGCAAACATGTCGTAGTCGGCGTAGGCCGTTTTTCCCTTAATGTCTTCCAGCTCTATTCGAATTATGTTCCTACCTGCCTTAGTCAACTGATGCATCTTGTCCAAACCGAGCCAGAACTCGCCGTTCAAGTTACCAAAACCGCGCTTGTAGTCGGCCCAGCCGCGATAAAAATCTACTGAGCCATCCAATCTTTTCTGAATCACTGTCCATCCTCCACCGGCTGTTTTATGGTCACAGTAGACGTCGAAAGGACCGCGGCTGCTATCCGGGCTTATAGTGTACACTCCACTGATTCTCTCACCGGACTCGAAAAGGTCAGCGCAGTTTCGGTTCTTGACTACAAGAAGGGAAAGATTGAATCAATTTCATATTTGAAAGATTCGTCAAAGTAGACAAAAGCACCACGGAAACAAAATATTTAAGACTGAGTAGATTCATCTAAGTAAATCAATTTTGATGAGAAATGTACCAATTGAAACATTTTAGAACTTCTCTGTTTGAACAGTAGAAAAAGTTAATCCTGAAAAAATACAAAGAGAACTAACCACAAGTTATTCTAACGAAACACTCTTTAATAAACTGAAAACATTCGTGTTAAATTTTTACCAGTTTTGTTTTCTTTCTCTATCTTCATATCACGCAGAAGCTCTTGTAGGTCAGTAAGCTGTGCTTGAATTCCTTGAAGAATGGTCTTCATCTCCTCGTTAGTTCCCGCGTAATAGTTTCCATTTATCACCGTACTGCACTTGTTTTCCTGAGGGTTTCCTTTCGTCGTTCGACATTTATCATGTACCAATGTTCTGCGACTTGCCACAGACACCGTGAAAAACAAGAAACTCCAGCAAAGCGTTGTAAGGACAGAAGTCTCCATTTCGGTTTAACAGCGCGAGGAATGTGGTCTTTGATTACAAATCATCGTTGGTATGCACCAGGTAGATTAGAATAGAGATTATATTTCTTGTTTTTTATTGTAAAGCTGTAGCGTCACTAAAATCCTCATATTTACAATAGTTTCGCTAATCAAAGATCCTTTGGTTGTTGCGGCGATACGTGACTATGTTTCGCAAACACGACAGACCTAAAACTGTCAAACAGACTTACAAAGCGGTCTCATTCTCAGATTTGACTGCCTTTCACGATTTGATGATGAAAATAAGTATAAACTGATTGTTTTAACTTAGTAAAAACACTCCACACAGCCAAGCCTCAGCCAGTTAACAGCGATGAATACAGAATTAGAAACAATGAGTTAAATCAAGAGGAAACAATTCACAATGCATAATATTTGCAATGCTCATTCTCCGCACTGTTTTCTACACATTTCCTGAGGTGCTGACAAGGAGAAGTTGTTTAACAATCAAGTTGCTGATTATTTCCTTTAATTTCGTGACCTCAGTATGTGATTCAGGGCTGATATTGTGGGGATAAATTAGATGTTAGTCACTCTCTTTAATACGATAAAAGAAAGTCGGCTGTTTCGATTAAATTTATGATTAAGGTGTGCAAATGAATTTGCAAGGTTGATTGTACAGAAGCCCACCGAACGTCTCACAAAGGACAAACACGTTATGACTCTTACATCGACGTTCTCTCTCTCTCTCTTTTTTTTTTCTTGCTCTTTCTTTTTTTCCTAACACGTTATGGCCTCTAGCACCAGGTGGGCACCATATCTCTTTAGGGTACAGCGAAAAAAAAAGAGCTTTTTCAATCCTTCTCACGTGCGAGTTTTAACAAAATTTATGCCGTGGCAAAGTATCCTTCACAATTCCCAAATGAAAGAGTTACAAGTCACGAGTTGAGGTTTTTGCTCTTTTCAAAAAAATAAAAACCTGAAGTTTTACGATTTTCACATAAATTTTCATTACTTTGTGCCTCAGATGCATAGGTACGCTTTCGGTGAGTCAGAATTGCTTCATGTTTCATTCCTATAAACACTAATTTACTTTCCGAACTTGTTTGTAAACAGTGTCTACCCTCCCTGAAAAACGGCATTTCTTTTATCCTAGCATACCTACATTTAGAAAAAAGCACCTCCCCGAAAAAAACCTTTATTGATACCTTCCTAAGACAAGTTAAGACATGTATTACTCACTTTCTCTTAGGTACAAAAGACAACCCTTAACATTAAAGTTTAATCCCTTTAAAGTTTTATCCGTTTAAGTTTAACCAGAACGTTCATGGCAGTTGCCCCCTTTTAATCTTTTTCCACGCTTTAACCAATTAAATTTCTACATTTTCACACAATTACGACTTGAAAATGATATTATATCGATCGTTGTAGTGTAACTTGTTATACAACGCTAAAGCCCCCCACCCTCCCCTTCCCCCCTTACTAACCCTTCCCAAAGGCGTTTAATGGGTCATGAACTGATTATAGACTCGAAATTGTTCCACTTTCCACAAAATATTCGTAATTGTCAGCATTATTCCGAGCGGCTTTTGGATCTTTTATAGCGAGCTGTTTACAATTATATTGGCCGTATACTATATCGTCCCTACGAGCCACTGCATGGCTTAACTCATGAATTATGATTCCCAATTTTGTGTCATACCCAATCAGTGGGTCGGCGATGCTGTACAAGTTGCAAAGGAACATTCGTCGTGCTCCAAATGTTGTATAAGCGTAGGTATCTTCATCGCACTCTCTTCCGCCAATAATGTAAGCAAATCTATCCTTTGATAATACTCGTTCCATTTTATCAAAAACCCACTTGGGTTTGTTAGTGGGAGAAGATCCAAACCAAGTTTTAGTTCTTGGGGGATTATTCTCAAGGTCTTGACTGGCTGACTGAACGTAATTGTACACAGCTACAATAGCAAGTTCTGTTTCCCTTTTCACGTCAGGGGACCCTCCCTTTATTTTATATTTAAGAGATGCCTTCAGGTCCTGACCTCTTTTGACGTAAAAAATATGGTCTTCCAAAGCATCCTTGGTCACGCTTTCTTCAGTGCGCGCCCTTTGACCCTAGGTTCCCTTGATAAAATTCATTTTATCTATTTCATAACTTACTACAGGGGACGATAAATGTTCTATCTTAGTCCAGCTCACTGGCTTTTTAGTTACACTACCCTTTACATATTCTAAGTAAGTGTCGACTGCTATGGAGTATAATCCAGTCTTGGTCATGTCGTACGCATCAGAAACATCGAAAGTGGATGACACTGTTTGTCCCGCCTTGACGAGCAAGTATTGATTAGGGCCTGGAGCGGAGCGCTTCAGGTAAATACCATCGTATTGTAGCTTCTTGCCATTGGAAGTGACTGTCAAGCAATTCGATCTCAGTCCATCCAACGGTGTACGCCATTTCAGCACTGAATAGTCTTGTTGGCCGTTGTTTCTCAAATGAAACTTACATTCAATCTTGTCGGACGTTGCAAAGTTAGGTGTGCAGTCGATGTAGGAGGAGAATGCCCTGTGTAGAACAAAATTCTTTTTCGTTATAACCTGTCGAGTTTATTGTACAGCATACTCATCGTTTTAGCTGACTGATCTACTTACATAACTACTAAGGGTGTAGTGTAATGGCTCCCATAACATTATTGTCTGAACAGTCCAAACTCTGCTTGTATTTAATTATCAAGATTCTAAATCTGTTAACGTCCAACGTTGCTGTTTTATAATGGAAAGCTCTGCCTTTCAAATTTATTATTATTGCAACCTTGCATGGGTCTTGCATCAGGCTGATTCAAACGATCACGATTCACAATATCTATTTGTAGAAAAAAAAGCTCACCACTTACGTGGTATCGGAAGTATCAAATTCCACCATTTGTCCTCCATCCACCATCTTTAGTATGATAAACAACCACAGAAGTTTCATCATTGGCTCTGAAAATAAAACAGATCTTTCTAAGCTTTTGTAAGAGCGTTTTTAACAACACTCAAGCCAACTTGCCAAATTTCTTTCTTGTATCGTTATTGAATGGAGAGGGAGCGTTTTGAAATGCTCTCTACTCTTAGTTGAAGGGGAGAAGCTTTGCGAGCTGACATACTTAAAATCACCCTCTCTAATAAAAGCTTCTTTCAGGGACTTGCGTGGACTTTTATACCGTGATAGATTGGAAGCAGCAGAATGATCCTCGAGTACAACAATTGGATTCTTTACTTTTCTTCGTTGAGGTTTAGTTGTTCAATACGATTTTCTTTCTAAACGTTCAGAGTATTTATAGTAAACGTCTATTTTCAATAGTTTCTCTGATCTCTTTTTAAGAGAAACCGCATAGTTTTGTGAAGGCTGATCATGCTCGTATTTTATTGCCCTTTGTTAACGTCACACCGATATACGCCGCTGCAGTTAATCAAAAGTTTTGGTTCGACCTCAGAGTATTCCGAACCTTTACTTGTTTTTCAGAGTATCCAGTTACCAGTTATATTTCGCAAACGGCCGTTCATTCTAACCACAGATCTTAGTCAGTTCTTAAGATAACTCTATCAAGCCAGGCTAGAACTGTTTACCAACTCGTTGCCGTCTATATGGCTCATGATCCATCATCCCTAGAAGTAACTGTGGGAAAGATGACCTCACCTGTTTATCTCCGTTAGACGTGTAATGCTCAATGATACCTCTTGCAAATGTGTACTATACACTTGTGAGACGATGAAAAAGGAGTAAAACAGTACGTTTTACAAACATTCTTTATTTCGCGTGACAACCATATGGTATCTATTAGAATATCTGATTTTAATAACATTTTTCAGATGTCCCCTGGCTGGTTATTCATCTTTCCGGGCCGATTGTTCACAGTGCCCGAAAAGCCAATTAGATCGGCTTTTTTTTTAATTATTATTTCCAGGTTATGAAATTTTTCACTACTCTCTCCAACAACAAAGATGCTCCGTTAACTCGGAATTTTTGATTTCTCACTTGGCGACTTCTAGAAAGAAATTGTTGTTAACATAAACTTTACATGAAAATTTGTACTAAATTGGCCTTAATGAAACGCTATTTATCAAAGTCGTGTTTTAGTCATTTGTTTTGTTAAGTAATTACTGGGAAAAGAGCTTACCATGAATTCACTGATAGTTCCTTCAAAAAGTAAAAATACAATTCTAACTTAGTTCATGGATTGCCAAACAGCTTGAGAAATATTGTTGGAAGATTCCGTTAAATAAAGATCTTCATTCTAGAAGAATGATGTCTAGTTAGGTCCAAATGAAAGAAAATTTCTAAAAACATTGTTTAAATTGCAACGTTCGAGAACAACGGGAAGTTTGCAAAAGCAAAAATGCCGCCCTAATGACATGTCAAAGCCAGGGTAAATATCTCCTTTGGAAGCAATAACCTTTAATAAGCATACCTACTGGACTTCAAATTATCTCTATGCGGAGAAGAATTCGTTTGTGTCTTAGAAATAGATGAATAACCATTATTTTAATGGGAGCGGTGATTCAAAGCTGACTCTTAGCTTCGACGGTTGAACAATCATTCAGCTACAACTGGAGTTCTTTTAAAGCGAAGGAAAAAAAAGAGAAGGTAAGTTAATAATAATAAAGGTGCTCGATGCATAAATTCATGATCCAAAATTAAATTGTATGGTAAATTGCAGTCATTTGCAATAGAAAGGATAGCTTTGGAACACAAGTATCTTGGTCAAAACTTCTGTTACCTACTTAAAAGTTTCGAGCCAAAAAACTTCATTTGTGCGTTTCATTGTTATCTTTTAACCTCATAGAGATCAATGAAAAGGAAAGCGAAGATCGTTTCTTTGATAGAAAATTGTATCCTCCATCAGCACCCAACTAGAATCTAAAAGGTTGGGTTCGAATCCCTTCGCAACCTGAAGTTTTACTGGCTTCTTTCCGTGTGTTACAGTATGTTTGCAAATAATTTCAGAAGATTTCTAGTCTCCCTTTTCTCACACTTGAAGATAACAAACCAGAAGCGCGGTAACTTAGAGGAAGAATATATTTTGATATTTGGTTACCTGGCTTAGACATCTGCCTATGAAACGGATGGAAAAACTGAAACGTTATCGTTTTAACGCAAACATCTTTTATTCGCTTTCCTACAGGAAAAGCCTTTACATCTTTGTAAACACTGATTCAAATTGAAGCCAGTACTTACCCTTTTCGTTACCTAACTCAATTTTTAAATCCCCGGCTGAAATTTAATTCTTGACCATTATTGTACCTCTTTTGAACAATATTCGAACCTTGTCAAGTGATCAGAAAAGAATGCATTACTTGGTTAAACTTTCCACAAAATGCGCATGATTAGCACCATTTAAGGCAGCGCGTTCAGGAATCCGTTTACCGGGATTTTTTATCCTCCTACGGCCGTAGTAATAGTCAGCGGTATGAATGATGGTGTGTGTCAGCTCATAAACTATAGTGCCCACTTCACTGCGATAACCAGTAAACGTTTTGATCTTGCATGCTGTACAGTTTACAGAGGTACAAGGAGCAAGCTCCCAGAAAAGTGTATGCAATGATTTCGTCTGAACATTGATCCCCTTGGTAATCAAATGTTATGTGCCATTTGTCTGGTAATGGTTCAACAGTTTTCTTCAACAGAATTTTTGCATCCTTAGTGGCTCAGTGTTCCAAACCAAATTTTTGACTCATCTCCTAAAAAAATCCTTGTTAAATTATGCTTTTCTAGGCAACGGCGTTTTAATGTCGTTATGTAAAGAAAAGTGCCCTTATTTCAGTGTTCGTAACATTGAAAATCTGCTCATTTAATCTTCATAATATACCTATTGTTTTAGATGAAAATCCTGATGACTGCAAAGTTTTTACTCTGGTCAACTCTTATGGCTGCATCAGCAGCACATTTGAAAGCAGAGGATGCACGGGATGTGCAGTAAGTGAAAATATAGAATAAATATGTAAGTGGTAAATGAAGTTAGGAAAAAAAACAAGTCACCTCTCAGAGAAAATGTAAGTGCTAAGAGCCGTATCATCAAAATTTTATTAGCTTAGACATCAAGAAGCATTTTGATCTTTCGAAATCGGTAATGTGTTTGTCATGAAAGATTCTATTCCTATAGGGCTGTAATGTGCGTCAGCTCCAATGCCTCACATTTCTGCTTAAACAATTGGTATTTTCCCTCACGCAACACACATTAAATTAAATCATTAGCTATCTTCTTAGCACTACCTTGTCCTTTTGAGGTTATTACAAATTAGTGTTCTGTTTAACATTAAAATTGCAACGTTTTACTCTGAGTTAAAAAACCGAGGATGACAATAGAAGTGTTGAAACGTGACTTAAAAATATAACGTGTTGTCTTCTTTCTTAAAAAATGTCTGCAAAATCTACCAATACCAGCTTGTTAAGATTCCCAAGAGGAAACAAACCGTTTGAAAACTGTCTTCCAATATTTTGAAAACTCAATTCATATTAATAATTACTTGTCTTTGTTCAGACTATTTTCTGCTTCCATCGACTGTCTTTCCTCTTACAAAACTACAGACGAAATTATGTGCAACTTCAGCCTAACAAACAACGGTGAAAGCGCATATTCGGTGCTAAAATGGAATACACCGCTGAACGACTTAGCCCTGGACGGTCTAACTGTCAGCCGAGACGGGGAAGAGCTGAGTCCACAAGGTATCAGAATGAAGCGTGAAGATCCAGCTGCGAGCGATTTCTTGACCATTGCTCCTGGAGAAACCGTTTCATCAAAGTTCGATCTTTCTTCTGAATACGACACTACTAAGGCCGCAGAATACACTGTTGCAGTAGACCTGTATTTGGAGTATGTCAAGGGAAGTGTTGGAAGTCCGGAAGAAAGTGAACTATTTTATCTTTCTTCTTCTGATGTTAGTTTCCAAGTAGCATAAAGAAATTTCCGTAAAAGGACATTTGAAAATGACGTGCCATCGTAGACCAAGGGGAGGGAATGATTTTTAACTGAGGATTGATTAAAGGGTTTGTTCAAATCAAATTGCTGATAGATGTTTGCTGTATTATTTTCATGAATTAAAGTAAGTTTCTGACTTTTTCTCCATTTACATGCAAATACATTGCGGGCCCCTGAGATCTGTCAATCAAAGATTAGTGAAGAAAGGGGGTGAAGATTAGTATCCTCGTGTGTTTTTCCCGTTTCGCTTACGAATTTAACAAACTCATGTTTCACGTATAAAAAAGGAAAATTTTCAAATCTCTCCTATTGTGTACAAGGTTTCACGAACTGAAAGAAAAATTCCTGGGTCATGTACATTTTAGGGGCAAATCACACTCACGCAGGTTCATAATTTCGCAAATCACGCTCGCCCTTCTCTAAAGTTCGCGCGTCATATATAAATTTTGTTCTTAATCACGCGTCACCTAAAAACCCATCGCCACCCCTGAACAAAATCAAATCTCATTTCGGAAGCGGATTACTCTCAAGGCTTTTATCACCAAAGACATGGCAGCATCGTGTGTCTTCTTTCTCATATCCTTCTCACAGACGCCATCCTGATCAAGTTCATGCAAAGTCGGAGGAAATAAGTTTTTGTAGAAATCAGAAGATTCAACTAATCGTCTACTGCACAGAGCAAAATTCAGGCAAATCCGATTTGAAATTGCTTACTCAAGCTAATAGCGACTCGTAAACCCAATAGACACTTTCTGATGAAGACCTGCTATTGTCAATCTATTCATAAAAATGTCATTTAGTGTTAACAACTGAGTTGAAAACGTAAATTGGCCACCCTAAAGAGTAAAAAAGCTGACGTTTCGAGCGTTAGCCCTTCGTCAGAGCGACGTCAGCTTTTTTACTCTTTACGGTGGCCAATTTACGTTTTCAACTCAGTTGTTAACACTAAATTACCTGCTATACTCTCCCACCGACGCAGCACCACAATTTCTTTAGAAACTTACCCCCTTTCTTCACAAACATGTTTTCTCTCAGATCGTCTTGAAAGCGTAGTAATCATTACTTAAAAAGCGGCTTTGAGGAGGACTTAACAAACAATGCGCAGAGTATTATCAGCGTAAAGGGAGATGTCATTTCATTCTTATGGAGTCTCACATGGCATTTGTAATATTTCGTTTTGTGTTGTTAAACTTTCTTTAACTAAGCTCTCTGTGGTTTGCTAACTTTTTAATTCGTCATCAGACATTCCTAGTTAACGTTTCATTGTTTGTTTGATTAAGCAGATAATTGCTTTATGATGAAGAACAGCTTGTATAATCTCAACTTTGACAGCCCTTCATGTTATTTTTGTCTTCAACTATTGGCAAGTGCTCTGTATATACTGTCACGATTAGTCCTCCTATTTTCCTCTCCGAGCTTATTTGAAAGAGGCGCATGATAATGTTTCCCAAGCCAAATACAGAATTGCTGGAAATAAAATATTTGCGCCTTATTTCAATATAACCAGATTATTACCCCTCGTAATTATCACTTTGTCAACCGCCATCTTGTATTTTTTCCCCAAAATATTAACGTCTGGCCACCTGGATTAGTCATGACAAGCAGGACGTGCATAAGTAGTGTTTGTTGAGGTTCTAATAACCCAAGCAATTTTTATTCGGTTTTCCCTTTAATAACTTCTTAAATCTGACATTTTCACTTTGATCCTCTAAAATGCTGGTGACAAAGAAAGCTAGTTTACTTTTATCATTTCTTCGCTTTATATAAATCATTAAATACCTCCCATTAAATAAGATATAAAATAAACATGGAACTTCTTCAGTTCAGAGTATCTCATTATAACCCATGACAAAAAGTTCTCCTAACCCCAGTTGTAATGAAGGAAATCTTGGGATATATGATCCCCTACATTATTTCATACCTCGCAAAGATTTGTCAAATGATCATGGATTATTCATCAAATCTTCCACGTGTGTCTTCTCTGTACCAGATCTTAGCCCTTTGGGGATCATTCTCGATCGCTGCCACTCCTATATGCTCTATCAACGGAGCGCGCTCTCTGGCCCATGGTTCCCTTATAAGACCTCCTTCAACTATTTCGTAACCCAACATTATTGGTTGATCCAACATCAAATTCTCCAAACTAACATCATAAGAATTTTATGGCAGACAGTAAGGAAAATTACCAACGAGATCTTGGGAGTTCAGGGGTTAAGGCACTAGTCATTATTTATCACCATTATTAGAAAAAATAAAGAAAATAGACTTTTTTTTTTTTTTTTTTTTTTGTAAACAAGGCTTAGCTTTCCTTGTTCTTAAAACCTCTAGTCATCACAAGTATAACACGAGAAGTGTTTTCTTTAAAGCTCCAACAAGTTTTATTCGCTATTCTCTTAATTAACATTCTTAACCGTCTTTAACACCGATTTAAAATTCCTCTCCATACTTAGGTTATTGAATATGGAACCTTTTGCAGCCGAAATATTCCCATATAACCCATTAGAGAGCTAGACAACAGGAACCTCTAGCATGTGTGATACCACGGCTTTCCACAAAATATCCACAGTTATCAGCATTCTGGACTGCAAGTTGAGGATTTTCTTTGAGGATTTTTTTTGTATATCGCCTGTGCCAGCCAATGCGTGTTTTCCAGCCGGTGTAATCTTCATATACGTGAAAAACCTTCATGATCCGTTAAAGGCGTGTATATCGCCTTGCAGAATGCCCCGCCAAAGCCAAAAACTTTCGCGTATTAGCAAACATTTTGTCTTAAAAACGTCTTACTAAAAGCCGGTTCCAAGTAAATTTTTAGCTTTCAGTTTTTTGATACCCAAAGGCAAATATTGTTGATGGCACATAAAAGTCGTTTTATTTAACAGTATTGCAAAACCATCAATCGCCACTACGTATGATCCGTTAATTTGTTTTTCTTAAATACCCGTCCCCGTCGCACGCGCCCTTGTCAAACTAACCTATTTTCTTTCAAGAATTTTTGCCCCGCTTCAAAATGTTGAAAACAAAATACTTTCTATCTTAGTCTGGGTATAGACAAGTACAGGCCATACTCTAAATTAGTGTCCACCGCTATAGAGTACAGGCCAGCCTTGGTCGTGTCGTACGCATCTGAAACTTCAAAGATAGATGACACTGTTTGCCCGGGTTTGACGTGCAAGTATCGATCAGGGCCTGGAGCGGAGCGCTTCAGGTAAATACTATCGTATTGTAGCTTCTCGTTGATCGTTGTTTTTCAAATGGAATTTGCATTCAATCTTGTTTCCTGTTTCATAGTTTGACGCACAGTCGAGATGAGAGGAGAAAACTCTGTGGAAAAGATGATTTTGTTATTTTAAGCTCAAACTGTAATCTTTTCTATGCATTATTATTTCATTACATAGAAACAAAACAAAGGACAAAATTTTAGCTGACACCCCTTACTTGGTGTAATACTTCGTTAACCATGGTGTCTGATGTCTTAGCCAGTGAAAACTCTCGAATTAAATTACATAGTGACGCAGTTTCGTCGTGATCAAGTAATAGCTTAAGTGATACTATTTGATTTAAAGTTTAAATAATTCTAACCGTTTTTATCTCTGTACTGGAATTCACAATATTTGTCATTGAAAAAGATCATTCAGTACTCACTTGGTATCGGAAATGTCAAATGGGGCGCTTCGTCCACTTTCCATCGACCCCAAAATCAACAGTATACACAAGAACTTCATCGTAAACTGTGAAGCAAGATAAATTTTTCAGAGATTTTGATCCGTTTTCAACGAGCAATTTACTCATATGAAATGCATGATCAGAGTTCGGAGCTTAAGTGAAAGGTTGAGGCCAAACTAAAAGAAATCTTTTCAGTGGCACTCCCGTTTACAAATCTCTTGGTATTCAAAAATTTCTAAGCGGTTGATTATTTCAGATATCGATCATGGCCGGCTTTCATGATTTATACCTCGAGCAGCAAGTTCCAGTAACTTCTCAGTAAACAATAGTATTGGTCCACAGCATGCAAAAAAGTCAAATCACCAAGTTATGTGCCTCGAACGTGGTCGATGTCTCAGTGATGACTCTAAGAGAGAATGTGTTCCACTTATATTGAGCACGAATGTAAAGCAAAATCTGGAAGCATTCTTTCTTCCCACATCAACCACGTTGCATCTCGGAAATTCACGCGGTTATTTACCTTTTCTAATGGTTGTTTACCTAGTCTCAAAATGCCAAAGATCATTTCTTACCGGCCAGCTTCGATTACTTTTCATCCTAACTTTGACGAATTTAATTGTTTTGCTAGTTTGTTTGAAATCATTTTTGAAATATTGACGGCCGGATAATTTTCATAGTTTCGCCGGTGACCGGTGAATGTTTTGGAGTAGTTGATATTGACAAATGATTAGATATCAAGTGCTTTAAGAAGAATTTTGTTTTCATACTGTGTTTTAGCAAGAGGTTGCGTCACTTCTTTTGTTTTTCATGTTATCAATGATTAAAGAAAACCGCGCCTTAATTCACATACTCTGCTATTGTACTGTCTGGTTTTATACTTCGAATGCAACAGATATACCGCATAACATGTGTTCTCAATAGTGCCTCTCCGTAATATGAATCATGCACTTTACAGAAATTTTACAGGAAAAAAGAAATAAGGCATTCTTTACTTCACATGACAACGGTCACTCTAGCTTTATCTGGCAAAACGTGTTTCCATTATTCATTAATGGATGTTTACAATCTGTGCAAAAACAAACAAATAGCCCTATTTTTCAAATCGAGCAGGTTTCTTGTAAGTTTTTTTCCATTTAAATATAAAGGCTTCAGCATTTGGATCTCTTGTACAAGAAATAGTGACTGAATCTGGTGAAACAATGTGTCTCATCAACTTTGCCTTTAGTGTTAAAAAGATTTAATATTCATTACGACTAGTGAATGTTCCATTCCTGTATTCAAATCTAATACTTCTTATTCCTTCCGGAGAGCCTATTCAAAGAAGGAGCATATCAATTTTTTTTTCAAATACACGCCAGATGTGCAGTTATATTTTTTTAGAGGAAAAAACTGTGAACATCCCAGCCGGAGAACACAGGGGACTCCCTTATTCGCCATCTTAGACTTTTTGCAAAAAAAGCCCGACGTCAGGTAACTTTTACTTACTTTTATCTGAGTAAACATTTAAACCTAAGGCCTAGGCCCTCTCGGATAAACAATTGGAAACTTTTCTCGCACTTATTTCTTTATTTCAACTCGATCATGAGATCCTCCTTGCCTCTTATTTATAATTAAATATATCGTAAGACCCTCAGTCCCCCCATACACATAATTTAAGCCTTAATATAAAAGTTCTGTCGGTCGCGATATCACCGTTTCAACCCATTAAAGTCAGCTCCCTCAGCTTAAGGCAGATTATGGATACCTCAAACTAACCAAATTTAAAACATCGCTATATCTCAGCGAGTATCGTTGACTAAATGCACAGACGGTAAAAACATGACTATACATTTGGTGCACTTTCAACATAATATTCGTAATTATCAGCATTTTTGAGAGCCTTTTTCGCTTTTCTTTTAGCAAGTTTTTTACAAGAATCCGTACCGTATGTTACATCGTCTCTGTAGCTTAATGCATGACTCAGCTCATGTATTACTATTCCCGCTTTGGTATCAAACCCAACTAACGTTTCTGCCTCATTGAAAGCTTTGCAGAGAAAGATTTCTTGGGAGCCAAGGTAAGTGTACGCAAACACACTTTTTTTGCAATGCTTTCCATCAAAGATATATATCATTTCTGTCTGCGCCGATTTCATTTTCATATCTAGGAATACCTTTCTTGCTTTCATAAAGGTTTTCCCAAACCAAATTTTTGCTCTTTGGGGATTATTCTTTATATCTTGAATCGCTGACTTTATTTTCGTGTTAGCAGCCAAAATTGCCACTTCTGTTTCGTCTCTCAAGGCTTTAGATCCTCCCTGCATGGAATATTTAATTTCGTTAGATTCTTCTCCTCTCCTACCAAATTCAACGTCCAAACCCTCCCGGGTAAGACTTTCCTCGTGAATTTCGTTTGATCTTTCAAGAGAACGCGCTCTTTGGCCCAGGGTTCGCTTCATGAAACTTCCATCAACTATCTCGTAACTTACAGAAGAAGATTTCAAATGAACTATGTTAGATTGGATAACTGGCTTTTTAATTACACTACCCATAACATATTCTAAATAAGTGTCCACTACCATAGAGTACAGGCCGGCTTTGGTCATGTCGTACGCATCTGAAATGTCAAAGGTGGACGACACTGTTTGTCCGGGTTTGACGAGCAAGTATTGGTCAGGGCCTGGGGCAGAGCGCTTCATGTAGACACCATCGTATCGTAGCTTCTTGCCATTGGTATTTACTGTCAGGCAATCTGATCTCAGTCCATCCAGCGGTGTGCGCCATTTCAGCACTGAATAGTCTTGTTTACCGTTGTTTCTCAAAAGGAACTTACATTCAATCTTGTCAATAGTTTTGAAGCTCGGTGGACAATCAAGGAGACAGGAGAATATTCTGTGTGAACAAATAGCGAGTGAACAAGTATCACTTTTTTTATGGTTTTACTAGTTCCGTCTCAGCTAATACCCAACCGTGGTATAATGGGTCATATATCTTTGCGTTCAAACAAATTAAACTCTTGAATTGATTTATTCATTGACGTGGTCTTTTATAGTATCCAAATGATAACATAGCTTCGCCAAATGAAAAGGCCCATCAATATAAATCCCCCCCTACTGCATCCTTGCAATCGAATTGAGGAAAGGAAGGTGTAGCTTATTACATACTTGTTGTCAGATTCTACGATTCGTTCTCCATCTACCATCGTCAGTAGAAGCAATATCCACAAGAATCTCATAATTGGCTGCAAAGAAACAAAGCCTTTTCAGATTCAACGACATGAACTCAAACTAACCTGCGAGTTATTAGTTCTTTACGAAAAGAGATTTAAAAGTATATTGTAATTTCAAAATCATCTGCACGGTCTTCTGGAGTACGCTCGATATGGGAGGAGTTTATTTTTAATTTTTGAACATGAATAGTTTGACTGAGACAATTGACAATGAAGCCATTTTTGTACATTTGTACAACATCTATTAGTGTTTAGTTGAAGATAATTTAGCTTCGACTTAGAATTATCCTGTAAGTTGTGCTTTTAGCTTAACAGATTTTAAATTGACGGTCGCCTTTTTTTTTTTTTTTTTTTTTGCGGTCGCCTTTTTTTGTGGTCAAGGTTTTCCTCTTTTTAAACGGAGACTTTTTCAAGAATTTACTTTTTTCATATCGATAACGTTCCCAAAATTACTCCCCTGAATGCCTTGCGCATTCGACAGAAACTTTGCTTCCCGATATAATCGTCGTCAACAGAACTATCCAATGCAAAACTACTTTGGCAAGGCGGAAAGCCGGATATAAAAAAATTTTAACGTAACTTACCAGTCTATGTGCAGCGCGCTCGTTGTCTAATGTAATGGTAACTCTAAATAATGTTTATTAAGTCATTTGGGGAAACTGAACAAAGGCAGTGACAAGAGCATTCTTCATTCCGCATAACAACGGTCTCTCCGCAACTCACAATACTTATGTTAGTCAATATCCGATTATGGATGTGTACGAAGTTTCTGAAGCTAAACATTAACAATACAATTTTGCCGACTTTTGGTTCGGTTTGGTTTTCAAATGGTTTATTTGCAACTGTTTCTCATAATTTTAAAGCTAGTTACTCCCATTAGTAGTAAAAGAAATTGAAACACAAAACTCTGTAATTCCTCGCCCGAGTCACATTTTTTCAAGCAAATCAAGTAAGCGCCAATTTTATATTATTACCTCAAACTTATCGCATCAGGTTAAGCGATAATTTTTTTTTATTACAAGCATTATCAAGGTGCTTACTGCCGATAAGTACTAATTTACAGGCTCTGTATATTATACAAAGACATTCAAGTGCGTTAGCAAACATTTTCCGAGCAACAGTGCTTCTGAATTGTGTCTATTATCAAGGTGCTTACTACCGATAAGTATTAATTTACAGGTACCGCATATTATACAAAGACATCCAAGTGCGTTAGTAAACATTTTCCGAGCAACAGTGCTTCTGAATTGTTTCCATGTGAAGAAAAATGTTTTTTTTGTCTGCCAGGACTACATGAATAAATATTTTTATAGTGAGGTGGCATTTTGGCTCGAATTATTAACATTAGCGTTTGAACAATCATTGTGCCAGAACTGTTCAATTCTTCCTACGAACGAAATGGTAAGTTGAAAATAGCTGCCTGTTTGATACTTGTGAAAATAATGTAGCTATTTATTACTACAGCTTACAGATGAGAGGTATTTCTTCTATAAAGAGCTCGATCTGCATAGATAAACTTTCCAGGAAAGAAATTGTTCATCTTTTTTCCAACAAGCCTAAATGGAACTGTTCATTCCACAATCAAAAGGTTAATCTGTATTCTCATTCATCAAAATAAGTAACAAGAAAAAAAAGACGAGATTGAAGCCATACGGAGAACGCCTCTGGCATTCGGGTGTCTATCACTTGTCGTGAATAAGGATCATCGAGAATAGGAAAAGCTGAGAAGAACGAAGAAAATGGCCGTTCTCATGATGCTACGTATTCAGTGCAACGTGTCTTCAGAGCGACTGGAAATGAATTTGGTTCCACTTTATATCTATTGATTTAACATACATGAAAAGAAAGAGAGATGACTGAAAAATTAACAAATACGAACAAACTTGAATCATTTAAGAGCCTTTTACTAATCTGTTCCTTAATCATCTTTAATTTATAGATCTATTTATTGAGTTATTTTAATTCTACATGCTTACGGTCTTGTGTATTTTTTCTTAAGATGAAAGTCTTGATCCTACCAAAGATATTACTCTGCAGCTGGTCAGCTACTTTGATTGTATTAACAACACATGTGTGGGCAGAGGATCCACGAGAAGCTGAGTGAGTGTGATACAAAGAAATAAAATTAGCGGCAAAAAGAGAATAAAACGGTAATTTTCGGTTCAGTTAATTGTCATGCACGATGATCAGACTAAGCAGGCTTTGGTTTAGCCAGATTTTATATATTATTGTTTGAACAATTTTCATTATCTTAAAAAAATTTGTTTGTCCATTATATGATTAAAAAAAGATAATAACAAGGCACAGGTTTAGAAGTTTACTTCTATTCTTGCCATCCAGTAATCATTAATAATGTTAACGCATTTTTTCGGGCAGATTTAGTTTTTTTCCTTTTCAAGCCCTTAATGTGTATACTAACACCACAGAAAAAGTGTTTTGATCCGTATAGAATTGAGGATAAGGTTAAACCCAGAAGTTTACAGAATATCATTTATTTCTCTACCAGGCTTTTTTCTGCCTCAGTCGAGTGTGCAACTTCTTATCAAACAACAGCCACAGTTGTATGCGACTTCAGCCTGACAAACAACGGTGACTGCACATATTCGGTTCTAAAATGGAACACACCGCTGAACGACCTAGCCGTGAACGGTCTGACTGTCAGCCAAGACGGAAAGGAGCTGAGTCCAGAAGGTATAATGATGAAGAGAGAAGATCCCGGTGCAGGCGCTTTCTTGACCATTGCCGCTGGAGAAACCGTCTCGTCAAAGTTCGATCTTTCTTCTGAATACGACACTACTAAAGCTGGAACATACACTGTGGCAATAGACCTGTACCTGGAATATGTCGAGGGAAGTGCTGGAAGTCTGCAAGAAACTAAGCTATTTTATCTTTCTTCTCCAGCTGTTAGTTTCCAAGTAATTTGAAGCAATGTAAGAGAAAATGAGTATATTATGCGCCTTCTTAGGTCAAAAGCAGCAAACAGTATATAATTTACATGAAAATGGTATGTGTTAATCAAGGGACAAATAAATGTGTCTGTTCATTTTCTGCTTTGACAGTAAATTGCTGACCTTTTTCACTTTACCACAATCCCAAAATCACTTTCTCAATGACAGTATGGGATTATGGAGGCCTGGCGAGCTAGATTTTGGCAATGAAAAGCTACCCTGAACACCACACGCCATCAGATAACCGCTCGCCTTCTTAGAGGTAATTGTCGCCCCAGAAAACATCGAAACTTACACTTTTCCTTGAGTTTTTTTTTTGTTGTTGTTTGGTTGTTTTTTTTTGCCCCTTCGCTAGTAACCAACAAACCTATCGACCAGGAGCCACGACAGATGGGTCAGTATTGCCACGAATTGCCTTTCAGTTTTTGAGAGTTGAAGAGGGTCTGGGTTTATAGTGAGAAAAACTGAGGCAGTGAGCCGGAAAATTAGTTAGGGGTACAGAAATTTAGTTCACTTGAAACTAAAATTTATGGTCATTTTCTGATACAAGACAAAACCATGTTAAGAGGATCCTGTTCACCCGCTAGAGATTGACTTGACGTAAGCGAGGGGACTAACGAAACACAATTCAAGAGATTTAGTTATGGGTATTTGTACAAGGACCTCTAGTTTTTTCCTCTAGCTATCCTCGTGGGAAGCATTGGTTTAAATGAAAGTGGTAACCATGATACACTGAAGCAATGAAGAAGGTGGAAAGTGTTATTATGTGAGTGACGAAGTTGTACTCAAAGAAAAAGAAATTAGAGTGCCCCCAATAGGTGTCAAACCAACGATTAGTACTTCGGAAACTCTACCACTGAACTAGAGGATTCTCGTGCCAGGCTACACCGTTTAACTAGGTCTATGATGACAAACTTCGTGTATACAACTAGGATTAGAATGCATTGTTTTCAGTCTCCATGCTGGCAACTTTGACACAACTTTGTGTTAAAATAAAACGTAGTTTCTCCAAGTTTACAGACCAGCATTATTTATCACGAGGGAGGAGGGGTTCGGCGGATTTTGTAATGTTCTAATGTTCTGACGACTGATTCCCCACCCTCCATACCCCCTAAAAGCCATTCTATTTCCCTATCCAATCATCCACCTATTAATAATAGTGATAATAATGACGAATACCTTAACCCTTAAACTCTCAAGATCTCGTTAGTAATTCTCCTTACTGTCAAACATAAAGTTCTTGTGATGCTAGTTTGGAGAATTTGGTATTGGATCAACTAATAATCACCTATTTAATATTTATTTAATTCTCATCACGTGTCTGCATGATATTGTATTGGTATTATAAGGAGAAATTCTGTCTCGATCACTTATGGGAGTGAAATGGGATCATATCATGGTTTTCAGGGGGGCACAGGGGATCAGTCGTGGCCAACAGAGTATAAAGGAAGGGAATATATAGTTGACCGCCAATTTACTGTCAATGTGTAGGGGATCATAAGAATGTTACATATTATGGAGGGATTGGAAAATTTGAACGCGACACAACCAAAATCCTCCAATCCGATCCGACAAAAGAAAACCTGTTTAATTTCCATTTTGGCATGTCTTTGTCTTCCAGTGTCATGAAATATTACATTTTCCTTATTTTTCCTTTCCATGAGCTTATTCAAGGAGGGCGGAGGTGCAAAAAATAGAAAAGTTTCTTATTCTTGGCCAGATAAGTTTATTTTAATTTTTGGTAAAATATTACACTAACTGAATTATTTGCCTCTTGGATGTAGCCAATCACTAAGAAAATAGCCTTTTTGTGCAGACAAGGCTTAGCTTTCGCCGTTCTTGAAATCTCTGGTCATTAAAAGTATAACACGAGAAGCGTTTTCTTTAAAGCCCTAGCAAGTTTTATCCGCTATTTTCTTGAGTAACCTTAAACTTCTTTAACACTGATTTAAAACTCCTCTGCATACATACAATTTAAGTTATTGAATACGGAACCTCTTGCAGCCGAAATATCCCTGTATAACCCATTAAAAAGTGGTTCCCACGCCCCTGAGAGCTAGACAACGGGAACCTCAAGACAGTGTAATACCACAGCTTTCCACAAAATATTCAGGTTTATCAGCGTTCTGGACTGCAAGTTGAGGATTTTCTTTGGCGAGCTTTTTACAGTTTTCCACTCCATATGCTGAGACACCTTCACCAAGCTGTATATCAACTGTGCCAGCCAATGCGTGACTTAGCTCATGAACTATCACCCCCACTTTGCTATATAAACTGTTGTACATGTCGTACAAAAATACTACGCATGATCCGTGAAAGGCGTGCGCAGACATGCCGCTTTTGCAGAATGCCCCGCCAAAGCTTAAACAAAAAATTTCCCTTGCATATTAGCAAGCATTTTGTCTAAAAAACCTCTCTGAGTTTACTAATAGGAGCAGTTCCAAGCCAAATTTTAGCACTTTCGTAACCAGTTTTTTTGAGACCTCAAAGGCAAATATCGTGTTGAAGATGGCAGCATAAAAGATTATTGTTGTTTTATTTACCAGTATTGCATCCCTTCGATCACCATCAATCGCCAGTGCAGGCGGATTTTTATATATTTCCGCGGTATAATTTGCTTTTCTTAAATACTCATCTCCCGAGGCCGCGCGCGCCCTTGTCAAACTTTCCTTTGAATCCCGGTATTTTCTTTCAAGAAAGCGCGCTTTTTGGTCCGAGGCTTCCTTAATGAAACTTTCTTTTACAACTTCGAAACTTACGGCAGGGGAAGATACATGTTCTAGCTTCCTGCTACATACTCTAAATTAGTGTCCACCGCTATAGAGTACAGGCCAGCTTTGGTCATGTCATACGCATCTGAAACGTCAAAGATGGATGACACTGTTTGTCCGGGTTTGACGTGCAAGTATTGATCAGGGCCTGGAGCGGAGCGCTTCAGGTAAATACTATCGTATTTTAGCTTCTCCCCATTGGTAATGACTGTCAGGCAATTTGATCTCAGTCCATCCAGCAGTGTACGCCATTTTAGCACTGAATAGTCTCCTTGATCGTTGTTTTTCAAATGGAATTTGCATTCAATCTTGTTTCCTGCTTCATAGTTTGACGCACAGTCGAGATGAGAGGAGAAAACTCTGTGGAAAAGATGATTTTGTTATTTTAAGCTCAAACTGTAATCTTTTCAATGCATTATTATTTCATTACATAGAAACAAAACAAAAGACAGAGTTTTAGCTGACACCCCTTACTTGGTGTAATGCTTCGTAAACCATGGTGTCTGATGTCTGAGCCAGTGAAAACTTTCGAATTAAATTACATAGTGACGCAGTTTTCGTCGTGATCAAGTAATAGTTTAAGTGATTCTATTTGATTTAAAGCTTAAATAATTCTTACCGTTTTCGTTTCTGTACTGGAATTCATAATATTTGTTACTGAAAAAGATCATTCAGTACTCACTTGGTATCGGAAATGTCAAAAGGGGCGCTTCGTCCACTTTCCATCGACCCCAAAATCAACAGTATACACAAGAACTTCATCGTAAACTGTGAAGCAAGATAAATTTTTCAGAGATTTTGATCCGTTTTCAACGAGCAATTTACTCATATGAAATGCATGACAGTTAGTCGATAGAAAAAACGATCAGAGTTCGGAGCTTAAGTGAAAGGTTGAGGCCAACCTAAAAGAAATCTTTTCAGTGGCACTCCCGTTTATAAATTTCTTGGTATTCAAAAATTTCTAAGTGGTCGATTATTTCAGATATTGATCATGGCCGGCTTTCATGATTACTACCTCGAGCAGCAAGTTCCAGAAACTTCTCAGTAAACAATGGTATTGGTCCACAGCATGCAAAAAGTCAACTTACCAAGTTATGTGCCTCGAACGTGGTCGATGTCTCAGTGATGACTCTGAGAGTGTGTTCCACTTATATTGAGCACGAATGTAAAGTAATATCTGACAGCATTCTTTCTTCCCACAACAACCACGTTGCATCTCGGAAATTGACGTGGTTATTTACCTTTCCTAATGGTTGTTTACCTAGTCTAAAAATGCCGAAGATCATTTTTTACCGGCCAGCTTCGGTTACCAAGAAAACACGAACCCCGATTATTTTCCAGTCGCTCGCAAAGGCACTGAAAGAATTAAACTTACCAGTTTGATTAATCTGTGTTCAGTGGCTTGTTATGACTCTTTGCAATGAGTTTTCTTACTAATGGACACTTATCGATGTCCACAATATTCCTATCTTTCATTACAATCTGGCTGTATCTAAGAATACTTATCTTTCAAATGGCTAATTGAGGGTTTTCTTGATGGTCAATCGATATCCCCTCAGGTTTGTTTCCGAAAAATTAAAAAACAAACATCTTTTCATCCTAACTTTGTCGAATTTAATTATTTTGTTATTTTGTTTGAAATCATTTTCGAAACATTGACGGCCAAATAATTTTCATAGTTTTGCCGGTGACCGGTGAATGTTTTGGAGTAGTTGATATTGACAAATGATTAGATATCAAGTGCTTTAAAAGAGAGAATTTTGTTTTCATACTGTGTTTTAGCAAGAGGTTGCGTAACTTCTTTTAATTTTCATGTTATCAATGATTAAAGAAAACCGCGCCTTAATTCACATACTCTGCTATTGTGCTGTCTGGTTTTATACTTCGAATGCAACAGATACACTCTAGCTTTATCTAGCAAAACTTGTTTTTCATTGTTCATTAATGGATGTTTGCAAAGTGTAAAAACAAACAAATAGCCCTATTTTTCGAATCGAGCAGGTTTCGTGTAAGTTTTTTTCATTTAAATATAGCGGCTAAAGCATTTAGATCTCTTGTACAAGAAGTAGTAACTGAATCTGGTGAAACAATGTGTCTCATCAACTTCGCCTTTAGTTAAAAAGATTTAATATTCATTACTTTTTGTGAATGCTCCATTCCTGTATTCAAATCTTGTATTTCTTATTCCCTCCGGAGAGCCTATTCAAAGAAGGAGCATATCAATTTTGTTTTAAAATACATGCCAGGTGTGCAGTAATATTTTAGAGAAAAAAAACTGTGAACATCCCAGCCGGAGAACACAGGGGACTCCCTTATTCGCCATCTTAGACTTTTTGCAAAAAATGCCTGACGTCAGGTAACTTTTACTTACTTTTATCTGAGTAAACATTTAAACCTAAGGCCTAGGCCCTCTCGGATAAACAATTGGAAACTTTTCTTGCACTTATTCCTTTATTTCCACTCGATCATAAGATCCTCCTTGCCTCTTATTTATAATAAAATATATCGATAGACCCCTGTCCCCCATACACATAATTTAAGCCTTAATATAAAAGTTCTGTCGGTCGCGATATCACCGTTTCAACCCATTAGAGTCAGCTCCCTCAGCTTAGGGCAGAGGGTTAACGGCGCTATATCTCAGTGAGTATCGTTGACTAAATGCACAGACGGTAAAAACAAGTCTATAGATTTGGTGCACTTTCAACATAATATTCGTAATTATCAGCATTTTTGACAGCCTTTTTCGCTTTTTTTTTAGCAAGTTTTTTACAAGAATGCTGACCGTATGTTATGTCGTCTGTGTAAGTTAATGCATGACTCAGCTCATGTATTATTATTCCTGCTTTGGTATCAAACCCAACTAACGTTTCTGCCTTATTGAACGCTTTGCAGAAAAAGATTTTTCGTGAGCCAAGGTAAGTGTACGCAAACATATCTTTTTCGCATTTCTTTCCATTAAAGATATATATCATTTCTTTCCGCCAATTTCCTTTTCATATCTACGAATACGTTTTTTTGCATCAATAGCGGTTTTCCCAAACCAAATTTTAGCTCTTTTGGGATTATTCTCGATATCTTGAATCGCTGACTTTATTTTAGTGTTAGCAGCCAAAATTGCCACTTCTGTTTCGTCTCTCAAGGCTTTAGATCCTCCCTGTATGGAATATTTAATTTCGTTAGATTCTTCTCCTCTCCTATCAAATTCGACGACCAAACCCTCCCGGGTAAGACTTTCCTCGTGAATTTCATTTGATCTTTCAAGAGAACGCGCTCTTTGGCCCAGGGTTCGCTTCATGAAACTTCCATCAACTATCTCGTAACTTACAGAAGAAGATTTCAAATGAACTATGTTAGATTGGATAACTGGCTTTTTAATTACACTACCCATAACATATTCTAAATAAGTGTCCACTGCCATAGAGTACAGGCCGGCTTTGGTCATGTCGTACGCATCTGAAACGTCAAAGGTGGACGACACTGTTTGTCCAGGTTTGACGAGCAAGTATTGGTCAGGGCCTGGAGCGGAGCGCTTCGTGTAAATACCATCGTATCGTAGCTTCTTGCCATTGGTATCGACCGCCAAGCAATTCGATCTCAGTCCATCCAGCGGTGTGCGCCATTTCAGTACTGAATAGTCTTGTTTACCGTTGTTTCTCAAATAGAACTTACATTCATTCTTGTTGATAGTTTTGAAGCTCGGTGGACAATCAAGGAGACAGGAGAATATTCTGTATGAACAAATACCAATTGAAAAAGTATCACTTTTTTATAGTTCTACCTAAACGTGGTATAATGGGTCATATATCCTTGCGTTCAAGCCAATTAAATTCTTGAATTTATTTACTCATTGACGTGGTCTTTTATAGTATCCAAAAGGTAACTTAGCTTCGCCAAATGAAAAGTCCCATCAATATAAATCCCTCCTATGCACCCTTGCAATAGAATTAATCATATTTTTTAAAAAAAAAGGTGTAGCTTATTACATACGTGTTATCAGATTCTACGATTCGTTCTCCATCTGTTATCGTCAGTAGAAGCAATACCCACAAGAATCGCATGATTGGCTGCAAAGAAACAAAGCCTTTTTCAGATTCAACGACATATACTCAAACTAGCCTGCGAGTTATTAGTTCTTTACGAAAAGAGATTTGAAAAGTATATTGTAATTTCAAAATCCCCTGCACGGTCTTAAGGAATACGCTTGATATGGGAGGATTTTTATCTCTCGTTTTTCAACGTGTATTGGTTTTCTTAGAGAAAAACTAACGAATTATTTGACTGAGACAATTGACAATGAAACCACCTATGTACATTTGTACAGCATTTATTTGTGTTTAGTTGAAGATAATTTAGCTTCAATTTAGAATTATCCTGTTAGTTGCGCTATTAGCTGAGCAAATTTCCGTCCACAGTTTTAAAGGAGTTTTTATTGACGACTCAGGTCGCCTTTTTTTTCTTAGGTCAAGGTATTCCTCTTTTTAAACTGAGTCACTAAGACTTCTTCAAGAATTTGCTATTTCTCATATCGATAACATTCCCATAATGACTCTCCTGAACGCCTTGCGTATTCAACCGAAACTTTGCTTCCCGATATAATCGCCGTCAACAGAACTATTCAATCCAAAACTATTTTGGCAAGGCGGAAAGCCAAATAAAAAAATTTTAACGTAACTTACCAGTCTATGTGCCGCGCGCTCGCTGTCTAATGGTAGCTCTAAATAATGTTTATTGATTCGTTTATGGAAACTAAACAGCGGAGAGAGAACAGTGGCAATGGAAAGAGCATTTTTCATTCCGCATAACAACGGTCTCTCCGCAGCTCATAATACTTATGTTATTCAATATCTGATAATGAATGTGTACGAAGTCTCGAAAGCCAAACATTAACAATAAAATTTTGCCGACTTTTGGTTCGGTTTGATTTCCAATTTTTTTACTTGCTACTGCTTCTCGTAATTTTAAAGTTAGTTACTCCTACTAGCAGCAAAAGAAATTAACACAAAAAACTTTGTAATTCCTTGCCCGAGTCACATTTTTTCAAGCAAATCAAGTAAGGGCCAATTTTCCAATTATTACCTAAAACTTATCGCATCAGGCTAAGCGATAATTTTTTTTTAATCACAAGCATTATCAAGGTGCTTACAACCAATATGTTTTGCTGAGAATTCGTGATTAGTTTTGTCTGATGCTGTTAGCATACGAGACGGAACTTTGTAAAGGATGTGTTGTGGAGATTAAAATTATTCCTCACTTGATTAGTTGAAACTACTAGTGAAACTGCAGAGCAACAGGTGGTTTCAAAAACCGCGAAAGCACTTAAAGTATCAATTTACAGGCAAACAAACTCATCTGAACAATTTTACTTATTAAGACACTGCATACTATACAAAGACATCCAAGTGTGTTAGAAAACATTTTCCGAGCAACAGCGCTTCTGAATTGTCTCTATGTGAAGAAAAATGCTTTTTTGTCTGCTAGGACTCGATGAATAAATATTTTTTTTAGTGAGGTGGCGTTTCAGCGCGGATTATTAACATCGGCGTTTGAACAATCATTGTGCCAGAACTGTTCAATTCTTCCAACGAACGAAATAGTAAGTTGAAAACAGCTGCCTGTTTGATACTTGTCAAAAGAATGTAGCTATTTATTACTACAGCTAACAGATGAGGGGTCCTTCTTCTGTAAACAGCTCGGTCTGCGTAGATAAACTTTCCAGAAAAGAAATTGTTCAATTTTTTTCCAACAAGCCCAAATGGAACTGTTCATTCCACAGTGAAAAGGTTAACCTGTATTTTCATGTATCAAAATTAATAACAAGAAAAAAAAATGACGAGATTGAAGCCATACGAAGAACGCTTCCGGCATTTGGCGGGTGTCTATCACTTTTCATGAATAAGGATCATCAAGAATAGTAAAGCTGTGAAGAACGAAGAAAATGGCCTTTCTTATGATGCTTCGTATTCAGTGCAACGTGTCTTCAGAGCGACTGGAAATGAATTTGGCTCCATTTTTCATTTATTGATCAAACATGTGAGAAAAGAAAGAGAGATGACTGAAAAATTAACAAATACGAACAAACTTGAATCATCTAAGAACCTTTTATTAATCTGTTCCTTAATCATCTTTTTTTTACATATCTCCTTATTGAGTTATTTCAATTCTACATGCATACGGTCTTGTGTATTTTTTTAAGATGACAGTCCTGATCCTTCCAAAGATATTACTCTACAGCTGGTCAGCTACTTTGATTGTATTAACAACACACGTGAGGGCAGAGGATCCACGGGAAGCTGAGTGAGTGTGATACAAAGAAATTAAATAAGTTGCAAAAAAAGGGAATAGACCAAAAAATGGAAATGAAATAGTAATTTTCGGTTCAGTTAATTGTCATTCACGATGATTCAGACTTATCTGGCTTTAGGGTAGAAAGACATTATATATCATTGTTTTAACAACTTTTATTATCTTAAAAAAATTTTTCTTTTTATTATTTGATAAGAAAAGATGATCATAGGGCACCAATTTAGAAGTTTACTTCTATTCTTGTCATTCAGTAATCATTAATGTTCAAGCATTTTTTCGGGCAAATTTCATTTTTCCTTTTCTAACCCGGAACCTGCATCCTAACACCCCAGAAAAAACGTTTTTATCTATATAGAAGTTTACAGAATTATCATTTATTTCTCTACCAGGCTTTTTTCTGCCTCAGTCGAGTGTTCGCTAACTTCTTATCAAACAACAGACGAAGTTGGGTGCGACTTCAGCCTAACAAACAACGGTGACCGCGCATATTCCGTGCTAAAATGGAACACACCGCTGAACGACCTAGCCGTGAACGGTCTGACTGTCAGCCAAGACGGAACAGAGCTGAGTCCAGAAGGTATAATGATGAAGAGAGAAGATCCCGGCGCAGGCGCTTTCTTGACCATTGCCGCTGGGGAAACCGTTTCGTCAAAGTTCTATCTTTCTTCTGAATACGACACTACTAAAGCTGGAACATACACTGTAGCAGTAGACTTGTACCTGGAATATGTCGAGGGAAGTGCTGGAAGTCTGCAAGAAACTAAGCTATTTTATCTTTCTTCTCCAGCTGTTAGTTTCCAAGTAGTTTAAAGCAATCAATCTAAGAGAAAATGAGTATATTATGCGCCTTCTTAGGTCAAAAGCAGAAAACAGTATGTAATTTACATGAAAATTAATTAAAGGCTGTGTGTTAATCAACGGACAAATAAATGTGTATGTTCAGTGTATGCTTTAACAGTAAATTGCTGGCCTTTTTCACTTTACCGCAAGCCCAAAATCACTTTCTCAAAGACAGTATGGGATTATGGAGGCCTGGTAAATTAGATTTTGGCAATGAAAAGTTACCCAGGACACCACACGCCATCAGATCATTTAGTTTTTTGTTTGTTTGTTTGTTTGTTTTTTGCCTGTTTGTTGTTGTTTTTTTTGCCCATTCGCTGGTAACCAACAAACCTATCGACCAGGAGCCACGACAGATGAGTCAGTATTGCCACAAATTGCCTTTCAGTTTTTGAGAGCTGAAGAGGGTCTGGGTTTATAGTGAGAAAGACTGAGGCAATGAGCCGGAAAATTAGTTAAGGGTACAGAAATTTAGTTCACTTGAAACTAAAATTTATGGTCGTTTTCTGATGCAAGACAAAACCATGTTAAGAGGGTCCTGTTCACCCGCTAGAGATTGACTTGATGTAAGCGAGGGGACTAACGAAACACCACTCAAGAGATTTAGTTATGGGTATTTGTACAAAGACCTATAGTTTTTTTCTTCTAGTTATCCTTGTGGTTTAAATGAAAGTGGTAACCATAATACACTGAAGCAATGAAGAAGGTAGAAGATGATGTTAATATGTGAGTGACGAAGTTGTACTAGGACAAAAAGAACTCAGAGTGCCCCCAATAGGAGTCGAACCAACGATCTTCCGATTAGTACTTCGGAAGCTTTACCACTGAACTACAGGATTCGCGTGCCAGGCTACGTCGTTTAACTGGGTCTATGATGACAAACTTCGCGCATACTACTAGGATTAGAATGCATTGTTTTCAGTCTCCATGCTGGCAACACTTTTCCCCAGTAGACAGGTAAAATTGACTGTGGAGGTAGTTAAACGCGTTATTTCAACAAGCTCAAGCTTTCTCTTTATTTGCCGGCAGGTGTTAGGACTCGATCACGACAATTAAAAGCTATGGCGTCGCCATTAACTATTGGGTAAACTCCGCAGGGACAACGTCTCGCATTATTAAAAATTGAGTATTGACAGTATCTTAATACTGTTGCACGTTGACCAGATTACGATCGGTGAGCACGTCCTGAAACTCTTTTGAGATTTCGAATTGGTAAATTCGAAAAGGAATATCTGAAGAAAAGATGAAAGATGCCAGCCAAGGATTAAATGAAAAAAAAAATGATTAGGAAGATGAAACTTGAACAAGCAAAAAACCAATCCTCTTTAAAACCCGACTTCGTCTTTTTTATTTGAGTTTCTATCAATTCTTTTCATATAAAGCTTAACTACCACATTTTTAAATAACAAGCCCATATCTTTATTTATAAGGGAGAATATTCAGTAAAGTAAGAAATACTATGTGAAATATGCACAAGAGTCAAAGGCTTAAGAACTGTTGATGGATGCCTTGTGCATCATCAAACCTCCTCAAGGTGCCATTGGACTAAGAGAATTATCTTGTGCCACGAAAACGATCTTAAGTTTCTGCAAGGGAGCAGCACTCACTAGCTAGAAGAACAACGAAACGGTTTGTCGAAACTGAAAACAATTCACTAGAAACTAATTCTCTATTACTATTGCACCAAACTACCTCTAACACAAAAGAACTAAGTACATAAAGAAAGCAAAAAAATATTACTGCAGTAACGCATTTTCTCCGAAAAACTGTTTGCGTTGAGGGGGAAAGGGTGTGTTTAGGGAGCTAATTACCAGACATTATTCCGCAAGTTCTCAATGGGAATAACCAATCAATGGGGCAAAAAGGACGCATATGGTGGAAAACATCTTGTAGCTATCACGAAAATATATTTTGTCCATGAAAGGAATTTTTAGGAACTAAAGTTCTATCTTGTCCTTGATTGTTGGCGTGTCTGAAAGATAGGAAGGGTAAGCAATTCTGCAGTCAAAATAAACGCAAAAAGTATAATGATTGTAATAATAATAATAATAATAAAAATAATAACATGAATAATACTTATAACCGCAAAAGTAATTCCACAACAACAGGATGGCCGTATGACAGCGGGCCACTAAGGGAAGATTGTTTTGAAATTCACCAATCACAGCTGTTGCATACCAGCAAATCACAGGTGAACTTTGTGTTCCAATAGAAAAGTCCGCCGAAGAAGATTCGGAGTATGTAGTCGAAACGTCGCAAACCTCATCAGAAATTGTGAGACAAACGATTTTTCTTCACTAAAACTATTATCATGAGGGGTAGTGGGGTAGGAAAAGCTATGGCTACAGCTAACCCGTGAATTTGGAAAACCCCCTTTCCTGAATCTAAGGGTAGCACCTTAGGCAAGAGCTAGCGGCCACACAGCCACAGCACTTGATGCGCCAGTACGTGAAAATGCATTTTCTCTACCTGTTGGTTCAGTTGACTCTTGACTAACTTTTGAAGATGGCTTCTGTGCAGCTACTCTTTCCTGCAGTCTTCTAACTTCATTGTCCAGATCAGGCCACTCCTTGACGATCCTCACAGCGCCTTGCAGCTTAGGTTCTTTTGTCAAGGGATTATTACACTGGTAGAATTTTAAACAAAGCGTAGATGAGTATGCAATATAACGAACTAATAGATAGATCACGATAAGAGTAAATGAATGACTGAGCGAAGAGTGAACGAAGAAATAAATGGACGAATGCAAAATTGGCCCTTTTTTTGACTCGGTTTCCATATTGCTGTTACCAGTTCTGACTCAACTTTATCCGAGCACCAGTTTGAACCATTTTCATCCTTAAAATAGCTTATTGCTTGTTGCTTATTGCATCAATTCAAAAGAAATAGCGTCTCGGTATAGCCCTTTATGTATATCGTTTTCCTTAAAAAAAAAATTTTTAAAAAAAAAGGAACAAACAAACGAACAGATACAAAAAGAACGATGAAAACAAACATGAACTACTCAAATATCCGACCAGTGTGCATGTATAGAAGTAAAAACGACTGCGTTAACAGAAAAAGAGCCCAGTACTAAACTTTAGCTCAATAACAATGAACACATTTCAATTAAGTGTCGTAAACCAAACGGCCAATCAGAACAACGAAAACACACACAAGGTTTCAACAAGAGACCAAAGTCAAAAAATGCAATCGGCCTAAAGCGCGGGAAAACTCGGGTTGATTTTAGTTTCGCATTTGATCAGCTGAGAAAGTGGCGCGAATTTTCTTGACAAATCACATATCGAAGTAAAGAAAAACCAACACTTAATTAAAAATTGTCCGAAACGAAGATACAATACCAAGTCAATCGCCTTAGCCGTGCTCAGTGACTCGTCATCACACCACGTCTCACACCACAGCCACTCCTGAGGGAGGGATCTGATGGGAACTTGATGGATCATGTTATTAGGTAAGTCCTGTAGAGATTAAGAATAAGAAATGCTAGGAGGAAAAGTTTAACTGAAGCAATGTGGAGTCAGTCGCTCCATCCGTAAGAAGGTCTGTTCGTCCGTTCGTATTTTCGTCTGTACGATCGTCAGAGTCTTACTCTGTGACTAAAAAAAATTAGCAAAGCCATCTTTAATTGAAGGTATACTTATACTCTCTATTCCTGGTTCCCAAAATAAATAAAATTACCAATGTTTTTAAAATAAAAATTTTTGCCACTTCGACAATCGCGAAGGAGAATCAACACCGAATCGCAATTTCCTCCGAAATGACGCCCGCGTCCACTGTTCTTTGCACTGTTGGAAAATTATATTCCTGTTCACCACAGTTTTTAGGATGTCTTAATTTTAGAGTCCATCTATAAAATTGTTATGCGTATGCATGACTTAGTCTAGCTCATAGGATGATAACTTCAATTAGATCCTTGTTCTACAAAAATTTAATTCCTGATGGCGTTTGCTCTAAAGGAACAGCATCGAAGTTTAAGTCAAGTCAATTTGTCAAGTCAAATATAACTGGATAATCTATCTCTCACCTGATCGAGGTTGGAAAGACTGTTGGGATCTTGACTCAAGCCCTGATTAACAAATAACAAATAAATTAACTGGATTTCGTCTTCGAACGTCGAATAAAGAAGGAAATAAAAATAAACACAAACTAAGGACAAAGTAAAAAAAACCCAGGCTGATATGAAGCCTCGCCTTCCTTTCGCGGATAAAATTAATGCTTCGCCAACTGAGCTGCCGAGAGGCTCGGAGTTCAAACTACCTCGAAACCTAATTTTTTCATTTTGGTTTTTTTCTGCAGAGACGTTATTTGCATTTAACCTGTTATAATCAATTCTTCACTTGTCATTGGGTACTTTTTTTGTCTAGGGGTAGTATCAACTCACCTGATACTGTCCTCTTAGCCTGTCACCGGCGGCCAGTCGTCTGAATCGATCCAAGTCTACGACGTACAACGCACTGCAATAGACAGAGAATAAAAGTAAAAGGTTGGAATAACATCGGCAATTATAACTCTAACTGAACTGCCGTCAATTATAAGGCTGTTCCTCACCTAATGTGATACGGCTTTCCACCCAAGTGACTTCTCCAGTAACCAACATTCCAAAACCTGCAGAAACACAAATGTATTATGGCATCAGCTGCGATAAATGTAATTCAATAAAAATTTGGAAGTGTTTTTTTTTTTTTTGTCATTGCGGCTTCACCTCTGGTAGGACCTGCGATGGCATCGTAAACAGAGCTGTTCGAAAACAATGTTTAGATCGGGCAATTTTAGAACACCGGGTATGAAGTGTAATGTTGAGTGGTAAGTAATGAAGGGAGAGGCTTTGACCATTTACGCCCTATCATCAGTATGCATATTCTCCATTCTGTTCTCTGTACATTTCCCAAGGAGCTGACAAGGAGAATTTGTTTAACAATCAAGAGCTTCTTCTGTTGGTGATCATTTCCTTTATTCTCATGACCTTAATGTGTGATTCAAGGGTGATATTGTGAGGAGAAATTAGATGTTAGTCAAAGAGGTCAAATGGTTAAGAGAACGCAGGCGTCAAATGATCACAACGTCTCTGTCACAAATCCCTTCCGATCGACGTTAATGCATGTTTTGTCTTTAAAGTAGGGCTGAGGAAAAGTTTCATTTCCAAGCTCGCTCACTTAAGCGTTTGTTTAACAAACGAAAACGTTAGTGGGAGGGGAATCTGGGAAAAAACCGCGAGGGGAATCTGGGAAAAAACCGCGAGGGGAATCTGGGAAAAGACCGCGAAACCACTTTCTTTGTGTTATTGATGACGTTACAGTTATATAAATGAACGCTCGTTTGAGCTCTGTTTTATGCCTAAATACTTTCCGGAAAAATGATTCTAATATCACGAAATTTATTGCAATAGCAATTAATAAGAGCAGAGGCAAACATACGAGAAAACAAGATATAATAAATTGTAATTTACCTAAAACCATCCATCTCTTTGCGGCTGCTACAGAAAGGCGTGTATGCATAGGGTGCTCCGTGTAAGTTCATTTCATTCAGCTCTTTTAAGTCAGCTCTTACTATCTGAAAACGTTAAACAATCACAAATATAGCGAGTAAATCATCACTTATAAATTAACAAATCACTAAGCCTTCATAAAAAGAGGAAATGATGGCACCGCCAATTGAAATAAAAGGAAAAAAAGAAGAGTAAGTGTATACAGCGTCCCCACGAATCAAACAAACCATAACAAAAATGGAACTGTAGAGTGAGGAGTTGTCAGGACTGAACGAGATAACACACCTTATGCACCATTGAAAGGTTGAAAAATACTTACTAAATCTGCATCTACGAAGATAATTTTCTTCACGTGGAGCGGAAATAGTACATCCAGAAATAGGATTTTGTATCTAAAAGTCATGAAATAGGAAATTTAAAAAGTATGATTAATTCGGAAGCGATGAAATGTCCCAAACACTGGAAGATCATGGCAAATGCAAAGGTTCTGAGCTTATCTTAAAAGAATTTTAAAAAGTAATTGAGCCAGCTTGTAACTAAGAAAATGCACAATATGTTTTGATAAGAATAAAAAGGACAAGGAGAGGATTTTTCCAGGATGGGAAAGAGAGTTGTACTCACCCCCAGATGACCCTCTGCTTCTCCGTTTGTGCGTGAAGCCAGTGAGGCCAGTGATATTGAACAAGTTCATACTCAAAGCCATATTCTTCGGCCATGTGAGGTAGAAACGCCTAGAAAGTAAGTACAACAAAGGTGACTGCCAGTTTTAAGGCTAAAGTTTGGACGAAGGCTAAACGCACAAGACAATATACTTTTATCAACGTACATATACAAAACCTAAAGCACCGCTTTAGTGGTACGCTTTCTCTAGTCAAGAAAAACAAATGAACTCCAAAGACATCACTTTTTTAACTCTTCACTAATAATCAAGTTTTAAACTGTTATAGACTATGCTATATTCACTGGATCGGAAGTAAAATCATTAATCATTACCGTCATAGTTGGGGACAGGAAGTTCTTCAAGAACCAAAACTTGACCGGATTTTTGGTATTCTTCATAACAGTCAACATCATGATTCTGTAGGAAAGAAAAACAACAATCATCATGATCACGCTAACGATCGCGCTCACCATCATGATTATACCCGCGCTCGCATTCACGATCACGCTTACGCATACGTCACGACCACGTCCACCTTTACTTGTGAAAAAGAGTTTGGTCATACGATCAAATACTCGGCCGTCCGCCTCTCTCTTTCACATAATTATAACATAATGTATAAAGCAGACACAAGAAAACAAGAAACAATATCAATAGAGCTTCCTTTTGTTTACCTCAGAAAACGTTCGTAGAGATGACCGGACGCCACGGAGAAAACGTTGATGGTTTCATCTTTGGGGACGTCTCCTTTAGTTTCACTGCCAACCATGCTATTTAAAAAGGAAAATACAGCTCTGTTTCTGGTTATTAACATAAATGCCGCTAACGACCAAGGGAAACAAAAATCGACATTTTTTATGGAATCTAGTTATTAAGCCTGAATATCACGACACTTTGTTGAATAAAGAGGGAAGAAAATGTTTTTGCAGGTCATACTTTTACATCGCAAGCAAGCAAGTAAGCATTGCTCCAAGTGTAATGTTAGGATCACGAGGCTTGCATAACTAGCCATAAAGGAGTCGATTTAAGGACGGTTAATGATTCAAACGAATATGACACTCTTATATAGCTGCTCAAGTCGCATTCTTAAACCAGACAACTATCTTTCTATACAATTGGATTAATGCGTTACCTTACTCGCTTTCAAAAATCTCACAAAGGGAACAGGCGATATAAAGAAAAATAGATTACCTTGATAAAGAGTCCCAGATACCACCCGACGACGCGCTGTCAGAATCACTAAGCAGATCTTTCCCTTCCATTCCTGGTTTTCTCTTGACCTGAACATATGATTAACAACGGTCAGTAAACAACCACAGCCAACAACCACAACTAGCGCAGTTTATCCCGGTTTCCAAAGGATAGAGCGACTTAAATTACTCTGACTACTCCTCTTGAGGCGATAATGCTCCAGAACAGCCCCCCCCTCAGCATTTTGTCAACTTTCCCTGACACTTCGCTCATATTCCTTTTTGGTATAAATCTACTGGCGTTCTATATGCTACTCCGGCGCTATCTAATTCGTGAAGACAGTAAGTAAAGTGAAAGGTCTGATAATGTGCACTTGTAAACAGAAGAAAAACAGGAGCTTATCTTGCTTTAAAGCTTTGAATGTCAGGCGGATTTACACCAATTAAAACAATGAGATAATTCTCTCCCGATTCCTAGGGGTCATAGTTGATTCGGACTTCGCCCTCATCATCTACCACGCGACAGAAATCTTAGTGTTACATAGGCCTGGTTGGATAGAGGTAGGATATAAAACTAAACTTGTAATTATACTGAGGGATAAACACGTAGGACATTTAACGAGAGGGAACCCTCCAATAATATTTACGGAATACATTTTTTCAAACGAAACTTTTTCCATGAAGTCAATCTTACCTTTACTTTGAGCAGTTTTCCAATAAAGCTGTCAATGACGACAGTAAAATGGCCGTCGTCTTCCTTTGTGCTTCCAGAAACACTACAAGTATGAAAATTAACAGACGTTTAGCGATTGAACAGAATAGAGATTGAAGGATATTACATTGGGTTTCATTTATTTCCCAGGCTTAAGAAGCTTAAGGGGCCAATCAAAGCATATCTGAATTAAATGTAATTGCTCCGTTGATTGCAGAGATGCGCTTTAATTGATCGAGGATTACGTCATACCTCGCTATAATCACTTCGCGCGAGGTGATTATAGCAGGAGCGCTAAATTTCAAAATGGCTGCCTCGCGTTTTGTCAATTCAATGCATAGAGCACAACAGTGACGTACATGTTTCTTTACAGCCTATTACCTTTCTATCTCGTAAATTTCAGCTGATCTTCCCTCTCGAACCCGTAGAGACCAGGCGCCAGGATAAGCCTTGAGCTGAAAGTATCCCTGTTAAATGCACAAATATATGGTACAACAATAAATTAATTTAGTAAGCTAACGATTCGTTTTCCAGCAAATAAAGGTGAAAAGCCGAGTTTTAGCCAACACAGTTCTGTAGGTCTTACCAAATTTGCCATGACAATCGTGTCAAACATAGCAGGGTCTCTCGGAGTACCAAGGGTAAATTGCAGTCCTCTGGGGGGCTGTCTAGTGTGAAAGTCGGAGCAGTGTCCTATCGATGAAAAAGGAAATATAAACAAAGGAGAAAGCAGAAAAAAAGCCAAGGTTCCCAGGTCTATTTTTGACGGAAATTGCGACTTTGGGTAAAGGAATAAACAGGCTCTAGGAGTGGTATATGAATTGATTCTCGACAAGTAGTGGTAGCCATAAAATTGCCATTGCAATTTGAAGGAAATTTAAACAATCACAAATGGCCTGAATCTTTAATCATCAGTGTCTTTGAAGAGTGCAACTTCATCCTCAAGTCTTCAAGCTTATTCAACTGTTTCTCTAATTCTACTGTACAAGAGCAAGTGATAGGAATGTCACTGACTTCAAACGCGAAGCTTTGCCAGTATTTCATTAACAATTTAACCTTTTTACCTTCAATAAAGATATATTCCAAGTCAAACTTTGCTTGTACTTGGTTCTCTACCTGAATACACAGAAAAAACACATGTGTCAGTTTAAGGATTAGATCAGACAAGACAAGATTAAGTGAAATAGTAAGGTTGATCGGCTAGTTATACGTTCGTAGATTTTAGATGCTAAAAGAAGCGCAGGTCGGATACAAAGATTAACGTGCGGAACTGATATAAGCGTTTTTTTGCTCTTGTAAAATGAATCCTTCCCTTGCCACCTTTCGGCCTTTTGTCAATTCAACAACAGTTGCCGGTACCTAATGATGGTCTTAGTTGGAGAGGTACTTGGGGAACTTAAGCAAACTACGATGGCGGCGGATGGTTACGAAGACGTGGCAAAACCTAAGATCTAATGGGTAGAACAGTAGTTCAGTATACCTGTTTTAAAATTTTGAACATTTCTTAGCCTTCCTCAGCAAAACAACAACGTGAAATTACCAAAACTGGCAAGGTCTGAGAACTGAAACCCCGACGGCAGATTATTTAAATTTCGATTGGAGCTCAATGCTGCTCTCATACGTTATCCCGAAATTGAAGTGTGGCGCCGTAAGAGACGGTAAATACATCCAGCTATTCGCGAAATTCTAACTAAAATCAATTGAAAAATTCACTTGTTAATTGACGTCTTCTTCGGCGTTTCCGTTCCGACTGCTAAAGGTCCCTACAGTGACAGCGAGCTAACCAGTATCTACCAAACAATTCCTACGTAAAAATTTAACTTAATAGGTCAATCGTCACCTCCTGTAATTTTATGTTGTCCAAATCGTAAGGAGAGTACACTGCCTCTACCATCCACCCCAGAGGTGTGTCCATATTCATAGTAAGAAGAACCGACTGTGGCATATCTGAGAACACCGCCGCTGGCCCCTCTGTAATGGTGCCGTCTTCATTAAATGTGACTTCGGGCTCCAAGACATAACGGTAGAAACGATTAAGAGGCAACTCGGAGAGCTTCTCACGAGAGTTCATGGCAAGCTTGATGTTAACGTTTGTAGCATTTTGAAGGACCTGAAGGAAAGAACAACAAGAAAGAAAATTCGCTAACACTGTCCAAGATATTTATTTGCTTACCAAACACTTTCAAAAAAATGTTTCCTCCAAATCCCTCCGAGCGAGGCCTTATCCCGAAAAAATCAAAACCCTGAAGTTGAACGAAAAGTTCTAGGATTTCCGTGACTGTCCCCAAAGGCTGTTTGACAGGATTTTCCCATAATATTAGCGCAATTATAGCGATTGCCATGCCAAGCCAACTAATACAAACTTCAATCCTTCGGTTGCCTCAAGTGTGAGAATCCTTCAAATGCAAAGGCGGTGTGTTGGTTTTTACGCGCTCTGAAGATGGCCGGGCAGAGGGTAAAAAAATTGTTCCAAACCACCTTAAATAACGCAGTTTTAACTACTTATTAAAATATATAATTGGCCTGAATTGGTCGGTTGATTTGTTGATACTCAGCTGTTCGCGCTTTAGTTCCTCAATAATTTCATCCATTATTGAAAGTGAAAGAAAAAAGAAAGCTCAAACTTACCATCAGTATCGGTGCAATTTTCTGAGCAGCTGTTAAGAAGAGAAAAATTGGAAATAAATCAACCGATATCGATGGGAAATACAAGAGGACAAAAATCGATCACCTGAACAATTTTAGCAGCAAATTCCACACAATGATTTTTAATGATAGTTACTTCGTCCACTAAAATAATTTCTACAGCCTTTCTTACTCTGTTTCTGTATCACTTATTTAAGTGTAAATTTTGGAAAAGTATTGTTGCAAGTGGGCTTTGTAACTAAGTGGAGTTGGAACCGTAACGATAATTTTCAAAAACAAAGTAACGAAACCAACAGTACCTTGAGACAGAGGATCCAAAACTACCACCACATCAAAACTGGCTCCGTCTTGCTTTGGCTCGATTTTCATGACACTAAGAAAGGAGACACACTTCACTGTTTGGAAGGTCGTTTGGAGCGGGACTAGTGCATTGAAGCAGCGCACGCAATCACGTTTTGTAAACATTTTCAATTAGATTAAATTTTTTTACTTTAATTTGGTCGTACGCGTTGGATTAAAAAGAAACATGTTGTAATTATTTTGCGTTGAGCAAAGCTTCATTTATTTTTAATGAAACTTGTAAAAAATGACAGTTTAAAGCAGAAAACAGAACTCAAAACAAGCGACAAAGCGCCACAATCGTGCCACAACTTAGCACCAACTTCTTCTTAAGACAAAGCAGAAACGAAGGACTCAGAATTTTTTCTTTATCTCACGCTCGTGACAAGAGCTCTTTACCAAGCTCAAAACCTACCAACTTTTTATTCTATTTACAAAGCAGAAACAATTCTAATAACATTTCCGTTTCAAGGTAACGCCTCTTTTCACTTCCCTACCTGTGTTCACTGGCTTTTATAGTAATTTGCTGACGAGATCTCTTATCTCGGCAGATCAGCGCAGAGGATACCTTCATGATGATGTCACTTCTAAATTCACTGAAAACGAGACAAAAACACATTAAGAACGCTCCTCTGAACTGGATAACTGTCATGCATTGTATAATTCCAGAATTCTAGCTGTGTGCTGCTATAAACTGGGTTATCAAGCCTCATATTGGGAGCGGAGCAAACTCTACAAGGTTCATCGACCCTGTCAACAAAATTAAATACTACGTTTTTGACGTCTAAACCCTAGCTCGCAAACATTTCAGGAAAAAATGCAAATTACCTTGTATCATCATCCGCAGACAAACCATCAAATGTCATTTCATCAATCTGTTGATAAACAGATCCGCAAACTTAAAGTCTGACTCTGCCAAACGGCTACGCAATTATTTTTCAAATGTGGCTTTCGCGTGTAGTTAGTTGGTTTACACATCAAATTATCTTAAAGCGTTTTAAAGGATCGTACCTGGTCTCTAACTTTGCGAGCATACAAGTCCATGTCAAAGTTCTCAAGAAGTTTAAAGTCATCCTCTGTGAACAACGTGTTTCCAGCAAGTGGACCAAGAACCTGTTGAAACAACATTTCAGCTGAAGTGAACTGTGCAGACTAGGGCAAGAACAGGCAAAGAACTACACCGCTTCACACTTACTCTTCCGTTGGTTATAACAGCAGGTTGACCGGGAAGTAGGTTAACAACACCTGTGCAGAAATGCTGGTGTGAGAACAGCTTGCCTTTGAAGGTTTCCCCGTCTGATAACTTTGCTTGTATAGCTTCTAATTTCAAACCCTGATGATAGAGACAAATGTATATAATCAACTAATTTACATCAAAACAACTTCCCTGACAAAAAGGACAAAATGTGTCGCACATCGTAACAAACTGTGTTTTATAGGCTACAGGATATAAAACAATCAGCTCCACACAAAATAATGTATGATACCTCCACTCTTTAACTTCTTCTTCAAAGAAGAGTAATACTTTCCCTCAATTATCACTCCGTCAATGTTAAAAAAACACAAAAGCTCGTCCAACCTCTTCAAACCAATTTAAACAGGATCGATTCCTCTTTCAGGCGTTAGCTGCAAATTTCGTCATGTGATTCAAATCTGGCATCAACCCATTGTTCTTCAAACATATCCTTTTTGGACTGGCTCCTTTACCTTCCTATCCATTTTGTTAAAACTGTGCTACCTCGTGCATCGCAAAAAAAAGATTTGCAAGCCTCGTGAATCCTCTGCCTCGTTCATTCTGGTTTAATATTTTAACCCTTTAAATCCCATGAATGATCGAGACAAAATTTCTCCCTACATCATAAATAAAATATTAAGCAGACAGGTGATGAGAATAACAAAAAATATCAATCAAGGGATTGTTAGCTGATCCAATACCAAATTCTCCAAACTAACAACATGAGAACTGTATTGCAGACAGTAAGGAGAATTGCTAATGAGATCTTGGGAGTAAAAGAGTTAATTTGTCTGCTTTTCTATCTCATTAGTTTAAAATTCTGTGGTTCCTCGTTGATTGAAGGCAATTTAATTTTCCATGTGGCGACTCGAACTACTCAAACAAAATTCATGCTGCCAATCACACATACCGGTGTTTTCGCCAAAAGGTCTGCCATTGCTTTGGCATCTGAAGACAGCTTATCAAAGTCGTTGCTCTCATCCAGCAAATTCTCCATGAATTTTAACATTGCTGGCGTAACGTGACTCTTTGAAGACATTACAGCCTCCACTGTTCTGGCGATCTGAAGTGATTCTGGGCGATCATCCGTATGTTTTATAGCTGGATTGTGAATGAGCCCCACCCTTACACTTGAAGAGGATTTCTGCAAAGGAAACAATTCTTCAGAACTGAAAAAGGCGAGTTTTCCATAAATTTCAAAGTAAATTTTATTTTCCGCGGAGTACAAGTAGTTCTTTGAGAAAATAAAGCAAGTTTTGCTCGAAGCCTCAGGTGTAAAATAATCAATCAATTCAACGTCGTTCTTATTATACAGAAAGCTTGGTAATTTCTAATGACGCAATGGGGTATGTTCTTTGCATAAACCTAAGTTACATTATGTTTTAGCTTGGTTGAGCTCTTCCTGGACAAAGTCACGGTTTAGTTAAGATGATGGTTTAAGATTTTCTTATTTCAAACAAAATCTTCTTTGAAAAGGCCGACTGTGAATTATTATCGCGCAGTCTTCAGAGCTCCATCATATTAACAAGAGTTACATGGCTAAAAACTAAAAAACTCCGATCCTTCTTTGAGAGATTACGGTGGTAACAATCACTGAAGTAGCGACTTACCACTTGTTGGAGGGCTGCTCTGACCAACACTCTTCCTTCTTTGCTGGCCAAGTCAGCAATAACCCAGTTAGTCACAGGTTTTAAACTAAGCTCTTCTATGAAACAAAACAAAACAGCAACCAAACAGTGTCAGCCTAACTACCTGGTAACTTAGGCTTCGTGTCAAAGTGGAGGTCACTACAAAATAAGTACATTTACTTGAACCAATTTAGAATTCATAGTTAGCTAATCTGTTACAATTCACGGCCTTTTCTAATTTCGAGATGCAAACAATCATCAGTGTAAAAAAAAAAAAAACCTTATGTCCCAGAAAAAATAAAAGAACGCTTGAATGTAAAGTAAGGTCTTAATGGTATCAATCTCCACAGCTTTTCCTCTCACCATAGTTAGTTACATTCCTTACAAGAAATGATTATCAATGTCATCATGGCAACTTCAGTCCCACCCTTCTCCCCATGGTTATCTCCATGATCGTCAGCCTATCGTCATTTTATTCTCCGCCCTTAACTTAATCTCCATTTCACCCTCATCCATCCCCATCACGTTCCTTCCTCAGTCCACCTCTTCAACCCTCGTCCGTATCCTTCTTCCATCCATTTCTTCATTGCTATGGCCTCCTATCTTCTTCCGTCTAATAGAATCTCACTTTGATCGTCACCCTCCTTCATTCTCCTCATCTTGCCCGTTTCTGTTCTTACCTTCGTCCTCACCTTCTGTTTTTATCCTAGTCCCGTTCTCCAACCTTAACTTCATCATAATCACTATCACCACTGACTTCCCCTTGTTCCAGATTCTCATTCTCTTAAACATAGATACCATTAAATACAATATTACCTCCTTGTTTGGTGAAGTACTTCAATTCCTTGGCAATAACGGAAGCCATCTGCGAACTATCAAACTTAGCAAACACTTCAGGATTATTAATATCCTCATCTGTAAAACAGAAAATAAGCAGGTCTTATAATAAAATAATTAACATTTACATTTTTACTAATGATTCATAAATTTCTGTTCAGTAAAGAGAACTGCGGAGATGTTAAAAACACATGGGGGGGGGGATTTTTTGCAAACAGGCCTGTTTAACCGCGAGTTTAATTTTAAAGGAGGCTAATGATAAGCCTTCCTTCTCACTTTTCTCTTTTCAGTCTATGAGACTCGGGGTGGATGATATGACTTTTGAGACAGCGCAAGTCAAACAACGACACAGATCATGTTTCTTTTGGGTTTATTTTTTGAGAAGTCTGTATTCACTCCTTTTTCCCGTTTTTTGTTGTTGTGTTATTGTTGTTGCTGTTGTTGTTGTTATTGTTTTTTTTTTTGCTTACCTGTACTTGACTGACCACCAGTCAAGTCAACATAAGGTCTCTCCATAGACTGAACCATGCTATTAACTCGAGATACTACGTTTGGTTGACTCATGACATATTCATACACACTGGAGTAGCGATAAACAGAACCCTACAAAACCAACAAAGAAACAATTGAGTGAGGATCTTTTACTGACTCTTTCGCTGCTACAAACCGTACAAGCTCTAACAGTTAACATCTATTCAAAGAGAACACCAACAAAGTTGAATTAGAATTGAGGATGTGATGTTCGCAGTCTGACCAAGAGCTAACGCTCGACACGTCAGTTCTATAAACTCTTTACGGTGGTCAATGTACATTATCAGTTGATAATACTAAATTATCTTGTACTACCCGCCCCACCCTCCCCCCCTCCCCCCAAGACGCAGCATCGCAGTTTCTTTAGAAACTTACCTCCTTTATTCATATAATCACAGTTACACTTCGGGATGAAGTCGTAAAATGCCAAAAAAAAAAACAAACGCACTCCTTTGTCCTTACCAGTTAGTTCACAGTGTCTTAGATAAATAATCTTGCCTAGCACTTTTTCCAAATTGCTAACAGTAATTTTGTCTTACCGAAAACACTGCATGTTGTATGGGGCCTGTTTGAACCATCACCTCCCGCACAACTGCTTCATCTAGATTTTCAAACTGAAAGAAACGTCTTTTTTAGTACATATTTCGCTGTGAAGCAAGTCTAACGTAAGAAATATACCTATCCATGTCACTAACATTTCCATAAATTTCTAGTAACTTCAGGAGCAAAGATGAATCAAATCACCAAAACAAGGGCTACTCTTTTTATCGTTTTATAGCCGAAAATAAGCAATTAACAAGATTGTACTGAAGGATCACCAACCTCTTCGCTGTCGATGGGCACACCATTAAGGATAACTTGAGGCAACTGATGGAATCCTGTCTTGTCAAAGAAACGTTGAGAGGACTAAAAAGCAACACGACTTTCATTAGAAAAGAAACCCTCATGACCTCCATAACGACAGAGTTCATATCACATACTCTAAAATCGCCAGAAGTTTTACCTTTCGATTTTCGTCGTACTCAGAGCCTTCTCCGAACACTTCTTCAGCATCATCTTTGCCAAATAATGATGTAAATGAAGTTAAAACCTTGTCCGCAGTCGGCACATCGCCTTCCGCCAAATTATCATACAACTAAACACAAAAAACCATGATTTTAAATCTCATGAAAAATATAACAAGCATAAGCTAACCATAAAATACTCAAGATAAACTATCAATCGAAACAAAACAAATCAGTTGAATAATATTGAAAAATTAATGCGACGACAGTCACGCTGCTTTCAGTATTGAGAATAACATGTCTAAAGTCAAACAATTCAAAACCATTTCCACAAAAATCAACAACTGTTCCACTGACCTTAAGAAGCCAATCAAATGCCTCTCGCGAGTCCTTCTCGGATGAGATGAAGCTAAATGCTCTGGCAATTCCTACAGCTGCATTAGTCTTAGCGTCGACTTCGGCATCCAGGGGAACATCGGCAACCAGTGACAAACCAATTCTGAGAATATCATGAATGCAAAACTTCAGTTATTTCTGTTCGGTTTATTTATTGTCATTGCTTTTCTCGTTTGGCTTTACTTCCCTTTCTATCAGTTTTGTTGCCTGGTCGCTTGCCATTTTTTTTTTTTCGCATTGTTGCTTAGTAAACTCGCGTTCGGATCAGTGTTGTAAGAAAACACGTCATGGAAAGTCTCTACGCTATTTCGTTATTCACCCACGAAGTAAACTGAGCTCAACAGAAAGAATGTAGGCAGCGGTGGAAAAAGCTTTTGATAAAAGCAAAAGTCATTAGGTAAAATTCCGAGAGCAAAAATATGACTAAAATTGTTACATTTTGTTCTTATGGGGCTGGTTGAAGACTCGTATTGCAGAAAAAGTGGGTATAACTTGGCGACTGTGTTGTGACTAAACGCAGCTTTCACGCAGATGACAAACCCAACAGACCTTCGAAGACTACAAATGCGGAGCAAAGTATAACAAGATTAGCTGTAAAAAGCACCGTTAATATAACGATATCGTAAGCTGTTTAACTCATAGCACAGTAACCTTATTACGGGTGTATATAAAACTGCGCAGAGTACCTGACTGGAAACGAATTTTGAAGCAATTCATTGACAACCTTGATCAGTTCGATACTCTGGGCATCTAAAGGGTTGACAAACAGAACCTTGAAAGAAAACAAGAAGTCCAAATTACGAAGCGTTTCCACGGAAATGCTTAGTAATTTCAATGAACATACATGTAACATGCTTAAACATCGTGAGTGCCGTCAACATCCATGTAAAATCATCTGACTAAGATTTAAAACTAGTTCTTCAGTCTTTCATGTATGGCGATTGCTCATTTTCCATTTAAGTACTTTGTTGTATATACAGCTACAATCTTGTAAAGTTTCTATTTATATATACCCTGACTTGGTAGTTTAACGTGCTTCACCTGATTTAATCTTACAGGAATTTCTCTCCTTGATTCTTAGCCTACTAAAACACTGGGGATTTACACTCCATTACAGTTTTACAAACTATCAGCTTTCTTATCGAAATATAGCACAGCAGACAACGTTACCAAATTGAATATGTTCTTGGCAATATAGCGCATCATCCCAGGGAAGGTTGGTCGTAGTATCTGTCAACAAAAACAGGTGAAAATAAAACCTAAACAGCAGGTTTTTGAAAGACAAACAGGTTGAAAACAACAACAACAACAACAGGCAAGAGGAACACAGAAGCAGACCTTCAGTACTTACCTCCTGTAGTTCAGAAGGCCAACCCCAATACTGCCGATCTTTTTCAAGGTCGTTTATAAACTAGCGATGATAAAATAAGCAAATACAGTCACCAGACTATTTACAAGGAAGTCAGATTTAAAAATTACACTTTGCGTCGCGACAAAGCAATATCGATAACTCACATAGACTTACCACAATGGAGTCGTGTCTTGCATCCAAAACAAATGATTCATGCTCTGGTTGAGAGGCAAGAGACACGAGTTTACCGAGAGGTTCACCCTAAAGAAAAAACATCGTTACGAAGAAAAGATGTCAATTGTCTTGTCAGGAGAATAGGACAAAGAAAAAACCTGAGACCATCACGAGCAATCGAACTGCAGATCTTCATGTCAAAAGGTTGTGCCGGAGACTCAATTTGGATTACATACTTTTTATATATTGAAAATGTATTCTAGATGACACAGGAGCATGTCAAAAGGTTGTGCCAGAGACTCAGTTTGGATTACATACTTTTTATATCTTGAAAATAAAATGTATTTTAGATGACACAAGAGTGTCTTCATCGACCCTACCTTGATGCCCAGGGAAGAGAGTCTGTCAATCGCTAGTGCTTCACCACGTAACAAATCTAACAAACTACAAGATACAAATCTTGATCAAATTTTATAAATTATACGGACAACAGCTCCAAAAACTGCTCTGCCAGTATTCATACGGCAGCAGGGTTCAAACTTGTGACCGCCTAAAAGGGCGGGTAATACTATCCAACGGAAGAATCACTATCCAGAGGATAAGTGTTAACAAAACGCACTGCGCTATCCACCGAATAGAGATTTAGCCAGCAGATATCGTTATTCACCCTTCGAACAACTGGGGCCTGGACGTCGATGCGAAAGAAATAATTAATTCACTTTCGGCGACCAGCACTTTAATGCTACCAGTTGAAAGTGAAATAATAATCTATGGTTTCCCTGTGACCCATAAATGATCAAATACTCACTGAAAAGGATCAAGATCGTCCACTTGGACCAGAAGGCCATTTATCAACAAAGCACTGTCTCCAGGATCCAGTCCAAATTGTGAAAAATGCTAGAGCAAAATGGAGCAAAAAACATTTAGATGCATAGACACTGGACTGATGGTTAGTGGTCTGAGGGGGTAACTACATGACAACTTTGCAACAAATTTTGCATCCGAATGTTATAGTTCCTAATTATTTTGTATCTGTTTGATCTTCTTCGGCCAGTGCAATAAACTTGAAAACCAGGGACTAATGAGGAAACAGAACATGACTCTAATTCACATATAAGAAAGCAAGAGAATTGTGTTCCACTTTTTGCGTTAAGCAAAATATTACACCTGACCAAGATGTTCGGATTTTTTTTTTTTCAAATCCCCATTACCTAACCAGGGCTACTAAACCTGCAAAAAGTTACAGATTATCTACACATGACGTGAAGAAAGGTTGCAGCATGGGACACCAAAACCAATTTTGGAATATCTCTTTGATTTGAATTTGTGCAGGTCACCATTGAGAGAAAATGAATTGTTTTAAGATTGGAAGCAATACACACGTAGAACACAGTGGCAGATGATTTCTGTAGCGAATTTTTACTTAATTTGGTCGGCCTTACAGAATCGTTCAGGAAAACCTAGGTGTAAACAAGAACACGTAAATATAAAAGTATATTGCCACAAGGACGAAAAGAATTTTTTTAAACTACTAACCTTTTGATTAAGTTTGATATCTTTCCTCATTTCTTCTTTAACCTTTGTCTTCACTAACGATCTACGATTGAAAATAACAAGTAAATAATCAACGAAAAGAAAACGAAAACTGCAGAAATGAAAGATGTCTCCTACAAACCTGGTTTGCATGGGAAGATTTTGACTGATGTCCCTCAGCACTTTCAAAGCTCTTTGTGGTTCAGAGGACATGACCCGTTGTGCTGCCTGGAAACTCAGATCTGATGGTAAAAATAAAAATAAAAAATCTCACCCTACCAGGTTTAAGCAGAATTATTTGTCAAAGTTGAATTGGATTCATGGAAAAGTAAGTGATTTCTGTGGATTCTCCTACCAAATTGTCTTATATTCCTATTAGAAACACAGGGAGCTCCAAGCAACCCTTCATTTGTTGACATGAAGTTATTATGAAGGCAACTACTGGAAATATTTTTTTCATAATTTCACTTTGAGCTATTCAGGGCAGTAGTGTCTAATATTGGACACTAAAGAGTCTAAAGAGTCTAAAATCAGACTGGTGTCTAAAATCTTTAGATCCTGATGTCTAATGTAGGACACCACTGTATAAAATTGGACACTGCTGTCTAAGATCATACACACTAATGTCTACATTTGGATACTTATGTCTAAAATGGGACACTGGTGTCTAAAATTGGACACTAGTGTCTAAAATTGGACTCTGTTGTCTAAAATTGGACTCTGGTGTCTCAAATCAGAAATAAGTATCTAAAATTGAACAGCAGTGTCTAAAATCGGACAGCAGTGTCAACAATTGGACAGCAGTGTCTAAAATCAAACAGCAGTGTCTAAAATCAAACAGCAGTGTCTAAAATCGGAAGGCAATGTCTAAAATCAGGCTGTAGTGTCCTAAATTGAGAACAAGCATCTTCTGTCCTTTTTGCAGATTTCCTGATACTGTGGGAAGGTTATTACTGGTTAATTATTACACCGTGATGTAGTCTTTACTAAGTGACTTTTCAGTCTTTGGTACCAATTACTGTCTAGTGATTACAACATCAGTGACATGATACACTGCCTTTATATTTGGGACCTAATTTTAATAAAACTCTTCATACCTTGCAATTGCCAGACTTTCAAAGGAGCCATCTCATGCGCACTTTCCTTTAAGTGTGCCCTGAACTGTTCAAGATTTTCTTTTAGGTCTGGATAGAGTTTCCTATGAGTAAATATTAGGTTGTGGAGTGTGATAACAAAACTATATTTTATAATTTACTCTATGAATAATCTGATAAAAAAGATTCAGGTCAGAGGTGTGTTAGACCATCAACATAAAGTACATAAAAGCAAACTCTGTTAAAGATATGTGAAGTCTGCACACACTCCAATCATCACCAAAGCCAAAGTTTTTTTTTCCTGTCTCATAGAATGAAGTGGCTAAAGGTACAGTTACTCCCCCTAAATAGGATGCCTGTCATCATTCCCTCAGGTTTCCCTAACAATTTGCTTCTCCGTGTTTGTACCCCATGGACAGAGAGAGTACTTTGTCCAGCCCAAGAACACAACACAATGACCAACCAGGTCTCAAACCCACATTGCAAGGTCCCTGAGTTAGCAGGACACTAACCACTATGCCACAGCATCTCCTCATCACAGACAAACCCTTCGCATTTTGTAAGGTTTCCAGACAGTTCTCAAGCACCAATTTACACTCCTGGATAGAGAGAGGTACAGATAGGACACAGAACACAGAAAGGACACAACAAAGTGTCTCTGACCATTTCTTGATTTATCCATTCAGAGTTCAGTGGTTAGCTATTAGGCAACACCCACTATCAATGGCAAACTTAAGTCATTGCATTTAGTTGCACAAACCTTAACTTTCCAAAGAGGAATCCTTCAACTTCATCTTCATCTTCTTCCTCTTGTTTCTGTACCTCTCCTTCTGCATCATCTTTCACTTTACTGTCATCCATGGCTTTGTACTCTGTTTTCTTGACAGCCAGTTCCACACCATATCCTGATAATCTCATTTTTCTCTCTGATGATGACTAAGTGATATGACCAGTTACAAAATTACATTTAGGGCAATTTCTGACTAAATGTAGATTTGATATTGTGAGGAGAAATTCCTTTTTTGGTCACTTTAGAAAAGGAAAGGGCTAGCACAGAGGTTCCATTACAAGCCTGTGTCTGAGGATGGGCTGACACTGATACCAAATACTAAATACCATCAATACCAACGTCTGATCAGAAAACACCAATACTAGTGTAAAGTATCAATGGTTTTGATCCTGCACATGACCGGCCAGCACAGTCTGGCTCACACCTGCCTCTAACTGCCAATAAAGAGCTGAAAAGACTCTAAGCTCAAGTTTGGGCAATAAGCACTGCAGTGTGCCATTTTAAGTGGCATGTGAGCATTTGCAAGAGTGAACTCATCAACAACTGAGAGTTTCTACTTTAGTACATCCTTAATCTGGTTTTAAATTCTTGACTGTTTTGTTAATGCAATTGTAAAGAAGTGAACACTGTAAACTTAACAGAGCAAGATAACCCTATATTTTGTCAATCAAATCATGTGACTTACCAGTTACCTCAATGACCTTACAGTATCGATACCAATATCAAAGAAAAACCTCAGTATCATATCAATTTGGAAAAATGGTGTATTACTGGTCTACAACTGCTTATAAGACCTCTCACTGCCATTTGTTCAGCCAGCGAGCAGAATCTCATGTTTCAGCCTATGTCTCCATCGCAGTCAATTAATATGTAAAAAGTTATTCAAACCCCTATTACCAAACAAATTGCTCATCATATCACAGACTTTTCCTACCTCAATATAATGTCGAAGTACATAGTGCACCAGACCATTTTCTGCTAAATTTACAAGTTGCTGATGAAATCTCCAAAAGGATCCTGATCCTATCTTTCCATATAATACAACAGCTATGGAGTTGTTTTCAGATTTAGGATAGTGGTGATCAAATTTAAAACTCTGCACCAAGGGTCTATATTCATTAAGAAGAAAAGGCAACAACAAAATGTTTGACTAAAAATATTTAAAAATTACCAATAACAGAATACAATATATGAAATTTAATTAAAAGAGCAATGTTCTTTCACCAGAAAGCCATTTTGTTTTTCTCATGCTTCTGAAACTTGAGCATTAGAGTTAGAAACATACATGTTTTCTGCTTGTTTGATGAGAGAAACAGCTTCTGTAATGTCACATATTGTGCTACTGCCAAGCTGAACAAAAGTCTCACAGTCTGGTGCTAGGAGATCATGGGCAACCTAATGAAAGAATGAAAAATGTACCAAATATAATCACATAACTGTTAGGCTCAAATGCCTGAGTGTAGATATGCACACTGCAGAGTCATAATGACCCATGGTACTAACAGCTTTGCAATTATGAGTTTTTTATTTCAAACTAAGTTTCAAAACACCTAAATACTGAACAGCAAAGATAATAACTAACTATTCAGCAGACCTATTGAAATCTCACCTTATTGAACAGTTCCACCCGGGGAGAATAATACCTCAGTGACAATGAGAATTGCAAGAAATTTAAACCTATCGGAGCTAGCAACTGGCCTGCAGTTTTTAAAACATGTTTATATTCATCTGAAATCAAAATAGGGTAAAACACAACATTAAAAACTTATTCAACACTGTGGATAACAGCTCAAAAACCATCTTTTCACTGTTTACACCCCTTCAGTGACTCACATCTAATTTCTCCTTACAGTATATCATCACTGAATCAAACATTGGGTTGTGAGAATAAAGGAAATGATCCCCAACCTATAAAGTTCTTGATTATTAAAATTCTCCTTGTCAGTACTATAGGAAATGTATAGAGAACAGTATCGAGAAACTGTGTGTTGATGTTACAGCAAAAAGGGTTAAGTAACAACCAGGTGCCAGTTGTTCAAAGGATGGGAAATGCTATCCACTGAACAAATCTCTATCTGGTGGATAGCATATAGTATATTTTGTTAAGCACTTATCCCATGAAGAGCAATTTATCCATTAGATAGAGTTATCCAACCTTTGAAAAACTAGAGCCAGGCCTTTTAAACCTTTAACTCTCAGATCAAATTTATAATTCTCCTTACTGTCAACCATACAATTCTTATAATGTTAGTTCAGATAATTTAGTATTGGATCAACTAATTATCCCCAAATGGTTAATTTTCTTTATTCTCATTACTTCTCTGGTTGATATTGTATTGATATTGTAAGGAGAAATTCTGTCTTGGTCACTCATGAGAGTTAAAAGGTTAATGCATGATTAAGTCAATAAAATAACATCAACTGTTGAACTGAAAATTAGGAATCTTATTCTTTTGTTATCATGACATTGATTGTAGCTCCTTGGTATACTTCACACAATAATTACACCAAAAGAAAATAATCATTCATTACCTAAATCATGACTGAATGATTTATCTTGACATGAATCCACAAACTTCCAAAATTTTTCATTACTCTCTGCTGCTAAATATTCACTGAAATTAAAACAAAAACATCTTATTCCCAGGGTGAGCTGTGTCACAGTACCTATCACTCTTATCCAAAGAGTGAAGGACAATTTTCCAAAATTTCTTGAATATTCAGAAATGTGCAGTTGTCTGCATAGGAGTCTTTTGATCCCCTTGTGCCACCTTCTTTATATCATGGTCTGGTTATTCAAAATTTCTAATCATTATATTCATGTATTATATTCACTCAGCTAAAACACAAACAAAAAGTGAAAACTAACTAAGAAAGTAGCAATACTATTATAAAAGGGTAATTTAATATTATCCACTGAGTTGATAATAAATGTAATTTGGCCACTGTAAAGGGTTTCAAAGCTGACATTTTGAGCATTAGCCCTTGATCAGAGCAAAGCCCTTCCTTCTCACTCTGATGAAGGGTTAATGCTTGAAAGTCAGCTTTGTAACCCTTTATTGTGGCTAATTTACATTATCACCCTAAATTATCCTGTTCTACTCTACCACAGCAACACAGTTTCTTTAGAAACTTACCCCCTAAACACTATTATAAGACTGGGTACATCTGAACCCTTTAAACAACTTTCAAATAAATGTGTGTAACACTACTTTAGATAACAAAATTCAACACCAATACAATTCTAAAATGACATGAAGCGAAAGAATAGTGTAAAGTTCTGAGTAAATAAGCTTCATAGCAGCTAAATGTCTTAGTATAAATTAGCCCAGGCTGGTGATATTTAGCCAGAGCATTCTATGTAGCTGTATAAGAGCTCTCATATCTCCAGTCTTAGGAATATCCTGGGAGTTATGCTGTTTTTTATTTGCTTTTATTCTGATTGATTTTGAAATTAACCCTGTTCTCAACCAACCTTGCTTCAAGCAGAAGAGGCGTCGATCCCCATCTTGCATCTAGAGAGGCTATAATTGATTTAGAGCTACTTGATTTGCAAAAGGATTGGTGGACTAACGAAAGAAGGGTAAACAAAGTGGCCACCGTAGTACACATTACCTGCAGAAAGAGTGAAGGAGTTTTAAATCATCTGACGTAGAAAGAGCATGCAGTCGGAAACTTCCGCTAATTTGTTGAACAATTTCGTTGGCGATTATAAATTCTCCTCACCGCAGTACGTACGTTGATTATGTCCGAAAAGTTCCCATAAAAAAATTAAATTTGGGCGGAATGTGCTACATAATATGAAAAAAAAAATCAAAGGTTACATCAATGTACATGTACGCTAGTACGTATTACGTGAATCTTAATTTAAAGCAGCACATTTTTCAATCAATTTCAAACAAATAAAATACCACTTAAAGAAACACAGCTTCATTTAAGATGAGTGTTGGAAAACTTAGGCTGCAAGGTTCAGGTTGAAAAAAATGAGCACAAATCACCGAAAATCTGACTGGCAATAAAGCTTACGCTAGCCGCTCTTCTTTCATTACGAACTGATCATGAATAACTGACATTTGTTGAAGAGTTTTAAAAAACAGATCATTTAACTAATATTACTAAACATAATCATATAAAATACAAGCGGTAAACAATGTATTCATTCAATCTTATATGTCAGGATCCAGCCTTCAACAAAGAAAGAAATCAATACATTTCCTACCCCTGCGTTGCTCAGACACTTTTTGGCCGCCATCTTGGAAAGAGAGCCAATGCAGTGTAACCACGTCGCTGGCATTAATTTTATGTGGGGGAGTGGGAGAGAGTTTCTTTCCAAAGTACTTGATGATGGGGCCAGACGATTTCTGTCCCATTGAGCTCATTCCCATTCCTGATATCCCACTTATCTCTCATTTACCATTTACCATCCATTCACTCCCACTAATCCATGGGCCAGGACTTCCTCACAATGACCTTTCGGTACCATTCGTGCTGGAAGGGGCGGGGGGGGGAGTAATGCTGACGTGAATTTTTTTTAAAACAAAACTTACTCTAGTTTAGTTATTTTGTATAATAGCAGTGCTTAATGGGTAGCTAAACAGGGAATATCACAGGAAATAAACAATAAGAGAGTACATTCCTTCCCTCGTCTCCACAGACCGAGAAAGCCTGGCACAGTCTACTTTTAGAAGGATTTTAAAAGACACCTTCCGGATGATAGATCGTGCCAACCAATCAAAATGATTTGCTCAATTGCTTTAATTAACTGCCATTCCGAGCCCAAGTGTTTTCAAAAGACAGTGAACAGAGATTTCTAAGTTCTTCTCCTTAATTGTATCGTTAACAGATCACGGTAATTGTTTTAATCCGTCTTTGAGGTTCACAGGTACGACAAGGGGTAGACAATTAATACTGCTAAAGGTAAATCTACCTTTAAAGTGGCCTATATCTTTTCTCTCCTATATATAAGTTCTGCGATGCTTTATAACCCGATGGTGACGTACCAATATGGATGAATTTGAATGCCCTTCAAACGGCTTTCTTGTGCCACAAAAGAAGTTTCCTTATATGTTTCTTTCAAGTTTGTCCAGTGACATATCTAAGTTCATAGGCAGTGGTGAGATTAAAACAAAGATCATTCATTTTCAAAATATTTGTGTTAACCCTTTAATAAGCATCTTTGTTTACATGTGAAAAGTGGACAAATTGAATATTCATGCATAAATGCAAATTTAAAGATCACGTAATCTTCTGTTTTGAGAGCATTCATCAAAATAATTGCATTTATTGGTATTAATCAGTCAGTTGGGGAATAAAAGTTTCGATCATCTTTGCTAAAGATGATTTTCGGCCTGTAAAAGAGTATTTGTAAGAGTAATTTGCATATTCGTGAAGTTTATTATGTTGCAAAAACTTTGTAGTGTCGAGTTTCCAAATCCGTTTAACTTTGATGATTCTTAATTCCTTGTGTGTTCCATTTTTCGTGATAGAGGACATCGAATCACCGATGACAAGTCGTCTGCCGCCTATCAACTCGAATTATTGTCTGTACTACGTTGATTGTCCGAGTCAGGTATGGAAACCCCTTTCGACCAGAAAATAAATGTTGTATACCTCGACGAAAGTCGCAGAACTCCTGTGCATAGTGCTGCTCTGGATGGTAAGCACGAACAGGTGGAAGAAAAAGTACGAGTCGCCTCTGGCCTGGATGACCAAGATGAACAAGAAAGGACCCCACTGCATGATGCGACCGAACACGGACACAGGTACCTTTGTCTGGTTTATCTCAAAGAGATTTAAGGTTAAGTATCATAATGTGAAACGTATGATTCCGAACAAATGCCACAGCTGGCGGAGCCAAACACAGTTTTCGTCCCCTTTGATTCTGATCAGCGAAAATAATACTTACTGTAAAATCTACAGGTTGCAGTGGATGCGTAGTTATTAACAAGAGGGTCTTGATGGGGTGTAGCTTTTACGGCTAACGCTTAAAAATATTGGCCAATCTATGGCTAACGGTTAAATTTTTATTCTTCACGGCTAACTCCATTTGGCCGATTGGCGGTCAATGGTTACCGCCATTGAGACCCTATTTCTAAAATCAAACGGTAGAATTCTCAAAAAGTTTTAAATTTAGCGATTTTAAAAGAATGATTAATTGATAAAGGGGAGTATAAGAATTGACAACTGAAGTAAATGAAAGGGCTACACTGGAAAAAATAAAGTAAGTTTATTGCTTTCTGTTGTATGAGAAACGGTGGCCAAAGGGTTGAAGTTCTGGTTTCTATCCTTGGCATGGTTGCTGTGTTGTGTTCCAGTACAAGACACTTGCATCTCCCACAGCGCCTTTCTCCAACAAAAGTTATATATATGGGTACCGTTGAACTGTCAGAGAAACCTGACAAAACGTTATAGGGGTCAAGGGGAGGGGGTAGCCCGAGATGGGCTATCATACCCTTCTGGGGGTATAGCCAATGCTTGTGCTTGCTCTATGCTACGGCTGCCACGATAAGTTTCGACTGACAGGGCACCAAACATGAGAGCAGATTTCATCCTTATTATTCTAAAGGGATAACTAATGTTACAAGTTCCCTTTTTTCACGAGGAATTGAATTTGAGACCATTAGTCTTTAATCCACCATTTCAACTGTTCGGTTGCGTTTTCTCTTGGAAAAATGAAAATAATATTAAACATTGAACCCACACAAAGCGTAGATGTTTGAGTTTTCGTTTTCTACATGCAGGAAAGTTTGCCACACTCTGTTACAACATGGCGCTAACTCTTCTATGAAGGACAGAGAACACTGGACACCACTAATGAGTGCATCAGACCTGGGCAAGGAACAGTCGTGCCAAGATATACTCACTGTTAATCCCGAGACTGATGACGTGAATATGGATGGAGAAACAGCATTGCATATTGCGTGTAGGAGAGGAAATGTGGGTGTTGTTAATCTGCTTATGGATTACGGGGCAAGTTTGAATGTTTGTAACAAAGATGGTGTAACGTGTTTTGAGACAGCCGCCAAGTCAGGAAAGAGCGAAGTTGTGTTTGCAATGATAAAGCATAAAAGGTATGAACGATCTCTCCAGACTGAGCTGTTATCTACCAGTTAAACTCACAGTTTTAATGGCAGGAAGTGAGAGACTCGACTTGCACATGACAGCCGAAAAGTAAGAGTACAGAAGAGCGTAAGTAAAGTTGGGCAAGCTGGGCTATGAAAACAACGGTCTCCTCTTCGTTTTGGTGCTACGATTAAGACGTTTTTCTTGCGTTATATTTTAAGATAGCTAAAAATGGTTAAGTAAATTTTCAAAACTAAGTCTTAGATGGAACGTAGCTTTAATGCCATTCTTTCCTCTGTTTTCTTGTATCCATGGAAATTTTAGACTCTTTCTCAAATAACAGTCGTAATTATTTTTCTGACACATAAGGTCACTTCAGCAGAGCCAAAGCCTCTTAGAAACACCCTTATGTTTAACCTTATGTAAGTTTCACCCCAAGCTTAGCTCGGTTCCCCCTTTTTTTTAATTGAATTGCAAAGCTTTACTAAAAATCTCAGACGAACTAACCCAGGATCTCCTGCACTTTGTTATAGCTGCAGATACGTTTGATACGTTTTGTTAGGGAAACACACGAAAAGTGTTTTAGTGTCCATTCATTAATAATTAGTATTTTAGGATAAACCTCTTTATGAGCCATCTTGAGCTTCCTTCCTCGGACAACCTAAAGAAAATCTGTCTAGGTTAAGATATAATTTCAAAATGTATTAGACTTAGGGGTCATATGATTGATTGAGTTTGGTCGGGCGCACTGGTAAATATTTGACTCTGACTCTCTTTTATTGCTTCTGAACAGATGGATGGAAATAATGGAACACAAGGATAAGAACGGCCTTACCCCCATGAAGCTTCTCATAAAACACTTCCCAGAGAGTGCACAGCTGGTCATGGATTACTGCATTGATCGATCAGAGACAGAAAGCTCCGATGATCCAAATTTTACCGTTACTTGCAACCTCCGTTTCCTAGACCCCACTCCTACTGACACTACTTACTTGAGAGAAAGCCTTTTCTTTGGACCGAGCACCATGGTGAAACACGAGCGTAGAGAATTACTCGATCATCCTTTGACACAGGTCTTGCTGAATAAGAAGTGGTCTTCTTTCGGGCGTTTGGTGTTCTTCTTTAACTTTATGTTCTATTTTGTCTTTGTTGTCATGATTACAGCTTTCTTAATCCGATTCATGCAGAACGGTGACAAAGAATTGGGAGATTATTTTATTTATGTATATCCAATAGCATTTTTACTTATAGGCGTCCAGTTCACCAAGAAAGTTATTGTAATACTTGTCCAGAGGCTTCAGTATTTCACCACTTTAAGCAATCTCACTGAATGGTTACTCTACAGTACGACGACTTCATTCATGGTGTCACTTTTCATTTTCGATCTAATATTTTCGTAATCCGGCCGTGATAAGCGTGATATTGTTTATCCACAATTCATCTGGGTGTTGGGTGCCATTTCGGTTTTCCTTTGCTATGCGAACCTAGTCTTGGTTCTTCGTCGGTTGAGTCTGGTTGGAATCTATGTCACCATGTTTATAGAGGTCACTAAGTCGGTTTTAAAAGTACTTCTGATCTTCTTTGTCTTGTTCTTTGGGTTCTCCATGGTGTTCTACGTCCTCTTTAAATCAGAGGTAAGATGAAATAAGAGATAAGTGTGAATGTGAGTAAATTTGCTTCTGTTTGTGATTTATGTGAGTTTTTTCCCTTTTTTATCATGCTCGTAATCTAAAACTGAAAGTAAAAATATTCCTCATCCTGTACCTTTTCGCGCCGTTTATTGACTTGCTCAATAGCAACAAGCCTGACAGATTTGGTTACAGTAATTTTCAGTGCGCTTTGACGACATATAAAGCTCGCTCGGTCTCGTCAAGGGTATCTTGGAATCATGACTCAACTAAAATCGCCTCATTTATAGTAAACGAAATATACAGTAATAGTAAACAATTAACAAAAGTCCATTAAATTGTCCGGGTTTGCCATACGGATCGATTCCTTCAACAATACGGTTATGGAAAAGGAATGAGCATTGGCTATAGCGCTGAGAGTCTCTCGTATTTCCTCCACAGGAGTCGGTATTTAAGCATCTTGGATTTGCCTTACTGAAGGTGACAGTGATGACAATTGGAGAGGTTGACTTTGAAGGAAGATTCATGCGTTCCCAGAATATCACAAACGAGCCGACGTCTTCTCAGATAGCTTCTTTCGTTTTCCTCGGCTTGTTCTTAATTTTAATGACAATTGTACTGATGAACCTGCTGGTATGCATTAAGATAAGAAACTTTTCTGTAACTTTTAATAGTACTAGTTGGATGCATAAGTGTAAATCAACCAGCGTTCTATCACAAACGCAGTAGTCTTATTGGCTTCGCTACGCACTATCTATTTGACATATAGATCTCATGTTAACATGTGTCTATCCAGTGTGATATATTAACCTTTATTTAATAAGCTCAGTTATGCACGCACTCTGATTGGTTCTCACTTATGATCTATTGGAGGACAGACGTATAGATGACTTCATCATTAAAACTTTTTTCCGTATATTTTAATTCTTTATTATATAAAACAAATAGATTCCAAGTTGCCGTGCGTCTGTTCAGTAACAGATCACAGAGGACGTCAAAATGTGGTAAGAATTTTTTGACGTCCTCTGTGATCTGTTACTGAACAGACGCACGGCAACTTGGAATCTATTTGTTGATTAACCGCTAAGAGTGACTAGCATCTAATTTCTCCTTACAATATCACCACTCAATCACACATTGACGTCATGAGAATAAAGGAAATGATCACCAACTAAAGAAACTCTTGATTGTTAGACAAATTCTCCTTGTCAGCACCTTAGTAAATGTACAGAGAACAGTATGGAGAATATGAATACTGATGTCAGAGTGTAGAGGGTTAAGCTGAATTATGCGCGCATTTTGTCTGCTTCTTATTTACGATGTGTCGGTAGATATACATCCATAGATCACATCACCATTGATAATGTTTTTCTTTATCATATAAAACAAATAGATTCCATGTAGGCATGGATATGTTCAGTAACAGATCACAAAAGACCTCAAAATAAAGAAACAATGTCAATGACACACTCAGCTGTGCTTCATGTGCCACTTTTTGTCCTTACCACAGTTTGACTTTATCTATGATCTATTACTGAACAGACGCTCGGCAACATAGAAACTTCCTGTGGAATACACCACAAATAACGTCAATTGTAGTTGAAACAAAAAATTGGAACACGGGACGCAACCGAGTGTGTCACCGACTCAAAATTTGTATTATCAAGACGCTTCCAGCGAATAAATCAAACTTAATGCTATAATTTGTAGGACGTTGATCACTGTTGCATGTTTCACCTACAGGTGGGTCTTGCCGTGGGTGATATCGACGCAATCCGACGCAATGCTGCGTTTAAAAGGATGGCTATGAAGGTCATGTATATCGCCAAGGTCGAAAACAGCTTCCCGAGGTGCATCTCGCGGCGTTTTCGCCATCCAGAAGTAACTTTGCAGCCAAATCGTCGAACTCTGAGGAAGAGGTATGCCGTGAGTGCCATTCTAATCAAAAGTCACTCGTAAATCTCAAAAATGTTAGAAAAATTCTAAAAAGCAGCTTTACAACGACTCCATCAATGTCTACTTCTCTTTAATATCTTTACCATTCATTCTTCAGTCAACAGTTAACTAGAAAACTGATCAGGTAGAAGTTGTTATTTTGATCTAACACTATATTCTCGTTACTGATTGACAAGGAAATTTATAGCAACTTGAGGGGAGAAGCAACAATCACATCTTGGGAGTCAAATTAAGGGTTAAAATGTTCACTTCACAAAATTACTTCTTTGTCTTCGATATTCAGGTTGATGCTTCTTCTTGGAATGGAGACATCCTCAGGCTTGGACTTTACTCCTCGCGCCAAAGAAGAACCGTTCTCTGGTGTAGCTTTAGATTATACTGAGATTAAGAAAAAGCTCGACCTTAATGAGAAACGCGTCGAAACATTGGTTGATACGATGGAGGCGCAAAACGCTCTGCTCAGAGAATTAGTAAAAAGGATTGATCCTGGGACCAAGATGAACAAGAAGAGCATGGAAATGGAAGGACCGACTGTGGAACACGAGCAAGGGAGCACATCAGCCTCAGGAGAGAAATGGATCCTTGACGACCAGCAGCCACATGCGATTAAAACACAACCACACTTGCATAAATGTGGAAAGATTACTAACGTTTAGTTATATTGAGCGGTGAAATACTATCCTATACTTGTACTAGTGTCAGGTGTGAACACAGCGTTTTCAATTACGCGGAGAGCGGCTATGCAGATGTATAGAAAGAATGAAAGAAATATCTGCAACGTGGGGAAAGGGTTTAGCGGGTCGTGCTAGAGTTAACAGGTGACACTGAAAAGCTTGGGTCTCCTTAAAGTCTTTCGAGTGTGCGTTGGTTTATCCAAATAAGAATGAGTATGGTGAGTTGTTATGACTGGTGACCAGTCTTACTCATTTGCGGGGTCGACAAAATGCCGGAACTAGAATGTTCGAGAAGAATGGTTTGAGAAACAGAAAAATTCTCTTTCATATGTGAAAGAAGATTCACTTCCATTTACGCGTTCTTTTCAAATTTCATGTCGCCGTTGATAGAAGTAATTGATGATAATGATAATGCATGCGAACATTCTGGACATGTTTACATTTGCACCAATGTAGCACTATCAAATAGCCCCAGAGATTTATCGATTTCATAAATTCCAACTTTTACTCTCTCTCCCGATTTGCTTGATAAATTTAGGCGCTAAATTTTAGGATTGGTCGCGCAAAACAGGAGTATGGTTTCCCTGCACTAACTAATAGGGGTTTGATTAATGCAGAATAATGATTGAAGCTTATATCCCTTTGTCACCTTTTCTCCTGTTACATGTCCATCAAACTGTTCAATGAAAAAAACCCTCCTGAAAATAATTTTGCAATGAGAATTGCAAGAAATTTAAACCTATCGGAGCTAGCAACTGGCCTGCAGTTTTTAAAACATGTTTATATTCATCTGAAATCAAAAGAGTAAAACACAACGTTAAAAACGTATTCAACACTGTGGATAACAGCTCAAAAACCATCTTTTCACTGTTTACACCCCTTCAGTGACTCGCATCTAATTTCTCCTTACAATAAATCACCACTGAATCAAACATTGAGTCCTGAGAATAAAGGAAATGATCCCCAACCTATAATGTTCTTGATTATTAAAATTCTCCTTGTCAGGACTATAGGAAATGTATAGAGAACAGTATAGAGAAACTGTATTTTGATGTTACAGCAAAAAGGGTTAAGTAACAACCAGGTGCCAGTTGTTCATAGGATGGGAAATGCTATCCACTGAACAAATCTCTATCTGGTGGATAGCATATAGTATATTTTGTTCGCACTTATCCCATGAAGAGCAATTTATCCATTAGATAGAGTTATCCAACCTTTGAAAAACTAGAGCCAGGCCTTTTAAACCTTTAACTCTCAGATCAAATTTATAATTCTCCTTACTGTCAACCATACAATTCTTATAATGTTAGTTCAGATAATTTAGTATTGAATCAACTAATTATCCCCAAATTGATAATTTTCTTTATTCTCATTACTTCTCTGGTTGATATTGTATTGATATTGTAAGGAGAAATTCTGTCTTGGTCACTCATGAGAGTTAAAAGGTTAATGCATGATTAAGTCAATGAAATAACATCAACTGTTGAACTGAAAAATTAGGAATCTTATTCTTTTGTTATCATGACATTGATTGTAGCTCCTTGGTATACTTCACACAATAATTACACCAAAAGAAAATAATCATTCATTACCTAAATCATGACTGAATGATTTATCTTGACATGAATCCACAAACTTCCAAAATTTTTCATTACTCTCTGCTGCTAAATATTCACTGAAATTAAAACAAAAACATCTTATTCCCAGGGTGAGCTGTGTTACAGTACCTATCACTCTTATCCAAAGAGTGAAGGACAATTTTCCAAAATTTCTTGAATATTCAGAAATGTGCAGTTGTCTGCAGAGGAGCCTTTTGATCCCCTTGTGTCACCTTCTTTGTATCATGGTCTGGTTATTCAAAATTTCTTATCATTATATTCATGTATTATATTCATTCAGCTAAAATGCAAACAAAAAGTGAAAACTAACTAAGAAAGTAGCAATACTGTTATAAAAGGGTAATTTAATATAATCAACTGAGTTGATAATAAATGTAATTTGGCCACCGTAAAGGGTTTCAAAGCTGACATTTTGAGCATTAGCCCTTGATCAGAGCAAAGCCCTTCCTTCTCACTCTGACAAAGGGTTAACACTCGAAAGTCAGCCTTGTAACCCTTTATTGTGGCCAATTTACGTTATCACCCTAAATTACCCTCTCCCACTGAAGCAGCAACACAGTTTCCTTAGAAACTTACCCCTTAAACACTATTATAAGACTGAGTACATCTGAACCCTTTAAACAACTTTCAAATAAATGTGTGTAACACTACTTTAGATAATAAAATTTAGCACCAATACAATTCTAAATTGACATGAACTGAAAGAATAGTGTAAAGTTCTGAAAGAATAAGCTACATAGCAGCTAAATGTCTTAGTATAAATTAGCCCAGGCTGGTGATATTTAGCCAGAGCATTCTATGTAGCTGTATAAGAGCTCTCATATCTCCAGTCTTAGGAATATCCTGGAAGTTATGCTGTTTTTTATTTGCTTTTATTCCGATTTATTTTGAAATTAACCCTGTTCTCAACCAACCTTGCTTCAAGCAGAAGAGGTGTCGATCCCCATCTTGCATCTAGAGAGGCTATTATTGATTTGCTACTTGATTTGCAAAACGATTGGTGGACTAA